AATACCTTTGGCTGAACGATCCCATATACAGGGGGGTGAATTTTTCTGGTGCGAGTAAACTGAGATGATTATTATATATTCATTAGTAGTACTTATATAGGGATCGCCAATTCAGACCCGACGGTCATTTATTACAGTTAGGTTAGGTTAAGTTAGGTTAGTTATACTATTTATGCTTCATACTATTATGCTTCAACGAGGAATCATATAGCAGAATTTCTGAACAACACATATAGTTTCCTTATTCGTAAACATTTCCCAATGAAAAAAAACAAAAGTCAAAATTCGGCGAAAGAGACCTGTAATTTTTTTTTATGACGAATTACGTTCAATGAGAGATACTTTACAAGCACTGCGCACTTAAGTACCTCTTCAAAACATCCCAGCGATACGGAACATTTTAAAAAATTCAAACATGAATATGAAATTGCAGTTTACAAGACAAAAAAAGAATCGTATGATGAATTTATACAAAATTCAACCAACAAACATAAAGATACTTGAAACTTATTGAACTACGGAAGAAACTCTACTAGTGAGCACAAAACAATTTCCAACAACATCAGTGCCAATAAATTTAACACATTTTTCTCGAATATTGCCGAGAATATCATTAAATCTCTACCTACCTGCAACATCTCCGCTCTCGATTATATTTCTAGCCACAACCAGTTAATTCATTTATTCTACAACCAGTTGATCATGAAGAAGTGACACTTGCGATTCGAAAACATCTTTTACAAAATTCTGCCTTTGCCTTGTATATTTATTTTAAACAATTTGTTAGAGATCCATGAAAATAAAAGTATATTCTCCACCCAATCAGACTATCATAATTATCCCACTAGAAATGCAGATAAACTGAGACAACCGCTGAATAAACTAGAAATGTCTACAGGAAATTCACTGGACCTCAAGTTGTACAAACATTTACCAGTTGACCTCACTCAGCTCAGTACTCCATCATTTAAGAGGAGAGTTAAAACATTCCTTTTAAAAACTGTTTTTACTCAACACAGGATTATATGAATAGTAGGTACTTAGAGTTGAATATTTTTCTATATATATGTTGCTATGTGATGTTCTGTAGAAAGGTAACCTAACCAACTTAACCTAACTTAACCTAACCTAACCTAACAGCGAATATTATGCGAACTTATTGAAGTTCACAACAAAACACGCGACTCGGACTAGCTTTTTCTGTTTGGTGGAATTCGAATTTGTTTTCGAAACCAAAAACGAATTTTTTCGTTTCTGTTTTTGAAAACTAAACTAGCCGCAAGCGAGTCCCGGAAACTCGTCTTTATGGAGACAAAAGTAATCCATTCTGAGGAACGAAGTGAAACATTTTGAAATTTGGATGTTTCGCTGATGATGTGCTTGTTTTGATCTATATTAGATACTCACGTCAACATAACTGGCATTTATATAGTCGGAAAATTCATCTCCACGTATCTTTCTTAGTTTCACTCTAGTATCATCGTCTGGAAAATATGGGAGTGAAATATGACATCTTAAACCCAACTTCAAAAACTTTATGGAATGTACTTACATGCAATTAGATTTTTGTATCGATTTTTTGTCTTGTTTTCTGGCATGGAACCGTATTCGCAGGGCTTCACCAAACCCCTGGGAAAAAGCTGTAAAAGAGCAAAATAAGCACATTGAGTTTATGTGAAAACTGTTCGTTTTTATTTTGGAACATGAAAAAACTGTAGTGAGATTTGACTGTTCCACAAGGATCTATACTGGGACCACTGAGATTCTTAATGTATATCAATATATGCATGACAATTGCTCAGTTTTATATGCAGATGAGGCGTCAGCGGCTATTCATAGTAATAAGTAAGCAGAACTGAACGATAAAATAGTTATAGGTACTGTGTACTTTTCAATTAAAGATCTATTCTAAATCTGAGTAGATCATCAAAGTCGATTCTGTTACACCAGCCAATGAGAGCGCAGCAATTTGTCACTTGATCAGTTTGTTCGGTTGGTTACGCTATCGGTGATAAGCGAGTTGAGCTCGCTTGGAATGATAACAATAATAAATCCATCCATTGATGGAAAAGACATGAAATACAGAGTGTGTGCAGCGTAGTCAAGACACGGCCGAGACACGCCTGTAATGTTCAATTTGTCTACGGGTGCGGTCAAACGAAATAGATATTCCCTTATATGCCTGTTTTGCAGGTTTTTTGCTTTTCTTATCAAGGACTTGTAGTTCATTCTGCAGCACTATTTTCACGGGACGATTTTTTTTCTCATGCAATCCACCCAGTCTAATCGGTTTCAAATTCTGTTGTTGGAAGTTTGGATCAACTGTCTTCAGTACTTCACATACATCGGAAACATCTTTATCTAAACGAGTTTGAGGGTGATCTGATTGATTTTGTTCTGGTAAACCAAATATTATTAAATTCATCTTCAATCCGAACGAAACACGATTCAAATTTAATAAATTCAATGAATACATACTGAGGAAGCTATTATGTTGCGAAACACGTATTACGGTTTTGTAAACACAATAAAGTGTTACTTTAATTGATAATTATTTTTAATCGAAGGTTTTCGTGGGGTAATTGAGATGCCGAAAGCTAGTCATTACGGAATTCTGTCAAATTTTTAGCAGTTTACTGACAGTTTAACAAAACAACTACGCCCATAGGCATCAACTTAGAATATGCACCAAAAATCGAGAATACTGGCAGATCTGGCCGCCTAGGTGGCCAGATCTGAATGCGTTAGACATTTTCATGAGGTTATATCGGAATGAAAGTTTTTGTAACAAAAAACACAAATACCAGGAGTCGTCGTCCTCAAATCGAGATGAGTGGACTAGTCTTTCAAAATGTATTCTAATGAGGATCTTCTCACTGCAAATAAATACTTACATCATGCTGTCTTTTCAGTTCTCCGCTCTGTATTGCTTCCCTCACGTATTTTTCTAAGTCATTTATCCTTACTGGCAACGAGTGAGTTGTATTGAGAGGAGGTAGAAGTTGCTGAAAGAAAAAATTGATTGAAACTATCATGTATTTGTTAGGAATTGATATGAAGTGGTATTTTGATTTAGTTACCATCATTTGTTCAGTAGTCATTTCATTATCCTGATAAAAAAAACCACAACTTTGTAATGAATTTAATATTAATATGTTGGAGGACAACTAATAAGTTATTTGCTTGTTGCGTCTTTGATAATATCTACCGCAGTTGTAGACCAAACGCTAGGCATTAAAACTTGCAGATAACGGTTGAAAAACCCAAAAGATAGCTTTATCACTCATTATAAGTTCATCATTATCAGTCGACGCGATGTTAAATGACTTTATGAAATTGTATCCACTGGTAAACCACGAAATAATATGACCCTTATCCGTATTTTCAGTTATCTGATAAATATCATAGGAAGTGAACTGGGCCATCTGCAGAATTCAACTCTCAAATAGTAGAAGAGTAGCTGATGAGTCAAAACAGAAGATCTACTGCAAAAACAGTAGGCCGGACAACATTGGACGCCGCGGCGTTCCTCTCTTGCGATTTCTTCTTCAACTGTAGTGAATTGATTCGCAATATTCCACACAATAGTGTAGATAGAATGATTTTTGACTTTGTTCTGTAACAGATTTACTATCTATTCGAATCTATCTTACCGGCAATGATTTTTTCGGCTTCACAGCAATCATATTCCCACCTGGATTCGTAAGTTTTGAGAGGGGTACATTTTCATTCCTGATGTTTTCTGAAACGATAACCTCAGATAATAACTTTATTCAATTCAAAATTCAATCCAATTCAATAAAAATTCAATCAAAATTCATTACCAGTTTGATCCAAAATTTAATCCAAAATTAAATTCTAAATTACATACAATATTCAATCGGGATTAAATCAAAAATTCAGTCCAAATTTGATAAAACATTTTCCCCTAGCCAGACACATGAGAATCAATTTCAACATATTTTCATAAACCGTTCATAAAAAATTGTTTTAAAAATTATATCTTTAATTTTCTACGTACCTATTTACATAGGGTGTAACTAAATAAGGGTAAAACATTCAAAGCGGTGATTCCTCATCAAAAAAAAAATACAAAGGGGGTAATTGTTCCTAAAATAATTTTTTGCTGCGAACTGTTTCATTTTGGGCAAAAAACCCAAGAGACATTTTTTGTTTAGAATGAAACAGGCTATCGGAAATAAAATTTTAAATGGTAAACAAATAATAAGACAAAAAGTTACATTGGAAATAAATTTTAGGGGTTGCGTTTTCCACCCCTTACAACCATGGGGTAAACCAAATAAATTACTGGCTGAGTGTCTTTTTGGTAGTACAAAACGTCAGGTTAATTTCAATATTGTAACTTTTTTAGTGCTTGTGAAAAAAATTTTTATACAAATTTTATGTACCCCCTTTAAGAGGCTGTATCTTAACAAGGGATGCTCCAATGAAGTTCCTTCATATGAAAGATCCTATCTTTTTATCGATGAGGAATCACCTCCTTAAATGTTTTACACTTATCCAGTTACACCCTGTATATGAACACTTTAAAAAGAGTTTCAAATGAAAATTCTTGAGATAATATAAAGATTAATCCCAAAAAAGTTTATCTGTAATGCAATCTTATATGGGAAGAATTGTTTTTGCAGCTCTTCCTCAATTAATTTTTGTTGAATATTTGTGGAACTTAAAATGAGTTTAAAAGTGAAATATTTTCCTAGCTGTAGCAACTGCTGCTACTACAGCTAGAAAAAAACGCAACCCTATTACAAAGATGTTATTTGGCTTATTGGGCTTAAAAACCTGAAACTGTCAAATCCTCTACCATGTAGTCTATGTCAAAAAGTAGCATTTTAGGGAAGGAAAATATAAACATTGTCACTTTTTCATCGGCCAATTAATCGTTCAAATGAAAAATATATCTTGTACACTCCTCCTTGTTGAGAATACTCGAAAAAAATTTCAACAAAAACCATATTCGATAGTTCCTTCTGTTATTCTGCAGAGCTAATATAAACAGAAATGAATAAAAATAAAGTTGGTACTCACCTGGAATTAGCAAATCTGTTCTCTTTGGTTTTTTATTTTTATTGTACCTAAAAAAAAGGATTTCTTAGTGCAACAGGAAAATTAAGTCATCATCACTAGAAGTGGGAACCAGGGAAAAAGATAAAAATGAAAATACAAACAGTAAAGATCGAAAAGCAAAAAAGCAAAAGCAGTATTGAAACTTTTGTGACCCAATCCTGGAAGATTCTGCCAGAAGTCCATATATATCTTCTTGCCATCCAGGTGATCAATCTTTGTAAAGCAAAGCCTGGTCCAATGAAGCTGCTTGCAGCACCGTCCTTTGCAAGAGAGTCAGCAGTTTAATTGTTTTCCAGGCCATTATGGTCAGTATCCAAAGCAGACACAATCTGTTAACTGTTCCTATCGAGGAGAATCAGTTTTGGCAATTTGATACCAATTTAGACGTTACTTGGTAGGAGCCAAGAGCTTCCAACGCTGCTTGACTGTCCGAGAATATTTTTATTGACTTGTGTATGATATTGGATTTATCCAATTCAATAGCGTGAATTTCCGGTTGAAATACAGTCGCATAAATTCCTAAGCAGGTTGATATCTCTGTCTTGGGTCTACGACTAAAAACACCTGCACCAGAACCGGAAGGTGTTTTTGATCCATCTGTAAACCAACAAATATCTGCTTTTAATATTTCCTTCTCCCGGAGGATCCAGTCCTGTCTATGCGGGAACAGTACTTTATAAGGCATTTCGTAGTTGACTGTTGTCATAGAGGATCCACTTTTCATCACACGAGAAAATCCGATCCAGAATAGGATCGTTTTGGTTGCGCTAAAGCGAAGAAGAGTATACCTCGAATCATCACTTTTCGAGCTTCCTGACCTCTCCAATACGTTTAAAATCATAAAAAACCGAATGGGAGCTGACGCTCAGTTCCTTCGTCACCCCACGCACTGTTTGTGATTGATCAATCTCCACCAGGTTCCTCAAATTCTCGTTCTGGATTACTGTAGGTCGACCACTTCGGGTGATATGATTATAGAGTCGATGAATTTATTGGGTTAGGTTAGGTCCAAAGTGAGTGGGTCTATTCGACCGCAATCCGCAAGGGTTTATTGTGGCTCACTCCTATTCACATTCGACCAAATAAACCCTGCTTCTTAACGAAGCCGATTAGTTTGTATGGTGAGTGGTTTTACAGGTCATATTGTGAGACAGGCACAAAGTATATGCTCTGCTGTTTCATCGTTATTGAGGTAGTCGGATAGTCATGGTGCAAGATTCCCACTTTGATACCTGTGACAACCTTCCCATATGAGGGTTTTTGCACGATGCCTTAGATTCAACCGTGCAGGGGTTTTTTGCCTCTCGTTTTGGTGAATCATCACTTGATCGCAAACGTTTGCTAACCTGATCATGGGGGGTTCGTTCCTCCACCTGAGACATATTCTACGTACGTCGCTCAAGAATTTGGTACAAGGTGGTTTTATAAGGTACCCCGCTCTTGGGAAGGCGACTCAGTCGTTTCCTGTCCAGTTGAGTTGGAGTCGTAAGCTCGACATCCATCTCCTCTATAGACTCAGCGTCAGATTGAATTTTTAAGTTTACTCTGTCCATACAGGTCCCACGGGCAGCTAGGGAGAAAAGGTCAATCACGGCAGAGCCACGCATTACACTTCTTCGACCAACGTTCCGGTGGAAGAAGCACTCCAAATCATACAGAGAAAGCTATCCGAAGACGGGAACCTAAAAGAGAGAACGAATCTACCTATAGAAGTAATTATGGAATTACTAGGATGCTGTGTACGAAACTGTTATTTACAACTGATTGACGAATTCTTTACACAAGATGAGGGACTGCCAATGGGATCGCCACTTTCACCTGTTATAGCCAATATATTTATGGAGTGGCCATTGAAGAAGACCATAAGAAGCCCCGAGTCTGTTTGAGATACGTAGACGATACCTTTATGATATGGAACCATGGGAATGCAGAACTAGACACTTCCCTGAAGCACATCAACAACGTAAGTCCTTCCATCACTTTCACAATGGAGAAGGAAGTCTACAACGAATTGCCTTTCTTAGACGTACTGGTAAAGAGGACAGACACTAAATGGAAAACATCTGTATATCGAAAACCCACTCACACAGAACAGTATCTGAACCAGAAATCCAACCACCATCAATCGACTAAGAGAGAAATCATCAAGACTCTATTTGACCATGCTTTCGGCTCTGTAATACGAAGGAAGGTCTCGAGAAGAAACTAGACATCATCAAAAATGATCTTCAACGAAATGGCTACTCCAAAGCGATGGTAGAAAAGACTTTGGCTGAAAGACAGCTGGAGCCTCGCAAGGAAGAGATGCCGTCACAACCAGTGCTTGCACTTCCCTACATCAGAGGATCTTCGGAGAGGATAAGAAGAGTCAGTTGCAAGTACAGCATCAGAACCTGCTTCAGATCTGGTAACCAGGCCACCAAACGCGAACTGCGATTTCAAGAATTGCATTTACCGGATACCCCGTGAGTGCGGAAAATCCTATATTGGTGAAACTAAGAGGCCATTGAATGTTCGCATTGCCGAGCACAAGAAACACACACAGCGAGGAGAAACCAGCAAATCAGGAATAGCAGACCATGTTTGGACCCATCAACACAACATCGAGTGGTCCCAAGCTGAGATCATACACAGAGAGGAACATTGGTTTAGGAGAAAATTCAAGAAAGCTGAAATTCAAAACTGAAATTGCCGGTTTTGAAGCGAAATGAGAGTAGTCAAAACTTACCAGTAGCCTATCAAAACTATTGGTACCAGCAACAATATCAAGGCCCACAATCCTCCATTGCCTCCATTGGTCTCTGGAGATTCGCTCGTATTTTCGTCTGTTTCCGTTACTGCTTCCTGGGTTTTGATGAATATCTGGGATCGACTCAGTCTCATCAGATCGAAGCACTCGTTGCTCAGAAAGAATGTTACGCTGTAGTTTGTACCGGGTTCCAAAGGCTGGTTATTTCGAGAAAGTTCCGATTCCGACTGATTCTGCGAACCTATCATGATGACGAGCGACGAATTCCTTCTTTCACCATCGTAGGCAAGCCAAGAGGCTTTTAAGGAAACTTCGGGATTCGTCTTTTCGAAAATATTTTTCTCGAAAAGCGGTAACTCATCGGTTTCTGTTGCTTTGGACACCACAACGTATAGTTTCTTCTCATAGATTGTTTCCCCATTTCCGATATTGGGAACGTGGATTGTGATGGAGGTGTTGGTACTTTCATAGGTTAGGTTTTTTGTTGGGATATCTGGAGGTATATCTGGGGGGGTAGTTGCAATGGAACCATTCCAATTACTTTTTTTGTAAATATTATGAACTCTTATTGAAACTCTGTATTTAGTACATGTTGATAGATGAGCCGCAGAGACCTGGAAATAATAGAAAATTTATTTCATTTCAACAACTTGGGCACTGAGAAATTGCACAATTTTCAGATAATTAGCTGATGATGAACCTGTATAGCTTCGAAACATGTACTGATTGATGATTTTACCGTTCTAACATCTAAGGGTGATAATAAATTGTGGAGGTGACTTTGACTGTTTATGCTTCGCAAATCTACCACACTCCACTTCGAGATATAATGGACTCCTACCACAGGTTTTATTTGAACATTGAAAAACGTTTCAACTGCAAATGAGGGAGTCATTTTCAGTGGCGTGGTCGAGGTACTCTTCTAAAAACTTTTCAGTTGACACGTCAAAAAGAGTACTTCCACTACGCCACTGAAGATGACATCTACACCAGATATATCAAATAACTTGTGTAATGTAATGAATCGATGGATTTTTTTTCATTTCAGAACATGAAAGCTTGTTTTCAAAAACGTTTTTTTCACTATTAACTTGTTATTTATTTTTTGAGTTATCACTGTACATATTCCCTAATCTGTTCATTTCATTCAATGCATGATTATCATCTTATTATCTGTCATTTTGAATCATTTTTCATCTGAACCTCTTCATTTGCTATCCATATCATGGAGGTGCATAGTCCATCGTCTTTAGAAGTCCACCATATTGGATTTATAGTGACGTCATTTCATTTTGGGCAAACCTTTCAATTTGATACCTTCATTGCAAGAGTGTATAATAATAAAAGTACGTTTATTTGCAGCTTCAGAACAAAATAACAACATATCTTTCGCTAATAATCATAAGAGAAACTACAAATGAGACTGAAAATAATATACACCTGGAAGGTGTTGATCTCAGTTCCAGCCTCAAGAAATAACCAGTCCGCCATCTTGTGCAGTACGCCATATTAGATGTATAATGACGACACTTGCCATAAATTATCATTGAAACTGAACGTGAATGCAAAATTATAGACATACACACATACATATACACATTTATACATACATACAGACGTGGTAAGTTGAAGAAAAGTTAAATTTTCATGGTTTCGATGTAGAAATTGTTACTTTACACGATGGAGGTACGTTATATTTGTGGAAAAACTATGAAAACTGTTTTTTTGCGACAATAGTTCTTTTTATTCATAATAAATACAGTTTAAAAACCTAGAAAACACGCTTTTAAAGAACATCGAACTAAAAAGTTAAAAATATTTTTTATAAATAAGCTTTGAATTATAACGAATTCAAAATACTAGTATTATTATGAAAAAAGCGAAGGGCGTTTGATATACAAAAAATATGGCACAGAGCGCCCACGTTTTTTTCACAATAATACTAAATAATACACAATAATAATTTTTTAGTTCGATGTTCTTTAAAAGCGTGTTTTTTAGTTTTTTTAAACTATGTTTATTTTCGACTTTTTACTTCGATGTTCTTTAAAAGCGTGTTTTTTAGTTTTTTAAACTATATTTATTTTTCATTTTTTAGTTTCGTATGCTATAAAAGCGTGTTTTTTAGTCTTTCATACATACAAACAGGTGAAGCTAATATAATGCGTTTAATGTATTAAAAATGATTGGTAAGTACCGAGTGTTGGAAGTAGGAATTAATTGTACCAATGAAGGATATACTGAATTTCCTTACTTGCATTTCATTGAATCTTTACCACTCACCGTCGTTGAATATGTGATACTATAATTGGCTTCTGTGACACGAAATAATTCCAATTCTGGATGTTGAATACCGTTTTGTTCATTTCTCAAAGTTATTTCGAAACTCCTCAAAGGTCCATTGGTAACATTAGGATGATACCAAGATATATTCATATCATTGGTTTTGTTCGAGAAAAACACAGTAACGCCGTAAGTCGGTTGGGATTCTGCAAAAAATGTATCCTACTTTCATATCTGATTCAAACAAATGCGATTACTATAATAACAATTTAAAAGCAAAGGTATAGAATCATAGAGCTGTTGATTTGGTACAATCTAACGATATACATACATATGATGGAATCGGCCGATACTTGATGAAAATCCATAACTAACGTATTCCAAAAACACGTCAACTGAGTTGAAAGACACGCCAGATGAAGCCATTGTATGGCGAAACACGTGTTGCGTTTTTGTAAAACAATTTAGTGAAAATCTCACAATAAAGTGTTTTTGGAATACGTTACAATCTAACGATATCGTAATTTGAATGGAAAAAGGGTTTGTTTTCCTCATCTTCATGCAAAAAATGTTGGAAACTTCAAGAGGAAAAAGGAAAGCAATTGAGTTCAAAATGAATTCTTCACAATCGCTTCGTGTTTCAACCTCGACGCGAAGATTTTAAATGTAAATGGAATGAAAGACTGTCGATTGTCCCACCCTTTTTAAGTATAAGAAAAATGTCTCACTTTCTGGTCCCAAATAAACGTTCACTTCCTCAGAAATGTTATTGAAGTTTTCCGGAATTTCGTTTCGTGCTAAAACCTAAAAAAAACGGGATAAATTATTTATGTTCATTATCATTCCATTTCAAATGACTAGTTGATTTTGGAAATATGAAAACAGCAGGTGATAATATTGACGTTGACACTGAAACAGGATTTTGAACACAGTCACTACATGCAAACTACTGAGCCGTAAATACAATTGAATTGGATACTTTTTTTTACAATGCACATTTTAGACTATCTGTCAAATTCTCATAAACATTGATACAATTATCGTTATGATTATTTAATGCAGATAAACTTTGTCTTTTACATTAAGTGATTTGGACGAATCGTTCATAAATTATCACGATAAGAAATTAGCCCGTCGCGTCTACTGTAAGACGACGGAAGTAGCAATGAAAAGCCATCGCCGGGAATGCGACCCGTTGACCGACGTCGTTGACGGTTGTGTTAGTTTTGCGAATTTTTTTATAGGTAATATAATTCTATTCTCGAAGCTATTCATTACTCAGTGCAGTTGGCATATTTTTTAGTTACTACATTTTTATGGTAAAAATATAAATTACATGTTACGCTCTTATGTTACCGTACAGCCGAAGCTACTGAATCTTGAAATATGCAGGTAGGTTCTTTGTGTACCGTAAATAAGCATCAAGAAAGGGAATCAGGAATTTCCACGCCAAGGGGAAAAATTGGGGTTCAAAGAATGTATTAAATCTCGTCAGTTTCGAAGTTGGAAACCTGAAGTTTTGGGTTGATAAAAAATATTTGTAATTTTTTTTTAATGGTCTGTCACGAAACTTAATGTAACAAACAACTAGTATCGTTATGATCTGTGAAAATATCGAATCAAATCTTCTTTATGAATTCTGATATTGCTGAAAATTGATGAACTGAATACCTCATTTTGATTTTTTTTGGGTAAAGGCTAGATTTTATGAAAAAACGCGCTTGTTTTTCAGGAAAACTGTATGGAAAAGGATAATAAAAAATCAAGAGTAGAAACTTGTGCGAGCTGAGGTCTTACCTTTTAACGTGTGATTCCATACACAGTTTCCCTGGTTTCTGAACTAGACTTCGAAACTACATCAAATAATAAAATTTTAAAATGATGAAGAAAACAAAATGAGTTTTATGAGTTGGGAAGAAAAAACGCGATAGTTACATGAGGCTCAGGTCCAGAGGAATTAGTTACCATCATTTCTTACTTAGCAGCATTACTGTTGAGGACAGAAGAGTTTTCTCGTGACATCCATGACTCGTTTTAGTACTGATGATGATATGGCTCGAGCGGGTATTGGATAATGGATGTGTGAGTGGTTCTGGATGATGGATGTAAGAGGCAAGGGTTTTGGACTCTGCCTAGAGACAACTCGATCACGTTTCAGTTATTTGGAGTTGTATTGTTGTGAATTATCCCCTAAAAAAAAGATAGCGCGCCCGCCGCTGGTCGCCATAAAACAACTATGACGTGGCCCCTATCGCAGCCCAGCCAGCGTTTCGCGGTTGTTTAATGTTTGCCCCGTTTCGATGAAATTACGGCGAATATTCTACCAACTTCGATGGATTTCTGAGGAATTCTCCACCAGTTTTGGGATAGTTCGTTTGCGGCATATAAACGCTACCTACGAACATATCGATATAGTCAAGTTCAAGTGACAGTGCGGTTCAGAGTGATCTCATGAGGTGTTTTGCTGCATTAACAATGAAATAAAGTTAAGTTTGATTATTGTTCAGTATAGTCAATTCTAAATATTTTTGGGTGTGTGAATACACTTCATTATATTTTTGAATTGACTGAAATACTTGAACATTCATTATTTTTTGACACGAAACTTCAATTGGTTACTGTCATTGTTGAAGTAATTGAAGGTGATTTTGGTATAATATCAATCATTGAAAATCTCACATACTCGTATTGTGTAAGTATATTTCCAATGTAGATTTTTTGTGACATTTCCACAGTGATAGTCCTTCCATAGTGGGCATGGTTTCAGCGAAACAGATTCTTGGTAGTTGTATTCGTAGCTATAATATGCATATTCAATTAGGTATCGTTTCAGAACTCCGGTAGGGGGGTATGGCTCCTTCCATCGAAGCGATATGGAACTCTCGTCTTTTGAAATCGCCTCCAGTTGGGAGATGCTGTTGGGAACTGAAATCCAAACGAATATTATTCTAAATCTGCAACAAGTGATAAAGACTTCATACTGTAACTTCTGGCGTAAAATCAATCTATTAATATCTGTTAGTAGTACCTATCAATTGAGGTAACTAAGAAAAGGAAGTGCGCCGAAGTATTGGTGCGCAGATTGTGTTAACAAAACATTGCGCGACGTTTTAACCGGATGTATTATCATTTCTCAACCCGAGAAAAGCGAAGCTAGGTCTCAAATGTTGTGAAAGAAGACCCCATGCTTTGGCTTAACCTCGTGTTGCCGCAGTAGTGAAGTGATCTCTGCGGCTTCTATATGGGCCTCCTGCTGGACCGGTTCCAACTCGGTGACAGAGTTGTGATCACCTCATTCAAAAACTTAATCAAATTCATCAGCCATCGGGCAGCTGCCCTTAAGAGAAATGCTCTAATTCCTGCTTTTTCATGGTCGCGAACCATACCAAGAAGGGGATCCGAACTCCTGATGACTTCTCAGGCTCGATCCAGTACCATTCTGTCATGTAGACACTCCGAACTCAAAAAGTCCAAGGCCTCCCTGCTGCCGGGCGAAGTTCAGCTGTCGAATAGTCGATTTGGGATACAAACTCCTATGAAGATTACTCATTTTTCGGGTCTTACGACGAGTTGGTACATCTCCTATTGAGTCTCCTTCACTTCTCCTCCCAGCAACTTTGTTCTTCTCCAAAATTTCTGATAAAGAGATGTTTAGAAGTTTATTATTATTGTTATTATTACCCGTGGGTTGGGTTGCCTATCGAGCGCGTCTCCAGGTGGTGGATAGCGGAACGGCCAGGGAACTGGAGACCCTGTCCGGGAAGCCAAGGTGGCCTTACGGACGGGGTCGCTGGACTCCTGGTCAGTGGCAGAAATAAGTAGGGTGAGGGGAACCAAAACTCTTCAGAAGCCAACAAAAACCAATCCCGAGGCTGGACAGCAGTACTCACCTCAATCTAAGGCAGTGACTGGGGATGAACAGAAATGTCCACCACAATATACCGCTTGGAATGAGTCTGACATAGCAGATCACCTCGTGATGTAATACAAAGGCTAAGGTGTAAGCGCATTTGCGGCGCCGAGACAAAAAGAAGAAAGAGAGCGAAGGAGACAGGAGTGGCAGCAACTATAAGTGCACCCTCAACCTCCCCCACTCCACCTCCATCAGTAAGGGTACTTTCTGCGGCGGGCGCCAGAGCTTCGCCTTGAATAAAGGGAAGGGACCGGCTGCTCCTGCAGGAAAGCTCCCTCACTTGTACACCTCCACGGAGGAAACCCCAAGAAGGTAGAAGAAGCCACGCAACGACAGTAATGTCGCTGCACCTTTCAAAACCTTCACGGGGAGTGTGTTTTCGGCGAGTCTTGGCCTACACCTGCCAATATAAAGGAGATGTTTGCTGGTGACCTGTCCATCTTCCTGGAAAGGACAGGATGGACGATGGCCTAAAGGACAACTCCTCGGGAGGATATACAATGGGTCCCGCTCACCTTCCCTTCTCTACAGATACAGATATTGTTATTAATGTTATTGAGAAATAATCAGAAATATTATAGGAATGCAGGCTTTTAAGGCTGGCGTCGATGTTTTGGTTGGTTTCCTGGTTTTGCCTTGCCGTGGTCGAAATACTCTTCTTGACGTATCAACTGAAAGAACTCCAGGAGATTTGGATCACGCCACTAAAAATGACGACGCAGTTGAAGTTGAAACGTTTGAAGATTGGAACCAAAGAAGACCACGGCAAAACCCAGAAATCAACCAAAATATCAGAAATATTGTTGGTGCAGATCTGAAGATATGAAAAAGCAAAGCACTGAATCTATTCTGAAGTTTTTATTTTGTATTTATGTTTTTCCCTGAAATTCACATACCTGAAGGTTTGGTCTGGAAATCCACTTTTCCAATATCAATCCACGAGGTCCTGTTCCTGGACATGGACATTTCGACGGTGTAATTAGAATATGCTGAAAGTCCATCCAGTGTGATGAAAGGTGAAGTCACGAAAAAAATGTTCAAATTAGATTTTTTTTCAGTACACCACTCGTGACTACACGTTGCATTCTGCTGTATATAAATGTTTCCTCTAAGATCCTCGCAACTGATTTTTGTTAACTCTATCGTGACACTATTGGAAAATTCGTTGTGACTTTCTATGGCAAGTTTCTCATTATCTGTAATGTAATCTGAAAAAACAGTTCAAGTAAGTCCATTAAAGGTTTCCTATTTCTTCAGACAGAAAAAATACTAATTAACCAACAGTGAAACAGTGAAACATCAATTGAAATGAGAAAGTTCCAAACCAGAGCTTGGATAATCAAAAAAATCATCACTAGTTTACAGCCAAGTAACGACTGTAATGCCGAAGGCAGTTCTTTGTTAATTTTTGATCCGTAAATGCGAAAATGATGGTAAAAATTTTCCAACACGTAAGATTTTTGAGTTATGATTTTTTTTACAAAAATTCAATGAACACAACGTACCAAATTTGCTTTTCCCCTAAATTAAGGAAATTGTTTCAAATCTGGCAACACAGCGTCTAAAACAAGTAAAGAAGCCGTTCTGCTCCATAATGGTAACAAAATACCCTCTCTTCCTTGCACATACAGTTGCCATGAAGGAAACACACGAAAGTATGTCACTTATTCTAAATGCAATAAGTTATAATACGTATAAGTGGCAAATATGTGGTGACCTAAAAGTTATAGGACTATTACTAGGTCTTCAGGGCGGATATACGAAGTTTTGCTGTTTTCTTTGCCTTTGGAACAGTAGGGCAACACAGAGCCATTATCAAGTAAAAGAATGGCCTCCGAGAGATAAATATATTTCAGGTCAAGCTAACGTGAAGAATTACCTTTTGTTAAACCCTAAAACGTTTTGTTACTTCCATCACACATTAAACTTGGGTTAATGAAAACTTTTGTAAAAACATTAGACAAAGAAGGTGATGCGTTTAAATATCTTAAACGCGTTTTTCCAAAATTAGGTTATGCGAAGCTCGAGGAAGGTATATTTGTTGGACCACAAGTTAGAAAACTACTAAGTGATCAACAGTTTGGTCAAAAATTAAGTAATGTTGAATTAGCTCCGTCGAGTTCTCTCAAAAGGATTGTTTCGGAGTTTTTAGGAAACACGAAAGTAGAATGGGATGTCGCATGTCTCTCAAAATCCATTTCTGGCACTCCCAATTGAATTTTTTCCCAGAAAATTTGGGTGCTGTCAGTGACGAACAAGGGGAAATGTTCCACCAAGACATAATGACAATGGAGCAACGTTACCAAGGCAGATTGGATGCAGCAATGATGGGAGATGATTGTTGGTTCCTTTTGAGGAAAGTAGATCTAAATATGTTTTCCTGCTCTTACTGTTTTCGAGATTCCTAAGCATAGACTCGATATTGAATGGCCTTTTTTTGTACAATGAATATGGAAAACATTCCTTTGATCTGAACCGATATTGAACAGAAAATAAATTAGTAATTGTCACATTAACTTGAGCAATTGTAACTTTCATCCATTGTTTGACATTTGTGATCCTTATTCTGATTTCACCAAATTACCTAATTCATCCGTCTCCATATTCTTCACAAATTCATCTCCCGCTCCTGCACGGGTAACAGCATAAATAACGATTTGATATTGCGAATATGCCTTAAGATTGTATATAGTAAACGACGTTTCTGCAGTTGATTCATTATATATTTTCAATGCTGGGGGACATGAAGTACCTCTTGATCGCTGAAATATAAAAGTTTGACCAAAATGTACATTATTTTAAAAATGAAGTACCTTTTTCAAAAGATACTTGTTTTTTTGCAAAATAAATGCCTATTCTTCAATGTATAAAAATAATTTTGTTTTCTGGGACATTTTTGAATGGACTTAAGGTGATGCAGTATTTGTTCCATTATTTTCTTACCAGGTAAGTATATTTTATATCATATCGAATAATGTTCCCTCTCTTCATTGTGGGTTCTTTCCAAGACAAAGTGATACGATCCATATAGCTCTGCGCACTGACCAATTCCACTTTAAAAGGAACTGAAAATAAAATTGATTGAGGGCAAAATCTCCAAAATCATAGATATAGATGATCGCTTGAAACAATTTTATAATTCATAATATTTCACATATTAGCGAAGCACTGACACCTATCGAATATAATCCAACGCCCTTCGTTGTATTAGCCAGGGGAGTAGTTGTTTTCTGATATGTGTCAGTCCATAAACCTACTAGCCTGAACTGATTGTTCTTTTAGACGATTTGATTTAAAGTCAGGCTTCATGTATGCCCACCTACTAATATATGTAATTTATTTCCTTATACGAGGATTTGAGCCATTCGGTTGGTTAGAACTACTTCTACGGGCAGATGTGGCGTTGACAGATATGTTGTTTATCGTTTGTTTCAGCTTTGTTCGAGGTATAATTATGGGATATCGTCGACTTCATGTTGACGGTGTACACTAACCTAGCACTGACGAGGGATTAAATAGCCCGAAACCAGTCTGCAAGTGTGCCCGTTTCAGCGGCGGCCGGCTTCATTTTTTCAGGGCATGCTTTACAACAATATGCAGGAGTTTATTCAGTGAAGAATCCTGCACTGACACCTGTCGGATATAATCCAATGCATTTCGTGGTATCAGCCACAGGGAAGTAGTTGTTTTCTGATATGTGTCAGTCTATTAACCTACTGTGTAGATGAGTAGCAAACTATCCCGAATAAATTGATCCTTCAGATGATTTCATGATCTGTTTTATTTAAAATGATATTTCATTCCTTTGGAGTATTGAAATCAGTGCCAGGAAACAAAGCATGCGTGATCCAACATAAAACAGCGCTGTTTCAATCCGTCAAGTCCCCATGAGTGATGCTAGACTGACATTGACAAAAGACTCAGCCTCTCCCACAGTGAAAGAGATTATAGTGATCTATTGAATCACGGAATTCACTACAATTCCATTCAAATACAGGAAGCCAGCTAAAAAATATATATCTTTGGAAAAAATCAATTCAACTCCCCCCAAAAAAAGCATATAAAGCATGAAATAGGGTTCAAATTTCGTTTTCCCGACCATATGAATGAATCATTGTGATTGTGATGTAGTTGTAAATTTTCTGATTGATTCTGCCGTTACTTGATGAGGATTTGAGGATTTCCACAAACAAAAGTTTGTGGAGATGAAATCTTGAGGTGTAGTTTTTGAAATTAGTTGTAAACTGACAGAGTTATTCATGTTCCAACTTTTATGCTGCAGATTCTGTTACTATTATTATTATTTCCCAATGGTTGAACTGGTTGGACTAAACTTGCACTAAAACGATCAAATTTGAAATGGAGTGGAGTGATACTATGAGGATCTTCACTCCGAGTCATATTTTCATTTGCCATTTACAGGGTCATCAAAAAATGCAGATACTTTGATCTCATAAAAAATAAGTGGAACTCAATTGTTCTTCTGACAATCCCACAGAAATTTCAGGAACCTTAACTGAATAATATAACACTGATGAATATCTGCATTCGAAGTGGAATGAGTGGAACTCAATTTTGTCAAATGGAACACCCTGTATATTTCAACATTTTTGAGCTCTACATCCAATTTTAGATTAACTTTGTTCAGATAATACCTACTATTTATATTTTGAACCGTTTTCGAGATAAACTGTTTCAAACGGAAACTGACGTGGTTTTCTTGCTCGTTTTTTTGAATACATCACTTATTTTGGATATTCAACATTTTTTTTATACTTAGNCCTCATAGTATCACTCCACTCCATTTCAAATTTGATCGTTTTAGTGCAAGAGAGTTCAAGATTATCAGCATTTATAAAAGTTCATGTTTGGTAAAAAAAATATCGAAATTAATTTATATCTTCTAAACGGTAATAGATAGGTATAGGGAAATAGTATATGAATTTGTTGACAAAGTGATAATGAATCATAATATGATATTATATACGGGGTGTTCCATTTGAAAAATCAAAGAAGCCGTCATATTGACTTATGCATACTGTGGAGTTTTCAGGTTGATCCGTTGAATAGTTTGCCAGAAACGGCTAATTAACGCTCATCATGAAAAGCCCTGTATAGATGTCACTGCAAGGGTTATTTTGATATTTTCGCTGTCTTGAATAAACACATGTAGACTACCTCGGAAGCCTTAATTTTATCATGTCGTTAACTTTTGAGCTCTTAAAATAAATTTCGATATTTATTATACTGTTAAGTGCTTTTTGACTTTTATTCTAAATGGGGTATACAGGCTGGAAACATATTTTTGACCCTTAACGAAAGATAATGAAATGAATGATGAGGTTCAATGTTTCAAAATATCGATATTATTAGCATCAATCAGTTAATTTTAACGACTTTTCCTTTAAATGGCTTGGCTCTGTTGACCTTAAGATTATTTCTGAAAGCTGATATAAGGTGCAGGATGATTCCAACTATGAGCTGCACATCTCCGTAATCTTCCCATCGTCCCTTTTGAAGATGAACCGTTGCAAATTTATCTGTCGCAAATTTCATACGGATCAAATTTCATACTGTATTATTATCATTATCATTATTACTTCATGATGAGAATATCAATAATTATTCTCTCCAGTTAGAAATTCAAAAACTGAATTGTCTGACAAACCTTCATTGGTACCAATGCTAAAAGGGTTAGTTTTGTGAATTATTCATGAATATTCATAAGCAGAGATCTACATTGCTCATTTACAATAATTTATATAAAATAAAGCCGTTAAAAAAAAGGAAAATACATTTATGTTGAAGTGAAAGAGTGAAGATTATTGATGAGGAGTACCCCAGTTCAGATATCCTCCCATTGTAAATTTTCATAAAGCATGAGAAGATATTAAAGTTGATGGTTTAAAATATTCCTACCTCCTTCTTTTGTTGTGAAGTTCTTTTCAATGACGTTGCCAGACATTCTATGCTTCATTTTGAAATTATAGTTCGAAAAAGGTTCTAGTCCTGGGAAATATACCCGCTTTTTCCAATTTTCTGATCTTTTGTTTCCATCGAAATGTACTTCGTATCTAGTAGGTCTGCAACCGTTTGTGGGCCACTGCAAAAATGAACGATTATCTCCATGAGGTTCAAAAATAACCTACTTCTCTCATCTGAACTTTCAGAAAGTTACAAATTCCAGATTTTTTATTGAATTCTCATTGATGTACCTTGATGTCAATAGTTGCCGAAACATTTGTAGCTTCTATAATTATGTCCTGCTCTCTGAGATCTAAAAAAAAGAATAATTATTATGAATATAGATATATCTCTAATCTGAATGAAGAATATTCATTGCGGTGCCCAAAAAACAGATTTATTATACAATCTACTCAATCCTGTAATGCAGCTAAGATATAGTGATAATGGGTTATTTCATCATTTCTCATCATTTCAGAAAAGTAAAATTGAAGAAATTTCAGTACCAACCATTGCATGTTGTGTGGAATCGAGTAGATTTTATGTAATTGCCACGCTTCTCATTTTTTTGTACAACAACGGCTCTGACAAGATAAAATGAGTCTGGTTTCAAATCATCAATTCTCACTTCATTTTCTGTATAGAAATTGATGCCATTCTTTTTCTTGAACCACTCCTGGACTACCTAAAAAACACGAATCCCAAAATTGACAAATATATCTTGCGATGCACCAGTCTTCGATTTTTACAAACATCTTCTCCTTCAATATCATGGCTACCCATTAAGTTCATATGAGAAGGGCCCTGCGCAATGTATGCAAATATTTCTGTAGATCTCCAATCTCCTGTATATTTGTAGAAGACCATATACATTAATTTCACTCATCCAGAAAAACTGAAAAAACTAGGAAAATGGCATTCGAATCTATTTCGTATCATTATGAAAGATTTTTATAGATGGCATAGTAAATTGTAGATATTTTCGGGTTCAACTGCCGTGTTTTCCAGGTTTTTATACCTGTCAGAAGCTCGGTCGTTGGCTTTTTGTCGATAGTAAAACATTGAATAGGAATTCGATTGTCGGTAAATTTAAAATGCATTGATGTGCGTTAATTCACACGGCAAATGTCGAAACAATGATTGAAGTTGTAATTAATAGAGCCATAAATCAGGTAGTCAAAGAAGCCGCGTGAAATAAATTTCGCTTTAATTTGGATTGCCGGCAAATCATAGAACGGATTAGCATCTGTTGTTATATACATAAAAAGCCCCAATCACAAGGGAGGTGGTCAGTTTAGAACCAAACTCTGTTTAATACACATTAAATCGATGCGCAATGTAACAGTGAAGTCAGTTCAGTTCCGGTCACCTAAAACTCAACTCCGGGCCTGTGTACTGAAGTAAATATAATGTGCGATGTAAATGAACAGTACAATTCCGTTTTCAAGTCATTCATCACCGGAATTATGTTTGAATAGAAAACGGGAATACCAGATATAAATTAATTTAATTTATCAATCTTTAAACGCTGAATTTATGTAAAAACCTTTGGATTCGCTACAAAAAAAAAATATCTAGCTCCAGACCTGATCACATATTTCTACACATCTACTGCACATCTTCAGGGAGGAGCTTCTCACCGGCCATGACTTAGTCCGGCAGCTGTATGACTCGGAAACATCGGACAATTTATTAGACACCACTCATGAAAGACAGCACACCATAATCAATGGCTTAATGATTTGATTACTGTGTTAGTTTTGTGTTAGTTACATATACTGGGCGAATAATTTCGAATGGCTTTGTTTTCACAACACACCTGTTACGTCATTTTAAATAAATATTGCAGGAGATCGAATAAATTAATCTTTGAAAATCTTAGGCATAGAAATACCGTAGAAATACTGTATAGCTTTCTAAAAAATATTTGTCTATTGAAAAATAACTATTCTATTAGGTTTTTCATCTCCTAAAAATTGGAAATTGACTTGTCTAACCTTCTCTGCTCTTTCTCTCTAAAGTATGTCAATCAAACCTATTCTGGATTTGAGCTTGTTTCTTTAATATTTTTTTATTGACACCTGTTAATAGCTTATTAGATTTCTTAACAAATAAAACGAAATCTCAAACCTTATTTTCAATGGTCTTGTCCTTATTCTGATTAGGATCTATAGCATATTCAATGTCGTAAAGTGTAGGTTTATTTTCGTCAGTGGGACCTACAATCGTGAAATCTTTGACTCGGACTACTCCAGATGTGGGTGTGATGTCCTCAACAACAGGCGGATTCAGAAAGAAAAACTGTGAAGCTGAAATGAAAAAGAATGATATTATCAGTTACTTTGAATATCGATGTAAAGCTGTTGATGAAGTCATATCACAGTTGAGTGGCCGGATTTTTAGCTGTTCTCACTATTGTTATCTCTAAACAGAAAGAACTACGAAGTAGGTTACATGGGACAAAAATTTATTATTTTGGGGAATTAGAATCATTTTTTTCATACCAGAGCCCATTCAATGCTGTTTCATAGTTGTTATTATCTGATATAAACCAATTTGTAATGCGACGTTTCGTACTTTGGTTTTAATCATCAACTGAATTTTTTTGAATACCGGCCTCTAGTTTTTTCCATCGATTTTTATAGCCACTGTGATGAAAAATCAGCTATGTATTACGATATAGGTCAGTATTTAAAAAAAGTTCAATTTGATAAAAATGTGCAGCATCTACGTATAGAGTAGTTAGTCGAGTTAGTCTGCGTAGGAAAGGCGAAGGAAGCGAAACTGTCTATTGTGAAATAAATAAACACCCGTCAATAAAAGTATTTTGATTTGACTTATTGTTTTTATGTGTGATTTGTTAGTAGAAAAGAAGCGAAAAATCGACAGTGAATGCAGAACGTTCCAAGAAAAATGGAACTTTCAGTATTTTGTGATTGAGTCCAGTGATAAGGCGCTATGTTTCATTTGTAATGAAACCATAGCTGTTCTCAAAGACTATAACATTAAACGACACTATGAATCGAAACATCTTCAAAGTTACTCCAAGTATACAGGAAGTTTGCGGAAGGAGAAATTTGAAGCTTTGAAACGCGGACTTAAATCGCAGCAATCTTTGTTTACTAAAGCGAATACTGAACAAGAGTCTGCAACTCGCGCCAGCTTTCGTGTGGCTCTTGAAATCGGAAAACGAGGCAAACCATTCACCGATGGAGAAATGATAAAAGAATGCTTGATTGCAGTAGACGAAGAAATATGCCCCGAAAAGATAAATTTATTTAAAAGTGTCGGAGGGTGCAAGACATCGTAGAAAATATATTAACTCAACTGTCTGACAAAAAATGTACATCATGAGTGGTTTTCTCTGGCATTGGATGAGTCAACGGATGTGTCAGATACTGCTCAGGTGTTGATTTTTATTCGCGGAGTAGATAAACGCTTTGAAGTGTATGAAGAACTTCTTGATATTGATATTATTCACGGCACGACAACTGGGGCAGATATTTTTAAAGGAGTTGAAAATGCCATTAATAAAAAGAACCTTCGATGGAGAAATTTGAAATCTATAACAACTGATGGAGGCAAAAATATGTATGATAAAAATAAAGGAGTGGTTGCACTTGTGTCAAAGGCTGTAGAAAATGATGGTGGTTCAAAACCATTAGTCTTACATTGTATCATTCATCAACAGTTCTTGTGCGGAAAATGTTTGGATATGTCAGAAGTTCTAAAACCAGTCATATCAGTTGTTAATTTCATCAGATCCACTGGGCTGAATCACCGACAATTCCGCGAGTTTATTCAACAGATTGGAGAAAATGATTCACCATATCATACTGCCGTACGCTGGCTTAGTTGCGGAAGTCCTTAAGCGTTTTTTTGAACTTCGAGCAGAGACTGAATTTTCCGTCAATTTTGCAATCGAAACTTTGAGTGCTTTGAAGATAAATTTTGATACTCGTTTTTCAGATTTTCATGTAATTGCGAATGAAATTAAGCTTTTTCAAAATCCTTTTGATTCTGACATTGAAACCCTGGCTCCGGAAGTCCAAATGGAAATTGTTGATTTACGGTGCAGTGATATGCTTAAGAACAAATATTTAAATTCATCTTTGTTGGAATTTTATAAGAGTCTTCCACTGGAACAATTTGATAATTTGCATAAATTTGCTCGTGAGTTGTTTTCTGTTTTTGGTACTACTTACTTGTGTGAGAAAACGTTTTCCAAGATGAAGTACACAAAGAATGTTTACAGATCTCAATTAACCGATGAGCATCTTAAATCTCTTTTGATAATTGGTACAAGGTAAAATTGATCCACAACTACAAAGTATTGTCGGTGGAAAATTACAATTACATAAATCTCATTAGTGTTTTTGTTTTACTGTGATTCATTTCAATTATTTGTTAGTTATTAATATGCTTAGTTATTAATAACTTAGGTATTTAAGTTAAGTTTTCTTTGTCATCATTCCTGTTAAGTTTTACCTTGCAAGTAAATAAAACCGAGTAATTATCATTCTGTATTTTTTTCTTCAACTTATCACAGCAATAGTAACAACAATTAGGTAATCATTGGCTGTCGCGGGCCGAATTGATGACACTGGCGGGCCGGATTTGGCCCGCGGGCCATAGTGCAGTTCAATCAACTCAACCCTCTCTGCAGTTTTGTAAACCATTGTTTCTTTAGCAACACTTTACGGCACTTACTACTAGTAATAATGTGGATATCACTTTTAACATAAAAATCAGGAATAGAAACAGCATTTTTAACCATTTCTCAATTGTGATAGTTCTCTTAATCAGAGAAGAACTGAAAAATTAACAAAAAAGTAGCGTAAGAAACAAATGAAAGATTTCCAAATACATTCTAACTGGGCAATTTGTTGCTATTAATAATATTGAAAAAGTTAATTATCGTATATGGTATAAAACTGCCCCCTTCCCAATAAAAATCAACCTGCCTAAGCTTTTTTTCGGATATGCAATATTAGTACCCAAAACCTCCATGCCAAGTTTTCGATGGACCACTCTGTATACTCAATACTAAATAATAAGCTTTGCTGAAAAGACGTTATATTTGGTAGCTCAGGGATCTTGGATTGAAACTTTAGTCTTTCTACTTACATTTATCGCACATAGGTCCTACGTATGGTTCTTCGCATTCACCTTTATTACAATATCCATTCAAACGAGAACAGCTATTTATGCAATGTTCTGAACAAAGTTTACTGCAACCATGACCATATTTTCCACTGTCGCAACCTAAAAATGAAATACGTTTACCGATATGTGACCTAAAATGAAAACATCTCTCACCCTAAGTGTGGCCATGTTTAATCGAAAACTACTAACGTTATTTTGTATTTGAACTGTCAACTGTGAACATTATTTGTAATAAGAGGAATGTGGTAGAATCTGACATATCATAATTCACTTCAGTGAATCCCTGATTTTGGTTTATGGGATGAAGTGTAGAGAAAGGAAGGATTGTTGGCAAGCTAAAGAAAAGAACATGAAGAATGAGCATTTTTTTCTTCGGTGGAGAAGAAAGAATGAACAGAAGAGGAAAGGAACAAATAACGAGTGAAACTGCAGAAACAACTGAAAAAACAATAAATCGAAAGAAAGTTAGACCAATTTCAGAAGAAAGTGGGTGAAAAAGTCAATGGCAAGAACGGCTCTGGTTTACAAACCAAATAAAACGATATTTGATACTAGTGAAATTTATTAAAACTTATAGAAAGTATGGAGACGATAATTTTATTTTGTGCATTATTGATTGAAGTTGTTTATCGCGGTCAACAATAAATAATAACAATCACGGGTATGGACTGTAAAAAATCTCACGGGTAACGATATGTATTCCACCTAAATTGCAAAATATTCTGAAAAATAGTATCTTATAAAACATCTCTTGATGAAAGATAAGGTGATTATTTAATGCCAACCAAAAAATTTGTTTTTAATCTTATTCTCATTGATTAAAATTGAACGTTTGGTTTGAGTCGAACTGACTTTTTTATGTAATTGAAAAAATAATGGGCAATTTTGAGAAACGACATCTTGTTTTCAACGGAAATTGGATTTAAGACAACTTGATGAATTTAACTTACTTTCTTGACAGTTTTTTCCTCTATATCCAGACGTACAATGACAATCTTGTTTCGATTTGTTCATGTCGCAATAAACAAATTTTGAACAATACTTCTGTCCAAATATGTCACACGGAAGACAAAACTTCCCAAAAGTGTTTTCTGGACAATGAAAATCTGAAATGAAAAAATATTGTTTCAATATTGAAGTTTAATCATATTGCGTCCATCAGGCTGAAAATAAATATCTTCTACTTAGAGCATTCATCAAACTGTCAATTTATTATCATATTATCTTTTTTAAACTAACAGAGTATTTGAGATAAGAAATTATTTACTTTTTTGATAGTTCATCTATTGATACTATGAAACCCATGCAATATTTTTCTTTCGGATATAAGTAGGATAAATTAACATATCAGGGGTCCACAAACTAACATGTGGATCATGTCCAAAAGTTTATGCAGAGCATAAAAAAGTTTTGAGCCGAAGAAAACGTTTCGAGCACCTCTTCTGAATTAAATATAGTTGTTTTTCATATTTTGTTGTTCTTTCAGTTGAATAATAAAAACATTTGTGTAGTCTGTTTAATGAATTACTATCAGAATATCAATGTAAATGACAACTTCATTTAAGTGAACAGTGAATAATTTCTATGACTTATGACAACTGTTAATGATAATCTTGTCAGCAAATCAAATAACTATCTTTTCTAAGATATCTTGATTCGAAGAAATCATTGAAATAAAAACTACTATTTGAAAAAGCCAATATCTGAAAAACTATTTGGATTAGGTATAGGTATAGGAAAAGATAATTAAATCATATTGTTCAGACCGAAAAAATACAGATTGTTCTATTTGAAATAACAAAATTATCTTTGTCCAAAATTATAAAAAAGTAACAAGGATTTTTGAACATTCTGTATAATATTGAGAAACGGGTTTTATCGAAATCAATAGCCCAAAACCTCTTTTATGCTTGGTCAAAATTCGAAATGATGATTTCTATAAATTTCAATGTTATTTAGTTTCCAATTGTACCTAGCATTTTCATAAAAAATAAATAACTCTAAAACGGCTATAGTTAAGTATCTTTCATGAAATCTTTCTGACCAATTCAAAAGTTTAACGAAATACAGGGTGTTCCATTGAAAAAAACTTTGATATGTCACACTTTTTCGAGCCACCCTGTAAACTCCACAATAATTTCCTTCTGCAGCCTAAATCGATACACTGATATACGTTGGGACTTGCAAGGTGAGTTGAATCAGACAAAAGTTTCCTATTTTGGAAAACTGAAATAATCTCTTCTCAGATCGAGAATATCGATGGTTTGAACTATTCATTGAAAACTATTATGTTGCAATGCGACGTTTCGTTCAATAGATCTCTCCATCAACTTCATTTTTTTAATACGAACCTGTATTATAATACATAGCGGAATTTGTTATTACAGTGGCTCTAAAATCGATAAAAATAAACTAGAGATCCATATTCGAAATAATACAGTTGATGATAGAATCTAATAAACGAAACGTCGCATTGCAAAGTAGTTTATATCAGATTATAACAAATATAAAAAAGTATTGAAAGTTCTTCTGGTTTTTCTTTATATCATTCGAAATGGAGCCGGTAGAGTCACAAAACGAAATACGACAAGTCTAGTTTTTGGCGAATATTTCAAAAGCAACCACTGATATTCGAAAAGAGATCATTCTGGTTCCTATTAACTGACCTGTAAGTCCTATTGTTTTCCAGATAGCTTAACAAAACGTCATGTAAAGTGAATGTGAACAACATATAACCCACCTATTAACCTACTCTGTTTTTCAGTCACCTCGTTTATTTTAACGATGTCATTTGTTTGTTCTCCGATTTTTTCGCACAATATGTTTTCTCTGTCAGATTTGACATATCTGTATTCTGAAATGAAATAAAAAGACAAAATAAATTCGCTGAACGGAATAAGTAAATGTTTATAATGTACATATTTCGAATAGCAAGCCATGGCACTCTGTCGTTTCATCTTGCAAAAAAAACAATTGGAAGGACAGTTACTAATTTTTTGGGTATCAGATTTTAAAATGAAATTTTCAATAATATGTCTAATTGATTTAGGCCAGTTCTTTACGAAATAAAATCATACACTGTTATTTTTTTAAACGGCAATGTTCACAGACAAAATTGCCGTTATTGAAGTGACACCAACCCTCACGTTTTCCGGGAAACACATTCCCAATATCTAGAAAAAAATAACGTTTGGGCAGGAATACTGGGAAACCATATTGTAGGACCTCTATTTATTGATCAAAATTTAACAGGGGAACTGTATTTGAATATGCTGGAAACTACTGTTGACCCTCTCATCACAGAAATCGTCGAAGCGAATCCTAATGAATTCGATATGGATATTCTATTCCAACAAGATGGAGAACCACCACATTACTCCAGACAAATAAAAAACTATTTGGATACTACTTTTCCCGGTCATTGGATTGGCCGTCGAGGTCCTACAGAATGGCCAGCCTGCTCGCCAGATTTGACACCTTTGGATTTTTTTATGGGGATATTTGAAGCAGAAGGTGTACAAAACTGAATCTGCTCCAATATTGGATATACGGCAGAGAATAATAAATATTTGGTACTCAGTTGCCATCTTGAAACTTTCATCTGTCAATTTCACTTCCAAATAAAGTATTTATGCAATAATTTCATTATCTCAAATTTCAATTTTTTGAGCTGATCCGTTCAAAGAATAAAAGGGGGGGGATTTTTGTCACTGATAAATGATCAATGCAGCCAAAAATAACATTTGAAATTATTTTTTCTTGGATTTTCGTAACTCATAATTTGACTAAACTTCAATATTTTGAAATGTTAATGGTTGTACACATAATAATTCATGAGATTGTTAGATTTTTTTTATACTTGCCTTCCTCTTCGCATAGGCGTACGTCATCTAATGCCCAAAAAGGGTTATTCCGCAAATTATATCCATCCCGATGTTTATACTGCAGTATATTTAAATGCTGTCCTATGTAATTTTGTGTATCAATTATAATTTTCTTTTCTGACCACTTTTCATCCTGAAATATAAAATATTACAACTGTTCAAATTGTAAAAGGCAAATATGCTCCCCAATGACACCCTTTCATCGATGATGATGGATGCTAATACCAAATTAAATATCGTTTTGAAATACATTTTGATCTCATTAATTCAAAATTCTGATTTTATTTTAAACAATTAAAAATTAAAATTAACTAAACATTTTTTTAAAATCATAATCATCTCTAGGCAACAAAATAGCAAAAAAAAAATCAAAAATATTGAATTTCTCTATTTGTTTAAAACGATTTAATAAACAAATTACGTAAAAAATTCATATCCAATGTTAATAACTGCCATTGTTTAATATGAAAACAGACATAACTAAATATGAATTGAAAAAAAAATGTTTATCAACAATTTTTAGATATTTAATTTTGCAATAGTTATAAAAAATCATTATTAACAAATTAATAAATTTTTATGAAATTGTATCGCAGGATCGTATGAAGTATATATATCAAAAGGGCTCCACGAAGTTTAAAATTTATAGGCCAATTATTTATACCTTTTATCCCATTATTTATGCCAACGGAGATTGGGAAAAAATTTGTTAGTTAACAATTGAATAACTTTTTGGAAAATAGTGATAAAACTTTTTTTTCCACGGGACTCGATTCATTCAAGTGTTAAGAAGATACTATTTTTTTTTTCAAATTTTCTATAACATTTTATGTTATAGAAAAATTATTTCTTTTGATAAACTCTCTTGGGCGGCAGCGCATATGCCGTAACAGCCGCGCGGAACCCTATTTTCAAAGTCAAATTAAAATTATAAATAATGGAGATAGAGTTTCGGGAGTTGGGACTTTTTTATCGGAAATTGCCTCCTCATTAACGAGCTTTTTTCAAAATTGCTTAAACATTAATATTTTTTGAGTTATTACCGAAAAACTAAATACCATTTTTTTTAAATCTTATTTTGTTAATAACAATTGCAATTTCACGTTCACGAGATAAGCTGTATGAAGTTCAGTCTAGTTGAAACAGATGAAATTAGCCAAGTCCTGGATACACTATCGATTGTTCTGTACTGACGAGGAGTAACACTCCAAAAATGGTAAGTAATAATAAAAATTTTCTGCAGAACGAAGAAACTTGATTCGAAGTATTCATGTCAGTTCTTATGGAATACTCGTTTTAGCGTTCTAGGGTGGAAAATCCAATATTATATTTGCAAAATCCAACACAGTTGGAAAAAGCTTTTTCACACGTTATTCTCCAGTTCAGAAAATATCCAGTGTGGAAATTTCAGATGAAACGCCCTTTGTATCGGAAAATTCAGTTGATAGTTTCTGTTTTTTTAACTTTGTTAATATTTTATGTGTAACTAAACTTACCTCAGATGAGATATCTTCAATAATTTTTATAGAATTTCCATTAGTTTCTTCATCGTTTATTGTGATTCTCAGACGACAACTTTGGCACATAGAAACAAACATGGAGATACAAGTTTTGTTCTTTTCGATCTTTATCGATGATCCGATTGGATGGCTATAACCATCGGTATATTGGCTTAGTAGGTAATTGTCTAAAAAGTGAAAATTGAACGAAGCGATAACAAGAATCTGTGAATTAATATAACACTACATATTTCGAAATATATTATTATTTGATAAAACAAACGTTGCCTTCCTTTATCAATTTTGATATGATATTTTTCATAATTTTCGAAATTATTGTGACATATCTCTCACTCATCATGGGACATTAATCTAATTATTCTGTCACTTTTTCTTTCAATTTTTCTCTTGGAGTTGAAAATACGCTTATTTGATGTTGTTAACTATAATAATTAATATCATAGTAGTTTTCAATTCATTACAAAAATATTATAAAAACAAAGGCAATATGAGTAACAGTTAAAATGAATACAATCATTCAATATATGGTAATTGAATAAACAAAAAGGAATATCAAAGAAGTAGTCTTGGCTTCTTGTGTTGTGATTCTGACAGTGAGTTTAAAAATCTGGGAAATTATAGTTACTTTTCTCAAAACCTAGTGATTTTTCGTCATCGGGTCATTTCAAATCATCTCTGGGTTTCACCAGTATAAAAGGTTTTTTAAAGGGTTTTGTAATTCAATAATAGCTGTCAAGTTCATGGGACTCTTGTTAATAAATAAATACACTTTATGTATATCTCAGTTCAACTACCTTGAAAGGTAGTTCAAAGAACTACCTTTCAAGGTTCATGAATCTTTGGATATTTGAGATAAGGAAGACTAAAAGGAAGAAATAGATACCAGAAGACAGAGGTTTCAGTCATCTTCCACTGAAATCTGCTTCGAAACTGAAGTTGAAGGGAGTCTTTATGGCTGTCTATCATGGACAGAGTTCAGATATGAAAAAAAAACTGGGAGCTTCTAGACCAGTTACTGAACTTTTTATATTTGAATACAAAGTTTCTATCATTTTTAACAATCCAGGCGTCACTGATTAATTTTGTTTTCTATAGTTGTTCTCTTGTATTTATTCCAGACATTCACTAGTTCCGTGATATTGAAAATTTTGTAGCAATCATTTTTATGTTCTGTGGCTTTCAAAACCTTGTGTTTGAACCAAAATTCGAAAACATCGATTTCGGATAGGTAGATACTTACAATCATGGAATTTCCAAAGACTCTCTCCATCGGAACTGATATGTATCGATTTTGTATCGAAAATGGATCTACTTGAATCATAATATGTCATGAAAACGTCATTTCCTCTATAAACTTTGATCATATTTTGTTTTCTCTCTATCCTGAAATGTGTCCATTCATCTTCACTCAGTGGTTTGTTAATGTTAACCTGAAAGTCAAATGATGTAGAATATTGAAGTACAGGCACAAAAGGCCGACAACACCATCCCTTGAATTATTATCTGTGTTAAGTTAAGAAACAAGTAAGAGAGATGTAATTAAATTGGCCGATACTCATTGAGAATCCATGATGATTTATTTAAAAAAACGAACGTTAGATAGAGAGATAAATAGACAGACAGGCATGTGTAATGTTCCACAATTTGGGGTATTACAGCAAATGCAAGTTTCAACAAAATAAAGTTGAGTTCAATTCATGAGTTTTTCAAATTCACTTTGAATAGTATTCAAATTGATGTTTCAAATGTTGGGTTTTAATTTTTAAAGGGATTTGTTTCTAATTCACATACTGGCAACAGCGCCTATATCAAGTTGAAATAATTTATACGTACCCAGATATTCTACTTTAAAGAAGGAAAATTATCTTTATAAATCAACAATAAAGGCAAAATATAAATTATAGTTCAATACCTCCTTCACAAGCCACACAAACAACAGTTGTTTTGTTATTTATTTATATAGAGGAAGACAGGTTAGGTGCACAAAATGTCATATGTCACAAAATGTTTAGGAACTCGGAACATAAGTAAACAGAACAGCACGCCTTTGAAATATGTCATCTTTGTTTGTCTCATACAGGTAACAAATTCATTGTCCTTTATTAGCTATAACCGATGTTGCCAAATGGTGAAATAGAAACGAATCCCTTTAGATGTTGAATGCATTATTTCATTCCTCTTTTTTAAGTATTTGAATAATTTTTCAAAGAAAAAAGTTGAAATGATAAGATTAAAATGCGTTGTTCAAGAGCTCTTTTATGAAAACTACTTGATTTTCGTCAGGAGGAACATTCCCCATTGCAAATAACTGGATAGCTATCAGTCAGAAAATATGGAATGAGAAAAGGCTGGCAAACAGTGGACGCCCTTTTGGAGGTTGAGGATATAGAGATGCGAAAAACGCCTTTAGTAGTGTATCCTAGCAATCAATTCTCAAAGCGCTGGAAAGAAGAGGTATAGATGTGAAACTAACCGCTCTAATAGAATTCTATCTGTCAGACAGAAAAATCCTCCTAGAGGCAGAAGGGGATACCAGCACTGTGGTATCTCACAAGGATCAATGTTGGAACCGACCCTGTGGAATATATTATATAACGATTTTTTACAGATGAACTTTCTAGAAAAAACAACCCTCATAGGATTTGCAGACGATGTGGCCATGATAGTACGCGCATAAAATGAGAATATACTAATGAATGTATCAAATACAGGTCTGGAAATGGTGGAAAACTGGATGCAAACAAACGTGCTTCAACTAGCACCACAAAAAACGAAAAGGGAGATTCCATCCATCAAGTTCAGCATACAAAGCAATACCTAGCAGGGCTATTAAATATCTTTGTATCTGATTGGATGTAAAAATGACTTTTGCAGAACATGTCGATAGAACCATTGGAAAAATTGAAAAGACTGTAGCTGTCCTATCAAACCTTTTACCAAACATTGAAGGTCCTAGAGCGCGAAGAAAAAAGGTACTGTTTAGTGTGGCTCATTCCCAGATACTCTATCCTGCGCCAGTCTGGCATAAGGTAACGACAAATCAAAAACTATTTGCCAAACCCACTAGTGTCCAGAGAAAAATAGTTATACGTATCTGTTGTTCACATAGAACAATATCGGCGGAAGCAACAAGAGCAAAGGCAGGAGTACCTTTAATAGATATCTTTGTCCATGAGAGGCAAGAGAGGTACACCGGCGTAGTGAAAACGACTGAACCTTATGAGAAATTGACACGAGAAGTGGACTAATGGAAAGTTCGGACGATGGACCAATAGGCTGATCCCTGACATTGAGCAGTGGGTCAACAGACCGTATTGTGGGACTACTTTCTGATCCAAGCACTATCTGGACACGGCGGCTTCAGAAAATATCTAAAAAATAGGGTAAGAGCTGAATTCAACGAATGCTTATACTGCAATATAGAGAATGATGTTGAACATCCAATGTTCAGATCTAACAAATAGCAAGAGTTCAGAAAAAATATCAGAAAGAAGCGGAAAAGTTATATAATGATATATTTGATGACAGAAGAGGAGGAATGAAAACAAACCTACATGGTCATCAGGCTCATTATAGAAACGAAAGAGAAGAAAAAGAGAGACAGGGCGCTGATGCAATCTGAAAACGGTTCCACTGGGAATAGTGAATGGCAAGAAGGAGGGGGTTTTACTTGGTAAAAATCAGGCACAATGTCTTATGCAAGATATTCCCTCCTCCTGCGTCTGTGGTTGTCTTCTGTTCGACGTTTCGGCTTCTGCTTTGAAGCCCTGGTAGTCGTGTCAGGAAATTTTCCTCTCCACACATCGAACACTCAAGACTTGCCCCTGTTACCCGTGTAGGTGAGGGATTAGGGGTTCTGCCAACAAATTTTGGGTGTATGCCGTGTGGTCTACACCGTACACTTTTGTGTTTACCTCTTAGGACACTCATGTTAGGAAAGTTACCTTTCCACCGTAGGATCATTCAATGCCGAGGACTCTTGCAAGACACCTCTACCACACATCTAGCAGAAACCGGCCAACGCCTGTTACCCGCTGATGCTGAATTGGTAGTTGAGCCGATAACTTCAATGGGTGAACGCCGTGTAGTCTGCACCGGTTACCCGTTTCTCTTGGAACTGAATAAAGTGAGAAAGAAGCCAGTGACGAGAATTGGGGGCAGGTAGATCACGACCCGGTGCCGAGTCATACAGCTTCAGTGTCAATTGGTTCTTGAAAATGGCTTCAAAGCAAACGCGGTTCAACCCGAAAATCTATCCAACGAAACATTCCTGAAGATGTTTCACAAGCAGATGATGTAAAGCATGATTTATAATTATTTTCGTTTATACAAGAGTTTTCTGAAAAATGTAATACATCAAAGTTATGTTTTTTCAATGTTTCGTCAAGGTTATTCATTCCTAAATACAGCAGAATTCGAGATGTTGCAATTTTTCTGAAAAATCAGTGTGTCTGAAAAACCAAACTTATTATCTCTGATTTTTCAAATGGAACCCCTTATATATTGTGACACCAAGATGAAGGTCTCCTATACGAAATTGTCAGAAACGGTAATCTTGGTTGAGCTTGTGCATACCTTATTTACATAACTGAGTTCACAACTTTGTGTCGAACTATACCATTTGGTGCTACCACATTTATAAATAACAGAATCGAGTCCACGTTGGAAATCCAGACTTATCCGATAGCAGTTGTAATACACAGTATCACCGTCACATAAGAAAATGTGGACATGTTTATCTGCTTTGGTTCTAACTGACAGAGGTATATTGAAATTCCTACTGTTGCTGATTGTAAGTACTTCTTTATAATCCTTCGCACCTGTTGATTTGAACACTGGGAACACTGAAAGATAATTTACAAATCATTATTGAAATCCCAAAATATTTGATATTGTGTCATTCATTCATTGTGTTACTTATACGTTATACCTTTCCTTTTTTTATAGAGACGCTAGGTAACTCATGACCAGATTGAATCAAATATAACAGCGATTATCTTTTAATTAGGAATTCGAGAAATTGAAAGACACGCAAGTTTGAGCTTTAGATTTTTTCCATACTCCATATCATTTCAGCTAGAGAATGCCGTTGTACCGAGATCAATATCTTTTTGAATCAAAAGATATTCAATGAATTGATGGATGTAGCCGTTACTACATGGTAGGAGATCATTTTTCAAAAAGGTATTCCTTTTTGATTTTTTCAATATTTTTTCATCCGGCGTTGATGTCAACACTTGGTTTTGCAACTGACCGCCTTGGGGAGCATCGTTTATGTTTAATATTCGAGTTCTCTGTCTCTCTGTCTCTACCTTCTTCAGAACGACAGAATACAAGTAGATCTGCAAGCTTACGCAGATGACATTATCATCCAGACGAGGTACAGGTCGAGAAAAGTAGCTTGTAATATCCTCCAAAGAACGATGGACGTTATTCAAAGTTGGTGCCTGAGGAAGTAGATGTTTGTCAGCCCCAGCAAAACTGTGATAATCCCCTTAACCAGGGGGAGAAAGTTGGACGGTCTAACGCCACTTTCCCTCAATGGCGGGGTCATTCCATTTGGAACGGAGGTGAAATATCTTGGCATTGTTCTTGATAGAAACTCACCTGGAACGCTCATTTGGAAAAAGTTTCACACAAATCCAGACTGTCTCTATGGATATGCCGAAGGATTTGTGGTAAAACTTGGGGTTTAGGTCCCAAACAAGTCCATTAGATATAGGTATGTGATGACTGTCACACCAATGATCACTTATGGGGCAATTGCGTGGTGGCCGAAGGCTTTACAGAAAACGACACAGGCGAAGCTCTCTGGCTTACAGGTTTGTCTTCTAGATCTACCTACTCTCCACATTTTTCTGGAGAGAGAAGCTAGATGGACTGCATGACATCATGCCTCCAACTGTCAAGTACGAACTGCCTTATAAAGTACTGTTCCCGATTAGAGATCCTCCGGCAGAAGGAGGTATTAAGAGCAGATAACTGTTGGTTCACAGATGGACCAAAAACATTGATCAAGAGCATTGGAAGCTCTTGGCTCCTACAGAGCAACGTCTAAGTTGGTAGCAAACTGCTAAAAACAACTCTCCTCAATAGGAAGACTTAACAAATTGTCTCTGGTCTGGATTCCTGGCCAAACTGGCCTTCCATAGATGGCTAAGATGGATGAGAGGAGATGTCATCACACTTCACTCAATCATGGTTACTTCAAACGAATAATGAAAAGGCTCTGACTTGATGATCACGATGTCAACAGAGTCACATAAAATACCTGCACTTAGAGTCATTGAACAGTCAAATGGATTTGAAAGTGGTTTTTGTAAATGGCTTTGAAATGAAGTTATTCGCTGTCGTTCCCAAACTAGGACAACCATCATGAATTGAAGCTTATGCGTGCTGGATCCAAAAAAATATTTTAGACTCAACTGTACGAAGTGATCACGATGAACTTTTTGCAATTTTTCATGAATTCTTTCCAAAACTGATCAAAAGGCAACGGAATTGAAAGAAACATTGAAGGATTGAAAAATACAGCGAGAAATATGGCAAATCTTTAAAATCATATTTTTTGGTTTCTAAAGACTTGAAAAGGAATAGTTTTGTGCTAAATTGTAAAGAGTTACAAGAGTCTCTCACATATTTACGAGAAATATGGAATAAAGAGCATTCACAGTTGAACAAAAATAGTTTTTGCACATGTCAAGTGCAAGGGGACATCTTCATTTGTATTATCAATTTTCAAAGCAATATGAAAGTGACACTCTGAAGATGTTTTTGACTGAGGAAATACTCGAATCAAGTAAACAGCAAATGTACTCTTTTTGATATTTCCACTTTTCCAAAATTATAAAATCTAACAAACAAAGGCACATCCAGGATTTTGTTTATTGGAAAAGAGATTTTGTATTTGGAACCATCAGATATTCGATGATTTTCGAAGATTGTAACGCTGGACAGTGAGTTTCCTAGAAATTGGAAATATGAAAACTGCTGGAGCAAATGATGATTGTTTCTTACAATATACTCTCATATCTGCATTCGACTATTTAAAATCGTTACTTACCCTCCCACCTTCTGTCTGTAACGTATTGTTTGATGGGACCATGAATAGCTTGGATGACATTCCAGTTGTCAACTGTCCAATATTTTGTCCACTGGTTTGAATTTTCGAAGGTTGCCAAGGTTTCTGATGTCGGATAAAATGACGACACTGAAAAAACAGTTTTTATGGAAAATTTGTTGCTATGTCGAAGGGTCGAGAAAACTTTTCATTGTTACAGCACCACCAAAAATGAGTCTTCTTAACACAGCTCTTTCATCCCTACTCTGAAGGCCAAATCTTCACGCAAAACGTGTTTCTGTATACAAAAGCTCCCTCAGGCGGAAGCCTGAAAAAGCTATTGTAAAGTGAAACAATTGTTGTGGTTTTGTAAACTTTTCAGTGAAAATCTCATGATAAAGTGAATTCTCATCAAGTATCAGCAAATTCCACTACATGTAGAAAATATTATTATTTCGAGTGGAACTGACTTATACCCAATGTGAATCATTGAATACCACATTCATCTCTTGAATAATTAAAATATCAATTTATGCTAATGCATACGTGGTTTCTTGATAAATGGTCACGGTAAATCAAGTTCAAAAACTTTATTTAATTATTCAAATTGCAGCTCTAAACACTTCAGTCAATGACTGTACTTATTCCACTCGTTTACTTTGTCTGCTCTCCGAACTAATTTCACCTGCACAGTTTCTATAAGTTTTACGATCTCAATCGACTATATTCGAATAAGTTCTTTTTCACGTTCCTCTTCTGTTTGGAAACCCCGGAGAAGAAAAATGAAAAATACATTCTTTGAAGTTTGTCGTATAAACCTTTCCAAAATTTTTGCAGATGTAAAAACGTCTCGCTTTGAAAATTCTATTGTCAAAAATTTTATCAATCGATAAGTGATGACAGAACTTTTTCTATCAAAATTGAAAAAGCTTCTTGTATGAAACACGCTGGAAAATTGAATGATTCACGTTGCTTTTCATACAAGTCACATATTTTTTTCAGTCTTCAGCAATAGTAAGAAAGAAAAACTTCCAGTGTAACATTTTTGAGTATTCATTCAGTTATTTCTATCTTCCTCGTTCAACAACAATTCAGCCATTAGGACCTGAGACTTATCTCACATAACCTGAGTTACATTTTAGAAGCGCTCACTATTGACGTACTGTCCCAGTTGATGAGAAAGCAATGAAACATGTTCAATATTTGCATCACCTACCTAAATTGTTTCTGCCTTCATCTGTGTCTTCAATATCTTTAATGATTGCCAATGCTGATGAACTATTCGTGATGCACCATTTATTTCCAACCATGAATATTTCTTCTTGGCTTTTTGCGAGACGTAGTAGAGTTAATCCAAACAATATTATTCTGAAAACACAGAAGTGATTTTTCATCAGTTCGTACTTCCATTGTCTAATATAATATAAATTGATTTGAAACCCTGAAAAAACAATTAAAAAATTAATAAGATTAACTGAAAATAACCATTTTATTAAACAAAAAAATGAAATTACAAAAAATTCACATACAAGCTACAACCAAACAAAATAGAAGTTGAAATATTAATAAAAGCTGAAAAATACAGAATATACAGAAAAAAACAGAAGTGATTTTGTTGTGAATATCATTTAAAAAGTTTATGAAGTGTAAATTTACGACAACAACATTCTAACCTCTCCTCTTGAATAATTTTGAAAAATATTTTTAATTTGCTCTGTCATTATGTAACTCAAAAATACAACAAGCATAGCAACAACAAGCTATGAGATTGGAACGAGCTTTTTTGAGAGTGTTTAGAAAATAAAATATGAGACATGGGTTCACTAATTTGATATGCAAACCAGTCAACAAGCATCGGATTGGCGCCAGACGTGGAAAAATATTTTTCATGTTTCTTCCTACTTTGTGATAATTTTGAGGCATGAAAGATTTCAAAATCATAGTTATAAACAGGGATGGCCAACTTCCTTTTCCCAAAGGGCCACTTCAATTCTTTCACTAAAAGCGGAGGTCGCACAAAAAATTTAAGACAAATTTAAGCTACATAAATATACAGTGTCACACATAAAGTCCGCATCAAATGGGATTTTTTTTATTCATCTCTTCAAGCAACTTTTGATGTCTCCATTAGGTTGTGCTTTAAAAATGATGCCAAATGACATGCATATGACCGATCAAGTGATTTTTCTTCCCTGTCCAATTTGACATTTTTTCCAAAAAATGTTCAGAAAAGCAGTTATTGCTCGAAATTTCGAAAATCGGTAAAGAGAAAAGATGATTGTTTTTTATATACCAATTTTTAGGTCTCTAGTACAAATTTAGTTTTTTTACAGTTTTTCGAAAATTTGACATTTCTCAAATTCAGCCAAACCTCAACAAAGTTAGTGCTTTATGCCTAACTTATCTTTAAAACGCATTTTTATTACCAATTGCAATTCTAAATACAACTTATTTCGCAAAAATTTAAAACACCAGAAAAAATTATGCCAAAAATGATGCAAAGTTGATACAGTTTTTAAAAACAGATAAATATTTCACTTTATTTCTACTTTTTGCGAAATAGCTTGATACATAAGCATAATTAAAAAACAATATCAATTAAAAGTCAATAATTTATTCTTCACTGCACTTTTCAAACAGTTAAACTTTTATTCACTAATTACGAAAAATTACAACGCAATTAAACTAAGGGAAGGAATTATACGAAAGTAATTTCACATTTACTAAATATCTTTTATGAGGTATGAATGAACAAAATTACTTCAGAAATCGATTTAGATTTTGTTGCCTAGAAAACTAAACCGTAAAAAATTCTAACAAACATCTGTTTAAATAAAGTTATAATTTAAATTAAGAACACTAAATCAAATCGAAACATATGCCTAAACCATGTAAAAACCAATAGAAATACAACATAAAAAGTCACATTTCGGTGTGCCTTCCACCACGTTCAATGCAATCAATTGTCCTTTTTAAAACATCTTTAACTACATTCTTTATACTACGGGGTTTCGTGCTTACAACACATTCTCGAATAACTGCCTCTAAATGGTTTATATCTCGAAAAGGTCTTTGCTTATACACCTTTTGTTTTAAGTAACCCCACAAGAAGAAATCTAGTGGGGTTATATCAGGAGATCTAGGCGGCCAAAAGTGTTCCATATTGCGACTGATTACTTTGCCCCTAAATATTTCCAAAAGACGCTCTTTAACCACCCTTGTAGTATGAATAGGTGCACCATCACCACACACATCACCCGGCAGGTACCGGGTATCATGTATCATTTATGATAGAATAAGCAACATAGGTATAAATTACTCAGATTTAAATGTAATCAGTTAGTTTTGAAAATGGTGTAATAGCCGAAACCGGTCAACAATAAAGAAATATAGTGGAAAATAGACAAAAGTGTGTTTTTGTAGTGTATCCCCAGTATATAATGCATAATTTTTTTATGTATTGCTTCACTCTGTTTCGCCCTACATGTCCATGATACATTAACGTTTACTATAATTTCTCAAAAAAACTCACATTTTGATTGAATCCATGTCACATTATTCTTTAATCACCGTTATCAACTGAAACTGAACTAACACTGTTTAATGTATTTTCCTATCTGAGGTTTTCCTGCATGTTCATGATTCATTTTAGGTATCCGGTAGAGAAGATATCGCTATAAATGATTATGAGAATAAGTAATACTTGAAATGAATTGAAATGCTTTATTTATATCTAAATGCCACCAGCCCAGTTGAATGGGGATTGAAATTAATAAAACAACTTTTTTCAGTTCCAAACAGGCTTTGGAATATATTTTTACCAAATTATTCGGTATTATCAAAAGATTTTTTTACACTAGGTGCTTGACAACCATTCCAACAATTGTGGGCTCTGTTCTAGTTTGTAAAGATCGCTTGCTGGATGTAAATCATAATTTGGGTTGGCCATGAATTGTTTTCAGACTGAGACTAGTTTTATATTGTACCAACCTTATTAATCCACCTTTTTTTGTGGGTTAACTACATCAAACAATCGTGTATGTAAAGATCTGGAACTGTGGATTCATTCCACTTCCAATTAAAAAACTTCTGAACAAAATTATAAGGTGTGATATACACGTTGAACTACAAGGAGCCTACAGTCAGCGGATATCTTGATTTTCGAACATCCTTCTTAGCAGGGGAAGGGAATTTAAATGCGCTCAACACAGACAAGAATTTATTCATAATTCGACAATTCTTTAACATTGCAGTGTTTGTGAAATTTCTGACCGATCTTAGGAACGAATTTGCTACAAGATTCCAAGACTTTGCAGAGATTGTCAAGCTATCTCCGTTTCTTAAATCGTCATTTGAAGTTGATGTAGCAGCAGAAAGGACACATGTGGCTGCCCAAAGTATCACTTCAAATAGAGATAATTTGTTAATGTGTTTTTGCAAATGTATATAGAATGTTTTCCACTGAAGATTTTTGGGCCAAATATGTTCCAGAAAAATATGAAAATTGTAAAAGACTAGCTATCAATTTGGCCACTATACCGGGTGTCCCACATTTTATGTGACAGGCAATATTCGGTTTGTTGAAGGAGATACACAAAAATGTTTCATACAAAAGTTTTAGGAGTTCATGAGAGCTATATTTTGATATAATTTTTAAATATACAGGGTGTTTGGTGTAGGTGCTACAGACCGAAATTCCATTTTTTAAAATAGAACGCCCTGTATATCATTACATATTCAGATGCTACGTTAAATTCTAATATCATTTCATGTTTGGTTTTTGAAATTCGGTTACGGCGTAGCATCTGAATATGTAATGATATACAGGGCGTTCTATTTAAAAATTATATCAAAATATAGCTCTCATGAACTCCTAAAACTTTTGTATGAAACATTTTTGTGTATCTCCTTCAACAAACCAGATATTGCCTGTCACATAAAATGTGGGACACCCGGTATATATATATGAATATATATATAGTAGTTAGTAGGTTAGACGTGTCTGGAAAACGCAAAGCATTATTTTTCTGAAAATTCCACCTCTCACATTTCCTTACCTGTTCTATCGATCTGAAATATTTTCAGCATTGCGGCGTTGTCACTTCTATCAAAAAGTCCCAGCAATTATATTTTTTCAAATGGAACACCCCGTATATCAATATATTTTGGGAATCGCTCTAGTATTTTAATACTTTTTTGTTAATAATGTCCTATACCTATCTCTATCTGTTTTCGAGATAAAAAATAAATTGTGCTAAATATGGTCGTTACTTTTATAAGTAATTTACAAAGAGTTATCGACGGTGTTTCGAATCATCTTCCAAAATGAATGCAAATATTGATTATTCAAACGAAGTTCTTATGACATTATTTATTATACACGGACAGTGTGATCAAATCATTGCCAGAACTTGTAGAAAATTCAACCAAATGTATCCTGAATTAACACCAATGAACGAGGGGAAGTTTGTAAGATTACAAAATAATTTCCTTAACTATGGCTCCATGTTGAAAGCGCCTTCAACATTACCAAAACCTGTTACTTCAAATGAGGACAATACTGTTGACGTTTTGGCATATTTTTATTCATATCCAGAAGCTTCCATTCGCAGTGCAGAAAAAGATTTAGGTGTATCACATGCTTCAGTACAACGAATTTTGAAAAATCACGGAATACATCCGTATAAATTTACGAAAGTTGTAGCTCTAAAAGCAGAAGACTTCGAACGTAGAATGCATTTTTGTGAATCCTTTTTGATTCATACACAGGAAGATCGGGAATTTTTATCAAAAATAATTTGAAGCGACAAATCAAAATTTACGAGGGATGGTATTTTCAATAGAAGGAATAAACATTTTTGGGCTGATTATAATCCTCATGTTACAAAAGAAATAGGTTTTCAAGAAAAATTTGACCTGAATGTTTTCTGTATTCTGAAGAACAATAAAATTAGCTTTTTTATTTATGAAGACACACTGAATGCAGAGACATATCTCCAAATATTAAGGACGACTGTAACCGATTTTATTGAAAATTTGCCTTTAGAGGAATATAGGAATTCGTGGTTTCAACTGGACGGAGCGCCAGCTCATTCCACCCAGGAAGTTTCCAGGAAACTTGACGAACTCTTTGACGATCGTTGGTTTAGGCGTTTAGGGCCGTGGGATTGGCCACCGAGATCACCCGATCTCACGCCACTTGACTTTTTAAGGGGTGTTTTAAAAGAAAGGGTATACAGTACTCCAGTGCCTACCAAAGAAGAATTGCGACGGCGAATAGTGCGGAGTATTGAAGATCTGGATCCCCAGGAAATTGAAAAAGCAACCACAAGTCGCGTACAAAAAAACATTTTTAAATGTTTAAAATGTAATGGACAACATTTTTAGCATTTATTGTGAAAATGTGATATTTTGTTTATAATTTTGTTATTTTGAATCATCCTATTCTGTTATTGTCTGTACTTTCACATGTTTTAGCCCACAAAATCTTACTTTTTACGAAGAAATGACTGATTTTTGGTACAGTTGTTCCCTGGAAACTGAGCTATAGTTGAAGAAATTCTTTTGTGACCTTACAAACTTCCTCTCGTTCATTGGTGTTAATTCAGGATACATTTGGTTGAATTTTTTACACGTTCTGACAATGATTTGATCACTTCGTTCATGTGTATAATAAATAATTTCAAAAGAACTTCGTTTCAATAATCGATATTTGCATTCATTTTGGAAGATGATTCGAAACACCGTCCATAACTCTTTGTAAATTACTTATAAAAGTAACCGAACTGCTATAAGCTTGATAATTCCACTGCTACCTAAATCCAAATTCTAAAAAAAAGATAATGTTTGTTGAAGAAGCGACTTTATTGAGAAAACTTGTCAATTTAGGTATAGGGACATGATATATCATCTTGAAGCATTTTTCACCATCTTTCAATTTACCGAGTAATATACAGGGGGTTTCATTTGAAAAAATGAACTTTTGATTACTTTTATGCACAATGGAAATAATAGTAATTTTAGCACGCCCTGTATGATATGGAGTCGATTTCTTGGTGTTATTTGAATATTTCGAGTTTGTCCAAAATATCAACTTTTCATGAATTGAGAGTAAGTACTGATGTACTTAATTTTAATTAAGGCTATGTTTTGGACCATATTTGTTTATATTTCATTTATATTTTATTCAACCAATGTTTTTCAGAAAATGCGACTTTCAAAATTTTTATTTTTATCTTTATGGTAGGACTCAAGATATTTTCATCAATCTACTAGCTTATATTCTGATTTCATACACTTGACTATGTTTTTTCTTTCTGAAAATGTTCACAAAAGCTTTGTCAATAATAGCTTTCCTTTGGACAATAAATCATATTTATTATTATTATTATTAATAGTCTGGCCAATATTATACCCAATGGAAGTAAAACAACACAAACTTACAATATTTTTATTACAAAACATTCTAACAATTTACAAAATTTCAGTTTTCAACGTCAATGAATAGATATATAAATAAATTTCAATACATACACAATATACCATTTCTATCAACAGTCATTATTTTTTCACCAGAATTATTGGCTAAGTTCTGGACTCTGGGAGGGAAATTATATGTACATTAAACAGTCTAGAGCCCATTTAACATTTTGAGGTTAGAACTAGCAGGGTAGAGATAGTTTTGAGCCCATTTCATTATTAAACGATGATATACGAAGTCTGTAGAGCGTGTGGCAGCAAAGTTTGTTCCAAAACTGCTGAATTTTGACCATAAACACCGTCGCATGTAAATTTTCCAGGAATTGTTGAACGTCAACCCATTCTATGAGTCATAACTGCTGACAAATCATAGGAATCAAAGTTCAATCGTCCCAATGGAAAAGCCCAAAAGAGCAAAGTCCACAAAAAGTACGTCTAGTTCGTTCAAAAGTCAAGATGTTGCTCACGATAATGCACATGCTATTCATCATAGCTTATTCGTAATGTATTTGGCAAAAACAACACCGTGATCATGCCTCAGCCACCGAATTCACCAGATTTCCCTCCTGCAAACTTTTTCCTGTTTCCAAGATTGAAGAGAACCATGAAAGGAGAGCGTTCTGCGGCGATTGAGGAGATTGAAACCGAATCGCCCAGAGAGCTCAAGGACATACCAAAAAAAGGTTTTCAAGCTGACTTGAGGATTGGAAAAACCGCTGGAACAAGTGTATTATATCTTTCAACTTTCGAACCGAACAAGATTTCCAGATCGGAAAATATAGTTTTGGGCGACAACTTAATTCGTTGAGAATGTAAATTTAGTGAAGTAAACTGACAAAAATACTCTCTCTGACATTCCAAATTGAGTGGTCTCCTTATGAAAACGAAAAAGAGCCATCAGCAGGAACTGTATCGGCAATTCAGGAAGTCGCAAGAACCCCTCGATTTTTGACCGGGGATAATTTGTTTGGTATCTTCAAACTCCTCCACTTCAACCTCCCTCCCCTCCATAAGGTTGACAATCACACATTTGAACCCCTCTTTGTACCCCTTAAACGTTCACGGGCTTGTGGGAACCATCTCCAGCATCCTGCTTCCTACCCTCAGTCTTCTCAGAACCGCTCTGCCACCCCGAATCGATGGTAGCGTCGCTGTGGCAGCCTTGCCCTTGGACTTCATCGTCGATATTGGCGTCTCCGTAAAGCAGACCTGCTGGGTTGCCCCCCAAATTCTGGATCAACGCAGAAATGTTCGAGCCTATATTCCTCCTCGTCTGCTGGTTCAGGTTCAGCGTTTTAGGCGGGACGTTCTTCGATCCAGAGTTGTTGTAACCGAAGTTTGCCGGGTTCTGGTTGTAGTAGTTTTGGTCGTAGTTCAGCCCCGATATGGTGGTGGTGAGGTTGCTCGTGTTCTGTCTGTATCCGTCTTGTTCGGGTATGACCTGAAAGTAAAGCAGAATTCTTAGTATGTGTTTGTTTCATCAACCACCTGGAGGTGAGCGCCCTTTGCCGTGGTGGGCCTCCTTTGCCGATATACTCGTTTGACCCGTTATAGACCCTAAAGTAACTAACGTCTGGGTGAACAGAGGAGATGGAGATCGACTGGACACCTTTTCCCCTAGATGTAAACCACTGCGATTTTTTTTTATGGTGCATATCCGAAATATGTCACAGAAGAACTACTTTCCCAGCCACTCACCTATATTCCCTACAGATCTGAAGAAGATAGTCGCAGACTAACTGCCGATCAACGGGGTTGTTTAATGATTTTTGGTTTATAGTTCACTTGATAGAAATTTTAAATTGAAAAACAGTGCACTTTGTTTCATCTCTCTAAGTACCGTAGTCTTCCCGTAATTAATTATTAAAAATCGAATGTGGTAGGGTGGTGACGTCACGGCCCTATTCCCGCTTCTTTTTCGATTGACCAATAGGAACAATAGAAATAATCAACGTTGCCAAATCGTAAAATTTACGTCGCCTATAATTATCAATTTAATTATGGAAGTGTATAAGGACCCGTTAACGTTTCAAATTCTCCACATGGAATGAAATGTACACGAAAAATCATGTTTGGAAATAAGTTATATATCTAAAATCAGTACACAAAGTCGATAGATTACAAAATATTTACCTAAACTATGATTTTATGCATTATTTTATAATATACAGTTATGAAAATCAAAAAAATATAGTAAACTTGATTCAAGAATCATTTCAAATATTCAATTTATTCTACAGTCCTCAATCTGTACAGCTGCAATTTATTATAAAAAAAACGATCCCTACATACATACCTCTTTCTAATATAGCTACTAAATTCAAGCGTTATAGGCTCGCTTGGGTAATCTGTTGAATCTTCCAAAACTTGAGAGGAAGGTTGAATGAGGTAAAAAATAGGAAATATGCAAACATTTTTTAAATTTTTTTTATTCAATATTCACTTCATTTTGATATAGAAAAAAAAATAAACATAGCTGCAAGAGTAGTAATTATTTTTTCATAAAATCTTAAAAATATTGGTTTAATTTGACAAGTTCAAACGCTCCTATTTCTCGGGCGCTTGAGGCGTGACGTCATAGGGCACGTCCTGTCAGTTTATTGTTTACATTGAGAGTTAACAAGGTGTTTTAGTTTAAATATCCCGTAATAATCATGGAAGAAGAAGAAAAGCCATTTTACGGACCAATGTGTCCGAACACTATAAAAAGTACACCAGATGAAGTTTCATAACCTTAAAGTTCATAACCTTATTTACGTATGTCATACAATGAATGTAAACAACATTTGAGGTTATATTGAGGGAAATAATTTTATGAGTGCATGCATAAAAACAGATTTACTAGATTAAAAATACCATGTTTTACAATAATTACCTTGCAGCTTTTACTCCCTTAACCTCAGCAGATGTAAAATCCGGGTTTGACGCAAAATATGTGGTTATCATGAATGCATCTATTTTTGGAAGATTATCTGACTGGGCTTTCACAAAACCGTTGTCCGTCATTGCTGTTGATGACGCTTAGTATTTCTTGACATTAAAATATTAGAAAACTAAGTTAGAATAGCAATACAAACAATTTTTCTCTCCAACAAAACCTGAATGTATGAAAATAAATCACAGGTGTCTGACAGGACATGCCGTATGACGTCACGTTTCATTTCGACCAATGGTGGGGCATTTTACAAATTTGAATTTCGCTCGTAAATTTTTCACTTTTTGATTCATGTTTCAAATAATTGAACACATATTAAATTAGAAAATAACGAATTGAGTGTAATACTTGGACCTTAAAAACCCAGGAAAAAAAAATCAGGCCATTTTTTTTGTGTGCCTTTCCGCACAATTAAAATCAGCACAGGAATGCACCATATTAATAGTCAAATATATCTCTAAAACACTTTTAAAACATACACAAACTAAACTCAATGAAAAAACGAATTATTGCTATGTGAGCTGTCACCTAAGACAGAGTTAAAACTCAATGTTGCAAAAACAAGCCGAATGGATCCGATATGACATAGATTTTCAATGCCGAATAAACCAATAAATTGTGATTCTCCTGAGAAAATGAAGGATCAATTGAAATTTTTCTGTAATTATTCATTCATTTTTTTAAGAATAAAGCCAGCAAACAAATAAATATACAATAATAAGATCACTCGCTTCCATGAATTGAGCATAGAAATGGACAATAATATTTGCCTTGATAACTGATACAGTACGAGTTGGGTTTATCTAAATATGATTTTAAATAGAATTAAACGAGCTGTATTTTCAAATGGTTTTCGAATGCTCAAGAACCCTAAAAAATAAATCAATTATGCATTCATGCCACCCACCAAAAATAAGAAATTCAACGTTACTGGTATATTAGCCATATTGTCATCCAGTCAGCCAGCGCCCTCTGTAGTTTATGCGACAATGTGCTCTTTCTAATGTCAATGGTTTTCAGAAACTTCGTATTTTTGTTGAAATAATTTCAAAATGAACATTTAGCCTAGTTTTGCTGAAGCTGACTCCCGACAACTTACCAAGAGTAGATTTTGAAATGATCGATGAATTTTACTTGAAAAATTTGCAATACTTTGGTACCGAAATGAAGAATGAAAAATTGAAACTGTAAGTGATATATTTAGTAGGTCCCTTTTATTTATATGACATTCATTTCAGACTTTGTCTTTTATCGAAGGATGGAGAGTTTTGATTCAGTTTTTATTTTATCTCGGCTAAGGAGCAGTATGGTGACTGAAAAGAGAAGCAAAAATATGTACAGTGAAATGTAGAATTACTCCAGAACATATCAATCCAAAAAATAACCTGAAAAAATATTTTTCGGAATGTAAACTAATGACACGGAATATGCAGCAAAATAGGCACCCGCCTAACCTACCTTTTACAAAAAAAACGTTCTTTAATTACATAATTGTTACAGTTGTATTCACACCTTGTTGACAACAATAACAACAAAAATGGTGTCTGTCAAATTGGATCATCAGATCTGTGATTGGATATTAAAAACCAATACACTTGGCAACTCCGCTCTAGACACGATCAATTTTATTGGTCAACAGATACGCGGCCAATTTAAATTCTTGTTTTTCGAATTATTCTTTTTTCAGCAAATATAAAGAGATTTTGAGATCGATTAGTCTTGATAAGTTGTAATTCATGTGTAGAAAAATATTTTGTTGATAAAAATAAAAACAACAATAATAATAAGTATAATATACCCCTAACTCGATCAGTCAAACCAGTATAATTTTCTTTAGCATGAAATAAGCCCATTCCTCACTGGATACAGGATAATTTACCATGTTTTGTTAACCTTGAAAGTAACGTCCAAAACTGCTTGTTCTCTTCAGTAATACCAAAGGGTATTGGTCAGTCTGAACGTGCAATCAAAATTCGATTAAAAGAACACACAGCCTATATCCGATTTGAGAGACCAGAACTGCCTAGTGTTGCTCAACATCCCTGAAGAACAACCATAGAATGAAGGAAACTTTCGAGACCTGTACGTGACACTAGAATTCTGAATGTTGTAGAAGGATGGGATGACAAACAGCCTATCAAACCACAATTTCAGTTTAACACTTACCTCGTATTGAGCATCCGGCGCTAGGTAGTGATCTAAAGAAGCGTTGGTGAAGCCCCTTCTGGCGGTTTGCTCGCAAGATTTCTCCTGGAAGTAGCTGCAGCATTCGTCGGGAGATATCGTGTCGTCTGTCGTTTCTGTCATGGGGGTTTGAACGCTGCTGCACAGGCTGTTTTGGGATATGTCTTTGGGAAGCAGCTGGATGCACGAGTCCGTGGTGAACTCCAATTCAGAAGGATTTGGAAGCGGGAACGGCATTCTGCTCCTGGTCGACATCTGCCTGTTACCTTTAGTAAAGATACCTTATATGAACTGAGGAGGGTCATAAGTGTTATTTATTTGAGTATTTTCAATTGGTTTTGAAGTTTGAATCGCCAGTTTTAGGAATCATCTTGGTGCCACCAGTTCGTTCCCATTTAAAAGCAAGATCTGCCGAAAACATCCCCGCTGTCTGTAAAAGTTTGCGGGAGAATCAATGGCAGTCGATTTTGCGTTGCTAACAAGAACTTGGCCTTTCGCAGACCACAACTGTACAAAATTCAACTGTCCCAGGAACTGAAGGTAAACGACCATAGACAACGACGCGTGCTCGCTGTATGGGCTGTGGAGCCTCATCTTCAATGATGATGCCCATTTCTGGATGAATGGATACGCGAACAAACAAAATTGTCGAATTTGGGACGATATCAATCCACATGATCGAAGATCCATCACAGCGTCACAAAACTCAACGGCCTTCTACGCCAGCATAACCCATGTCATCGATCAAATTCAGCCTTATTTCGATGATATCCCACACACACACACATTTTGTTTTATTGTAATAAAAGACCCTATATTAAGTTTGATTGGTATATTTGTGAAGAAATTAGATTTCTTTAATTTTGAATTTGGCGCGCTTTGCGTACTGGCATAGCAATGTCAAACTTTTTAGTCTGCAGTTTTTGGTTAGAGGTTAGATTTATTGGAATGTGGCGTCAAGAAAAAGGCCGAGAAATAGTTTCATATTGAGATTTATTTGGTGTTTTTTGTTTAAAGGTGATTGACAATGTTTCATGATGACTTTCACTAGTTCGGACTTCCATTGTCTAATATGTAAAATGATTTGAAATACCCGTACCAACTGAAAAAGAAGAATTAAAAATAGATAGCTGAAAATAACAGTTATATTAAGCAAAAATAACCTGAAATAAAATAATAGTGAAATAAAATACAAGTAAAATTAAAACGATTGAACTAAAATAAAGAAATACAAATAAATATAAATAAAAAAAGTTGAGAGATTCCAAGCCACGATTGTTAGTATCTATAATCGTCTTCGGGTGATGACTGGACTGATTCCTCCGAGAGATGACTATTTATGGGTCGTTCGAGTACTTTCACTTATCCCCAATTTCCATTTTTCCGCTTCACTGGTTCAGTGGGAGATGACCGTTTGGCGGGAGTTGGCCATTTTTCGTTTGATGATGGGTTTCCATATGTTGCGTATCTCTACGCTAGCTTGGCTGAATACGTTGTTGGACAGCATGTATGCGGCTTCCTTGAATTTTCTCTTAAACCAATGTTCCTCTCTGTGCAAGATCTCAGCTTGGGACCACTCGATGTTGTGTTGATGGCTCCAAACATGGTCTGCTATTCCTGATTTGCTGGTTTCCCCTCGCTGGGTGTGTTTCTTGTGCTCGGCAATGCGAACATTTAATGGCCTCTTAGTTTCACCAATATAGGATTTTCCACACTCACAGGGTATTCGGTAAATGCAATTCTTGGAATCGCAGTCCGCATTTGGTGACCTGGTTTTCGTGAGGCTACTACGGATAGTGTTACCAGATCTGAAGCAGGTTCTGATGTTGTACTTGGAACCAATTCTTCTTATCCTTTCCGATAATCCTCTGATGTAGGCAAGTGCAAGCACTGGTTGTGGCGGCTTCTTTTCCTTGCGAGGCTCCTGCTGTCATTTAGCCAAAGTCTTTTCCACCATCTTCTTTGATAAATAACTAACAAAATAAATCTTTCATTTCAGCAACACACTGGTTTATTTCAATCTTAACCCATAAGATATAGTATTATAAAACCACATAAAACGTCTATTCCGCCTTTCCAATTTGTAGAGTCACAAAATGAATCTCAATATGAAACTATTTCTCGGCCCTTTTCTTAACGCCACATTCCAATAAATCTAACCTCTAACCAAAAACTACAGCCTAAAGCTGGCGGTTCGCACCGCGACCGCGACCGGAGACCGCGACCAGAGACAGAGACAGGAGACCGCGACCGGTACTTATCATAAGGCTTTGTATGTGTGCCAGTGCGCGCGTGCGACCGAGACGGGAGACAGAGACGCTAGACAGGAGACGCTAGGAGGAAGAAAACACATCGGTAGAACCAACTCAAGCAAGTCGTGTGACACGTTGTTCTTGCCAGTCCACTGCTCCTTGCTGTGACATAAAGTAATCTGTTAAATTTGCTCTAATGTTTAGTCCGTTACTGTTCGAAAACCCTCCTGTTCCACGCAATGAAACAAAATTCGAAGTCAAAGAATGATCCTTCGTGGCCTCTACTTAAATATAATTCCTTAATAGGTAGCCTTTTTTTCGATTTGTAATAATATAAAAGTAAATCATCGTCTTCTTCTTCCTCTAGTAGTAACCTTACTTGGCTTTCCATTACACTATAATGTATAGGTACAGTACAACACAACTAACTTTAACAACAGACTCCACAATAATGAATGAATATTCACTTTGGTTGCTGTCTTTTGGTTTGGTCTCGACCCACAGTACATGAAAAAGAGACCGAGACACTTGTCGTGGTCTCCTGTCTCTGTCTCTGGTCGCGGTCTCCGGTTCTGTCGCGGTGCGAACCGCCACCTTAAGAAGTTTGACATTGGCGCGCCAAATTCAAAATTAAAGAAATCTAATTTCTTTACATATTTTTCGAAACAATGATACTTTGTAGATCTCGCCAGTAGTATATTTAATAATGTTCGTTTTTTACGTAACTTTGGTTTTGTCTTGAAAATCATTTTTGAAGAAACAAAACGGTTACCAGTGAATTTTTGAATCAAAAATAAGATAAATGTTGGAAAAAACTACGTAGATATTATTTTTATGTCTAATTCAAGAAATATCTGTTGGTTAAAACCGCGCTTTGAATCAGTCAGTCCACAACATTTCAATTCAGCGGTGAAGATAAAATTCAGAATATGATAAAGAATAAATTTACCCATTCTATGAGCTAAATAGTCCTCATCTTCGGTGACCGTGGATGACGAAATATTCTCCTGGAAGTTCTGTAGCAGCTGGTTGGTGCTCACGTCTTTGGCATCGGGTTTCTGCAGAGAAATCAACCTCGGTTTTTGCGTCTCCAAAGCTTCGTCGTACAGAGACGAATCTTGTCCGTCGTTCCGGACGGAGATATTGCAGCAGCTGCTCACGTCGGCAAAATATACCTGCGAAGAAACTAGTGAATCAGGCTCTGTTTCACTTTCTCTCCTACAGCTAATATTAATAGTCTAATCAAACAGTTCAAAAACATGAAAAATAGAGATAAAGGTCCTGAAAATATGAGCGACAGCTCATTCGATTCGGAATCACCTCTAGAAGAATGTTTTTGAAGGATTTTGGTGCAGGTAAGAAATTTCAATTGTTATTAGCAAAATAAGATTTATAAAAAAAAATTGTATTTAGTTTTTCGTTAATAACTCAAAAAATATTAATATTTGATCAATTTTGAAAAAAGCTCGTTAAAGAGGAGAAAATTTCCGATAAAACAGTCACGACTCTCGAAACTGTATCTCCATTATTTATAATTTTAATTTTGTTTAAAACAATTTAATGAACAAATTACGTAAAAAATTCATATACTATGTTAATAACTGCCATTGTTTGATGTGAACACAGAAATAGCTGGAGATAGAGTTTCGGAAGTCGGGACTTTTTCATCGGAAATTTCCTCCTCTTTAACGAGCTTTTTTCAAAATTGCTCAAATATTAATATTTTTTGAATCATTAACGAAAAACTAAATACCATTTTTTTAATCTTATTTTGTTAATAACAATTGCAATTTTTTACCTGCACCAAAATCCATCAAAAACATTTTTCTAGAAGTGATTTCGAATCGAATGAGCTATCGCTCATAACGGTTTCTAGAAATAAGATATAATTAAGAGTTATGTGATCAAAACCGATGATTGAAGAGCTTTTTCACACAACTCTTGTCAGTTTTAATACGTCAATTATGGATTTTGGGAACAAACCAGCTAGTATTGCCAACCTGTCGGCACGAAATGCCTCGCTTTGTGTGCGACTTCTTCAGAAGTTACAATTTTCTCTCAAATGTTACCTTTCGAACATAACCTGATACAACTTTTTCTCGATCAGGAACCACACTTATGCATGACTAGGTCAAGCCGGCACAAACTCCAGATCTCAACCTGTGAGCTCATGTAGCATTATTCAATTCTAGTCATTTCTAAATGTGAAAAATCAGTTCATTCGCCCTCACCTCAGACTCCGTAGCTTCCGGTTTCTGGGGACTGTTCTCCTGCGTTTGAAACCCCGCATTCTCCACACCTTGAAGCCTCGGCAGGAAGCGACACTTCTGTGAATCCCCCGCTTTGCCGTCCGCCACATTGGGCTCGTGGTAATCGTGTTCCGAACCGATCTTGTTCTCGTCCTGCCCCGCCTGATTGAACACGTTCTGGACGTTGATCCTGTTGGACATCTGCACGTTGGACTTGACGGACGCCATGTCGGTCCGCTTCTTCATTTTCCTCGCGGGGAGGGTATGCGACACCCTGTCCACGCAGCTGGAGGTGTCCGTGCTCTCGCTGTTGTCGTTCGGTTGGTGGATTTCCGGTTCTGTGGTGTTTTCATAGTTATCCTTGTTGCTGAAGTGGGGTCTCGTCCTGCGCGAGTTGCGGAACTGATTGTTCTCGTTGTTCATTTGGCAGTGGGACTCGTGGCCGTGGTTGTGGTGGTGAATGTGGTGATATCTGAAGAAAAACAATTTTCAACACCAAGTAAAGGAGACCAAATTTCCAGAAACACTTCATGGTTACATTTCTAATGGATAGTTCACAAAATCGCAAATCGTTTTTTGCTACACGATAGCTGCTTCAAACCTTTTTGTACTGACTGAATTCTGCTTAACTCTTGCCTTATATTTGTTTGGAGGTGGTTGACACCGATCTGAAGATGGGGACCTGAATGATAGAACAAACTTTCCGATACAAAAAACCTGTAACAGCAACTGGAAGGAAAAACAATCTCGAAAATGCTGGAATAAGGCGCCGGAAATGACACTGGCCAAAGAGTTCATTAAAGAGCCAGCGCCACAATTCACGGAGTACCTACTAAGTCTGACAAGGCGATCAACTAGAGTTCTGGTCGGGCTATTGACGGGACACTGTAGACTCAACAAACACATGAACAACATCGGACTGGCAGACACAGCCCTATGCAGGCTTTGCCAAGAGGATGAGGAAACCTCCGTGCACATACTATGCTATTGCGAAGGTCTGTCAACGATAAAGTTTGCAACATTAGGGGAGGAGAAACCACAACCCTCTCAATATATAGGGAACTCGAGGTCTGGCCTATGGAGTCTAGTTACAAGGACGGGCCTAGACAAGGAACTCTAGCATACATGAGGGCACACACAATAGATCTGCAAAGGTCGCAGTGTAGTGGGTGTTCAGCACAGAAGCCCCATATTAATCTAATCTACCGATACAAGTAATCATGGAATTACTAGGATGCTGTGTACGAAACTGCTACTTCCAACTGAAGGACGAATTTTTTAGGCAAGATGAGGGACTGCGAATGGGATCGTCACTTTCACCTGTTATAGCCAATATATATATGGAGTGATTTGAAACTCTGGCCATTGAAGAAGCCCCGAGTTTGGTTGAGATACGTAGGCGACACCTTCATAATATAGAACTAGACACTTTCCTGAAGCACATCAACAACGTAAGTCCTTCCATCACTTTCACAATGGAGAAGGAAGTCCACAACGAATTGCCTTTCTCAGACGTATTGGTGCAGAGGACCGACACTAAATGGGAAATATCTGTATATCGAAAACCCACTCACACAGGACAGTATCTGAACCAGAAATCCAACCACCATCAATCGACAAAGAGAGGAATCATCAAGACTCTACTAGACCGTGCTTTTGGGCTATGTGATACAAAGAAAGGTCTCGAAAAGGAACTAGGCGTCATCAAAAATGACCTTCAACGGAATGGTTACTCCAGAGTGATGGTAGAACAGGCCTTAGCTAGAAGACAGCAAGAACTCCACAAGGAAGAGAAGCCGCCACAACCAGTACTTGTACTCCCCTACATCAGAGGATTATCGGAAAGGATAAGAAGGATTGGGTTCGTGTATAACATCAGGACCTGCTTCAGATCTGGGAATACCATTGGCCATTGAAAGTTCGCATTGCTGAGCACACAGTTCGAAACACACACAGCGAGAAGAAACCAGCAAATCCGGAATAGCAGAGCATGTTTGGACTCATCAACTATTTGAATCGTATGACCGTGTAATAACTTCATAAAGATCGGGGTTGATCAACTTTATGACTGTCGAACCATTGAGCATCGTTGTGGTCACGTACAAGTTGGGCTAGACTAAACAAATGTATATATTACATCCTGCCGATGATCATACGCTTGGGAAAGTTAAAAAACGCAGAGATGAGGTATTTGTAGCTAGCGTTGCTGACGCGAGGGCTTGGTAGTTTTTGCGGGAGACACAAAAAGTCAGTCACCGGATCCCGTCGAGACGAGATCGGGGGTCTCATCCCTCAGCCTTCGAAGCTGAGGGAGGTGGCCTAAATAGGAAAGTTATTTTGTTTGTAAACGCGTGGTGCGAAATTTAAGAAAAATCGGTAGTAAAATCATAAACCGGTAATGGATACAGGGAAGTTTGAAATTAAAGTGTTGGTGTTGAAGACACACCGGTTCAACGGAGCCTATGGTTGACCATGAACCATCCAAAGAGGCGTTATGTGAGTGTTTTTTTACTAACCAGTTGATATTGAGAGAGAGTTCACATATTATTTTGTTATGAGTCCACTTCAAATTTGAGGTTATATATTGTTGGGTTCCTAGCGCTGATAGTTCAGCTAGAGTTCATATTACAATTACAAAAAACGGCAAAATTTTGAAAAGTAAATAACAGGGTCAAATTAGCGACATTTTCTCTGTTCTAGTTTCATTTATTTTATAGAATTTTACATTTGTTATAATATTTTACACGTTGTTTTTTTATTCTTTATCATTCTTTATATTTGAAACCTTGGACTTACATTTTCTCTTGGACTAAGAAAAATGCCATCCTCATAGAGTAAGGAGAAGTTAGAGAACAAAAACAAATACGAGACTTATTGTCAATCTATCGAGAAGAGAATAGCGAATGAAAAGCATTTTAATTATGATTAAAATTCAGTTCTGGAACCACATAATGAGAGAGAATATAAGTAGGTATACCAAATGATCAGATTTCAATTGCCTAACATCCAAATTTTGATGTGGAGAAATCTGCATCTGGTGACAGCAGCTGTCAAAATTGAGTTGAAAAGAAAAAAATAAATCAGAAAGGAGATTTTATTACAACCGTTCACCAAGGGATTCGTTTTCTTTATACCGTTTTGATAACGATGAGGACAACAATGGGAAAATAAAAAAATTGAGCCCTGTTTGAAACAGAGGTGTTTGTTTTCGAAACAATACAAGTCTTTTGCGAGAGCTCGTACTTTGGCGACCGACCTCTTCTAGTTTACGTCTATTTCTTGTGAAGACGTCATATCACTGAACTCCACGCATCCATCAGTGTTGCCAACTGGATGAACAATACAGTCGCTACACATGAGGCAAAATTCCACTATCCACACATCTGTTACGTCGATTTATCTCTCCCCTACCTCGATGATTAATCCTTCACACGAACATTATCTAAACTTTGGGTGTTCATTTGAATACCACGCGTACAGCACCAGCACATTGGAAATCAGGCTCACTTGAATAAATTTGGCAAACTCGCTTCGCTATATCCATTCCCTTCGAATAGATTTATCGGAAGATTGATTTTCTCGGAGAGACTGTTAGTATCGCACTCCCTCAACAAAAGAACTAATTATTCCCTCTTTTTGTCTTGACTGGCGGTTGGAATTTATATTCAGAATAATTTCTGTGTGTGTTGGTTTCCTGTGCACTCTATGACTCAATAATCCATCTTCTTATCGGTTCCCAGCACATCAAAGAAGGCGATTGCCCTTTGGTATCCTCGTTCTATTGCCGTGAAGAATATAGTTGCGTATTTAAAATTGAAACTATTTTTTTTCACAGTTTTTCTCGTATATCTTTGGAGCTGAAAGAGCTAGACTAGATTCTTTGGTACCTTCTCCCACACCAGAAGTAAAGCAATATCTCTCGACGGACACTTCACTAACCAAGTTAGCATAGTCAGAAGAAGACTATATCTCTCACCGTTTCAGAGATCCCACGCAAAGACTCAATTTTGAAGAACCCTGTATGTAATAGAGTGGCCAAAAGAATGCTATTTCATTATCTGAACGTAACGCAAAAACAATTGTCCTTTCAGCCAATCTCTCCTCTAACTTGTTCCGCTGCAGGGAAGCAACGTCGTGGGTCACAATAAAAAAATAAAAAACATGATATTGGCGTTTATGATTACCTTCCTGGAGACTGCGTAGGGCGCCTAGCTGGAGAATTTGGATTCGAATACGGCGGAGGTGGACCCCAAACGTAGACCCCACCAGCAGGTGGCCGATTGTCCAAAATACTATACGACCCCGTGGAACCTGCCATTTGTTCTTGAAGTGTACGGTCTCCTCCAGGTCTGTTGCTGAAGCCATACTGACTGTCGGCACTGCTGATGCCTCCCTGGTAGGTCAGAGAGTTATCTCTGAAAACAGATTCGAGTTGAGAATTCAAAACGCAAACGTGTAAACCTAACTCACCTCTGCGAATCGCTCTGTCCTCCATTTCCTCGGCTCCAAGGTAACCTCCTCCAACTCCATCCGCCCAAAGCTCTGCCCCTATTGGGGCCTTCCGAATTGTTGGGAGGTCCGTCTTCTGGGTTGGGCGAGTAGAAATTCCCAATGCGACCGGGGGCCCAGAATCTGAAACGAAAGCCAATAAATCTTCTTGAACGATGGATCAACTCTTTTCTGCTTGGAGGATAGGCGGCTGTGTAAAAGAGAGAGAAGGGAATTAGCTGTTCATTGCCCAGGATTGACGCTTGCTGAATCGTTGTGAGGTTCCTAGTTGTTTCCTACCATAACTTGGTTACTAGGTTGAAGTTCATCCAGGAAACAAAGAGAAAATAGCATTTTATGCCAGATCAGAGTCATTCATAGCTGAAGAGGAAATGAAGACCGACCCAACGAAAATCAAGGGTGTGAAGTGCTGGCCTAGACCAAGGGATAAACTTGAGGTTCACAGTTTTCATGATTTGTACAAGAACTAGAGAAACTTCGTGAGGGACGTCGGAAAAATCTCCAAAATCCTTCAAGGGTTATGGAAAACAATATTTACTTCGACTGGAATCATTCAATTGATTGAAGGAGAGACTAACAACAGCAACCATGCGCATTCCAAATAGAATTATATCCGTACTGAAGATAATGAGGGGAAAGCAACACTTTAAATCAGAGGTTCTCAAACTTATTTTGTCTACCGCCCACTTCAAGAATTAATTATTTTCTAGAGCCCCCCAAATTTGTTTACTTTACTACATCTTAAGAATCACAATCGCAGTCATTATTTTAATAATTAAATTATGTGTGTCATGTGAAAACAAGATTTTCTGATGAGGGTAATGTAAAACACCATTTTGTAATATCAGGAAAATTTTAATCATGTTATTAAAACAAACATTTCAATTTGAATTTTAAAACTAATCTAATGTTAAGGATGAATTTGATGATTTTTAAGAAGTTTGTTAATATCAGTCTCGAAATTACTCAAAAACAGCCGTAAGTCACCGCGTTCGGTAATCTGCAACCGATATCTCTTTTTAGTTAGCAACGTTGCCACAGCACTAAACCCACGTTCACACAAATACGATGATGGAAATGCTACCAAAAATAGTTGAGTGATGGATTGTGATCCAGGGTACATTTGCGGGATTGGCTTTTGTAGCCAAAATTCTTGGTATCCATTTTTTTATTTTATTTTTATTTCCTCGTTCGTTATCAGTTCTATGAGCTCTTCTTCCAGCTGGGGTGATCCTGCTGTGTTGACATTTGAAAAAGGATCCAACACCCAGTCCAGTATTTCCAATTTCAAAATGTCCTGGAATCGTTCTGCAAAATCACTGTGTAGGTTCTCCAAATGTTGGCAGTAAACAAGCAAGTCGTCGTTGTTGAAGCATACTGCTGACAAATTAGGGAAATTGCGAAACTCACGTCTGCCGATATTATTCTTGTATAAGAGCAATGTGGCTACAAATTGTTAGTAAGGAGCGTGTTGAAGGGATGTTTAATGGATCATTGTCAAGAAGTGAATAATGGTAGTCATTTTGAACATTTAATTTAATTGTAGAAATTTTCTCAGTTATGATTGCACCAAACTTAAAAAACTTTATATTGCTGAACAGAGGACTAAAATCCCTTTCCATCAAGGTGCCACACGACCCCCTTTGCTATTTAAAATTTTCGAGGGGCTGCCTATAATTCAGAAGGGGTGCTGGAGGGGGATAATATTTTCATCATGTAAATTGTCAATTTAAGAATAAAAATCGACCTGTTTCAGATTTTTTCCACAAACTACATAATAAAGCTGAAAATGAATGTATTCCATACATATGGACCGCACTGTATATTCCGCGCTATACTGCTCTTTCTTCTTTTTTGCTTCCGACATAATTTTGTCTTCAAAAATGCCGAAGTAAAGAATCGAGTATTAAAAACTTGCTAATGACACCACTCACAGTATTCACCACCGCACGTACCTAGCTAGTCGCTAACTAAATTCACTTGTTTTCGTGATATCGTCGAATGACATTACTGGCTGGATGGCGCGCGCGCTTTTATATGAGGCAGCGGGCGGGCCTAGTACTTTCGAGAATGAAGACTAGAAACTTCTCGCTTCGCATTGAAGCTTGCCGCCATCTATTGTACAGTTTGACAACTATCGGACAGGAAATAGTTACTGTCTAATCCCCTAGATGGCGTTACACGAGGAAACGCGCGTTAAGCGTAAAGGAGCGGTAAAGTTTGTGTTAAAAGCAAAAAAACAATTTTAAATTAGCCATCGCCCCCCTAAACCGCTTCAACACCCTCCAGTCTTCTCTGTGCCCTTTACTGCCCCCCTATAGGCCTCCGGCGCCCACAAGGGGGCGTTATCGCCCACTTTGAGAAAGACTACTTTAGATAAAGCCTAGCTAAATTATTTCTTTATTGTTTCTTTAGTCATTGTGGAAATCTGTCGAACACTTTCACACCTACCTACTTCGAAAAACCACCTCATTAGCAATTGTCTTCATTCTGTACAGGAATACCAGTTTTAAAGTTTTAGGTCATGAGTTTTATCTTTAGCAGTCTTTCGCGGCTTCTGCCTCATTCGGACGTCCACTGTGTTCTGTATCATAGGTGTCTCTACGACTACGTTTGAAGTCATCAAACCAAAGTTTAATTGTTGTTTCTGATAGAGCGCAGTCCTTATAACACTTTTCAAGCCATCGCTTCGTTCGAACGATATTTTTTCCCGTCGAGAAGCAGCGTTAAATTAAAACACTAACTTGCTTTTGATCCATTGTTTTGAAAATAACGAAAGTAGTGCCACTCTTGGCACAATAACTCACAAACTTATGAGTAGATCATCATGAAATTTCAACAGCTTTCTTTAGAAGGTTAGTACTAACTAAAAAAGCGGTGAATGCAATATGAATAGCGCCATCTATGTGTTAGGCCGTAAACTTTTCAGACCAGGCAGTATTGATTGACCGAAACTCACCTCTCTGTCGGAATATGATTATCCCAAGGATAAACTTGGGGTCCGGGTGGCACCGAGGGATAGCGACATTCTTCGCAGCAGCTACAGTACGTCGATGGAGGCATCGAAGGCCCCCTCACTGAACCGTGGTTACTCGAAGGGCCGGACTGCTGTTGGTAGAAGGATCGGCATCGCAGCTCTAGTTGTTCCCAGTACATTTTCTTCTTTTCGTGGCTGAAAAAGGAGAAAAAAATCATCGAGTATCCACAAACATCTTCTAAGATAACAGTACACGGACTTATGAAATTGGGCAAAACCTGGTTTGACAAAAGATTCTCAGATGTTGCTGCGATGATAGGCGAGACGTCCGCAGCAGTATTCTGTAATTTCTCTAGGGCTTTCGACAGTGTGGATCACAGAATATTGCTAAATGAATTATTCTTTTATGATTTCGAAGGATCACCTCTGTCAAGGTGAGGAATAAAACATCCAGGTTCTCCAAACTATGCCATGAAGGGTACCAAGGATCCGTGCCAGATCCTATCGTATTCCTTGTTACATTTCATTTCCACTCTTTTCATTTTATACTGTTTGCGAAGCAATCACAACACAAAGAAACCCTTTTTGTCAAGCAGTACTCCAAATAAATCATAATCAGAATGCTGACATCTACTCAAAGTCCATACCATTTATTTTGTTAGGTATACAAATAGACGTAAAGTATTCTTCTTCTTTTATTTAGTCCTATAATTGAGAGTGAAAAGTGAGGTACTTTCAAAGTAATGTCATACTAAGAATCGGTAGGCACCCTCTGTGTATATGCTTCAAGGGGCGGATGCAACAGGTGGTAGCATTGCCTGAACTTTGAACTGATACTATTTCAGATTTCAAAAATCAGAGGAATGAAATACAAAAGCCTTCATGGTTTCTAGAAATAGGAATTCGATCAGGAGTTGTAAGGTTTAGTGCTTTAAACCCCAGGGTGAGACCCTGTATTTTGTTACTTTTCCTTTTGAAGCAACCATTGGAAAGTGTGCAAAATTTCAGAACTTCAACACTTTGATTTCTTTATACAGTGAGTTTGAATTCAATATTGATTTTCCATTATTTCTTATTCCTCCGTTTATTTCAATGTTAGGGATACAAAACCCTATTGAATCTCTCAGGTAAACTGTATTCTTTGTTTTATTGGTATGCTTGAGGTGTCTCCTATTCCAGTGTAACTAAGTTGGTTTACAGTGACAAGCGTTGTTAAGGGTTACAGTATTTTTTGAAAGTTCCGTTGATGGTGTCCGAATAATAGATTTTGATTTGGTAATCCTTTTCAGCACTTATATTTGAATATATTTATAGAATAATTAAGAACTGACCTGCGGCTTTACCTCCCCAAATCAAGAGATGATCATTCCAACTGGGCAATTTCTTGCTCTTAATTAGAAAAAGAGTGAGGCTACTGTGTAAGAATTTGGCGCCCAACGCGGGGCCCACATATATGTGAATGATTTCCCTGATATCAATATGAATGAAAAAATTATACTATTCACAGATGATGTCACTTTATTATGGTGGGGAAAATGCTACGATTCTTTGAATAACACTATTGAAATCGGTTTAGAAAAAAATAAATATTGGTGTTATTCAACTTTATTATGTTTCAACTTTAGCAAAACCGACATTATTTCATTATGGATTCATGCAGTTCAGTTTTTGAGGGTACTGCATGAAAAATAGACCATTCTCAAAGTACTTTGGCATTTGGATAACTTTCTGAAATATAAAATACTTGAACAAAGTCAGTATTTGTTTTAAAAAAAATGTAAAAAACATCTACATAGCAAATGTTACGGACAATTGCAAAACCCTATTCGTTCGTGATAGATTACGGACTATACCTCATATAACCAAAAAAATCAGTGCCGTAACACTCGTTTCTCAAAATATTTCTCTCAAATCCCGACCGGACGCCACTGACTAGAAATGAAAATCGTGTTATATAGCAGAAAGTATCTTTTGCCGTGTTGAAACGGCCGAGTTCATACTAAAGTTATCATAAAAATATTTTTATCAGTTTAGTTCAGAAGTTCAAACCTTAAATAAAAGCCTATTACTGGGAAATGTCCTATAAATGATATATAACTATATTAGTTACATTTCCTGAATTTGACGGAAAACTCACCTTAGCAACTGATATACCAACATGCACGAAAATATGCAGACCAAAATTCCGCTGACTGACAGCCCAAACATAGCTCTGAGACAAGAATATAAGGCGCCGTGTATAACCTCACAATCGGGAGTTGCGTCGAAAACGTATCTGCTCCCTAAAATAAAATATACATCATGATAGAAGTAGCTGAAGATATCTCTAATAACTTGTACCAAATGCACAAATTTAAACTTCATCTCAACAAACTCAACCCTATAGAATTACAGAAAAATGTTTGTAGTCTTTGGTAAATAACTTGACATGGATGTAAAGGGTTCCTCAGGGATACACCTTGGGTCCTCTTATACTTCTAATTTTCACTGAGAATATTCTGAATACTGATGATGCAACCATTATATATGATTATTTTAATTTGAAATCTGAAGAATGAATAAAACATGATTTCCTCCATTTTGATGAGATGAATTCATTCATCAATACCTTCTACAGACAATGGAACAAATATAGACACACGTCCATTTCTGAGTGTATAAAAAATCTAACATTGTCAAGGGGAATATTGAAAAATCCTCACCTGGAAAAATAAACTTTTACACTCACCATCGTCTGCTGTCGCATGAGCTTCCAATAAAACCGAATAACAGGTACAAGTCCTAGTTTTTTGAGTATAAACACATTCTCGAAGCGTTTGCAACCTGTTCATGTGAATGACAGTTGTCGTGATTGTCACTAGAACGCAAGTCAAGGCACACACCAAGCAGCACAGGCCGCATATCTTTATCTGAAAATAAGATCTGTCACTTTATCGAAATCAATACCAAAAACTCGTAAATCGACCCCACTTGTGCGTTGTTTTTCATTCGAGGTCAAATGTCACAAATGTTTTCGCGTAGGTATATAATGAGCAATTTTTTGCTGGTATCTTGTATCGTGTTTTGTGTCATTGTCAAACTTGTTCAGTTTGGTCTATAATTTAACCACGAATCGACTTACGAATGAACAACGCTGGCAAATTATTGAATTTTAGTATCAAAATTCATGCTCGGTGAAGAAAATGCATCGTGCACTTCTTCCAATTTATGGACAGTTTCGTCGGCCTACTGAGGGAGCTATTCGGAAGCTTGTGACTAAATTTCTAACCCAGTTCACATTATTGGACATTAAACCACCAACACGCATACGTAGGACCGAAGAAAATATTGCGGCTGTATCCGCCAGTGTTCGTGATGACCGTTGAACGTCGATTCGCCGCCGTTCGCAGCAGTTGGGCCTCTGTTACTCCACTACGTGTAAAATTTTGCGAAAGAATTTGGGTGTATCTCACGTTTGGGGCCCGTCATTGGCCGCCTAGATCGTGTGAATTAACGCCTTTGGATTATTTCTTATGGGGTCATGTTGAGGCTCATGTCTACAGGGATAAACCAGCAACGACTGACGCTCTGGTAGCCAATATTGAAGCATTTATACGTGAAATACCGGTCGATATGTTAGAGAGAGTGTGCCAAAGTTGGACCTTGCGCATGGGCAAGTTTCTGCAAATTCTATATTATATCGACTAAAATCAGCACTTTGAGAGATCGATTGATAGTCAACCTTGATTCAACCTTCTATTCAGATCATATGATTTTGAGATCCAATGATCGCTAATGATTTCTTTCTTAGTAGGGCGGAGAATGGGCAATGGTCAATGATAAAGGACCTGACTGTCATATCCGTTTAGGAAAAATAGTTAAAATGTCAAATATACCAACAAGAAGTAGTTGGAGTTAACCTTAACAAAATATTATTGTTATCAATAAAAATTGAAAGTTAATTTTCTCCTTTTATTAAGGATAATTATTTATTTTTATAATCGCTTTCTTGATTACTGTGTAATTTTTGTCAGTGGATTTGTTGCCAGAGCCAAAATCCCAAGAGGTAGATTGTTTTCTATACTTACCAAATAACTGTATCTGTTCTTTCTTCTCGCAAGACTCATAACACAAATGCCGGTAAGAATCAGCTGAAAGAAATTGTGTTTTAATTAAGTTTCGAATGTTGTGGAAATTCGATGAAACATATTGGGAAAAGAGGGTTTTGCCTTTCTACTTATACGAAACCGTTCTTTCTCAAAAATATATCTCCCCATTAAATTTCAACATTGTCAGTCGAAAAAAATGACCCCTTTCAAGAATTTCGTCTTGGAAATCGAGTTAAAAAAAAGATGAAGAGCTCCAAATTAAAGATGAAAAATAAATTAAAACAAAATAAAATAATAAAATGATACACAGTCGTAAAATAATCTCAAAAAGGAAATGCAATGATATGACATATATGAAGTAAAGATGACGAACTGGAATACAAGCTTGAAAGAAAAAAAGAAAATTAAAAAAAGATTAAAATAAAAGACGTAAATTTTCCTTTTTTTGAAATAAAGCTTTTTGGAAAGTCGTCCACATTTTTTTTATACTAATGAACCCTCCTTTCCAAATAAGGTAGTAAATTTGGACAACACAATGTTCTGAAAAGTACAATCATTCATTGTATCCGTGATATATTATACAATATTCACAAAACAAAAAATAATATAGCAGTATCCATTCATTTATTCTACGAGTATGGTTTGAAAAGTTTCCAATCTGTAACCCATCCAAATAGTACGTACTCGATGTTTTTCTCTGCAATGAGGGAAGAAAAAGAAGTCGCTTGGGGCTAGATCTGGTGAGTAAGGCGGCTGGTCAAGCAGTTCAAACCGTAACTCGTGGATTTTTGCCATGACAACCGCTGAGGTGTGACACGGTGCAAATGTGGTGGTTTTCCCCAAGTTCTGCCTTCAGCTCGTCTAATAATGGTGCGTCCTATAATGATTTTTCCTTTTTGAAGACAATCTATTGAAATAACTCCATGAGTATCCCAAAAAGCATTCGCCATCACTTTCCCAGCCAAAAAAACCGTTTTCCTTTTTTTTAAGGCCGATTCCCCTTTAGCAGTCCACCGTTTGGACTGTATTTTTGTTTAGGACGTATAACGGTGTATCCAAGTTTCATCTGCAGTGATTAATCGGCGCCAAAACTTAGATTTATCGCGCTTAATCTGCACCAACAGAGCGTTGGAAATGTTCATTCGAACACGTTTTTGGTCCACCGCGAGCAAACACGGCACCCAACGCAGGGACAGATTTTTCATGTCTAAATGTTCATTTAATATGTGACAAACACGTTCATTTGACATGTTCGTAACCTCTGCTATGTGTCTCTCTTTAATTCAGCGGTCGTCTAGCACCATTTAGTGAAATTTTCATCGGTAGTTGTAGTTTTTGAACGTGGCGAACGTTCATCGTCTCTCAAGATCTTACGGCCACGTTTAAACTCAGCTGCCCAAAATTTCACTGTAGTAAATGATGATGCAGAGTACCCACACACACAATCCAATTCATCTTTGATTTGCCTTTCAAAAACAAATATTTAATGACAGCTCGATACCCCTTTCTGTCCATTTTCATGGACACTCACATTAAGTCACTGAAACGACTGTTTCATAGCAACTGCGCGTCCAAAATGGCTAAAACTTTGGTGAGTAGCTGTAAACAGATGAACAACGACATTCACTAGCTTTTATTCACGAGTGTTGCTATCTTCATGTTGAGATCTGAAACTTTTCGGACCCCCCTCGTAAACATCTAATTTTTTATTACTATTTTTGTCTAAATGTGACTCACCATGGTAGCAGGCACAAAAGTGGGGATGGTTTCGAAGTACCCCAGAGAGGACGTATACGACCTGAGTAAAAAATATACAGCTAGAAATAAAGCCCCCAGGATGGTAGCTAATCCACCACAAGAACAACACCAGAAAACGTATTTTCTGATTCCTCCATTGTTGGGGTTTGCTGAAAAAAAAAGAGGAAAAATTAACATTCCAACTTGGTTTGGAATCTTTTAATTTTTGTTTTTCATTTTTGTTAATAATATTTTTTAATTTCCAGCTTTTATTAATATTTCAATTTTTCATTTTCTGGTTGTAGCTTATATGTTATTTCCTTGTAATTTCAGTTTTTTGTTTTAATAAAATTGTCATTTTCTGTTAATCTTTTTATTTTTTTCAGGGATTTCAAATCAATTTATATTAAATTATCAATGGAAGTCCGAACTGGTGAAATATTATTTAGTTATTTTGGACTTTTTTTTCAGACAGGAAAAATTTTTTAATACGATTTTTTCGAAAACATTGAATAATATTTTCAAGATGTATTGGAAATATTTATATTTGATATATTTTAGACGATGTACATGCACATTTACAGTTGTACAACAAATGTTGTTTGTATTTCGTGTATAAAATTTGTGTTTTCATGGCAGTAACACTCTCATGCGCCACTAAAAAAATACTCCTTTCAAGCACTTAATAGAAAAATAACTATTTTCATGAAAAATGAGAAATAAAACGTTCTTATCGTTTTAACCACTTGTATTTGTAACTGACGCTACTGCTGTTTTGTCCTATACGGATATTTTAAAACAATTAGATTTTGCAAAAATAAGTAATTTTTTGCACTATCCGCTTGTATACAGTCGAATTTATTCAACTCGAAAAATCCATGCACTCTTTTGCCTACAAATCGAATATAAACAGTCTTGAAATCATCCAACCACACATTGTAAAGAAATAGAATGCCCCAAAACCTCATATTTGAACCCAAAAATTGCCACATTTTCAGTTTTTTTTGACTCATGAAAAGTTTCTTTTCATGAGTTATTTTGTTCTTTCCTTCTCTGGAAGTTTACCATATTTTTTGTTTAATGATCGATTACTAAGACAGAAAGCTTTTTTGCAAAAAACTAACTCCTACTGAAAATATTCATTTTTTGATTCAAATCTCTGTAAATTTCTCTCACACCAATACTTGAAAAACTGCAAATAATTGTCCACTGTTACTCAACAATTTTTTTGAAAAGATCAGTTTTCTCAATGTATTTAGGGAATTTAACTTCTGTCTCCGGCAGAAATTAGTCTTATTACCAATATTTTCATATGCATAATAATCTGTGAAATCCGAATTTTCAACATATTCTCAACTTTTGAAACAGTCGGTTTTGTCTATTCGAAATTAGAATGAAGAAAAGAGAATTGAAACTTTCTATGTTTTCTACCACAATTATTTGTAACTAACGTTACTGCAGTTACTGAAAATGTCCTTATAGAAGGAAACTGCAGTAAGTTAGTTACTTCATTATGATTTCCCACCACGTAGTAACGGCTACATCCATTAAATTAATGGAAATTATAAAACGACCTAATCACCAATGACCTACGAACGACAACCCTCAGAGCCTAGGATTAACGAGGTTTTACTTATCAACGTGCGATCCCTAGCAGGTCATAACATACAAAAACTAAGCACAGTATTGACCTTGAATTAGAAAGTAACATTGAAAAATCGTCAAATTTGCACATAAAACAAAATCAACTCACAAGTATGTGGTAGGTGGTGGGGATAGGGTTGTATTGTTGGGGGTATGTGGTATTGAACCACCTGCATCACGGGGTACCCGTGCATGTTTCTTCCAAAAAATAGACACCCTCAAGCTGAATTTGACGAATGAAGACGGTTTTTATTGTCACGTTCCATTGTTTTCGTTGGCAGATCTATCCAGCGATAAGAGTAGCACTACTATAGAAGTTTGGAATTTTCAACATTTTCAAAACACGCCCGACGTTCACATTTCAAGAAAATTCAACAACGACAAGGTATCAGAGCACTTGACTTCGTCTTTTTACAGACACTGCGATTCTGTTATCTGAATTTTGATTTTGGAGGGATGACAGGCCTTAATGCAGGACCGCACTCAGATTTAGGGGTACCTATACTTACATAGTTTCCTTCCGAATTTCAGTTTAAGCAATGTTTCAATGAGATATTTGTTTTTAGTTATTTTCATTCGTTTTGAATATCATATAAATGATATCAGGCATGTTACAGACAGTAAACATTAAAAAATGATACTTCAAAATCATACAGGCTATACAAAAATGAAAAGGGTATATTTTTTATGAGAGATCAACTTTTGATGAAAGATTGGTAGATCATGCAAAGAAGTAGGTAACTTTCAGATAGTCCAGTCATAGTAAGTTCACCTCGGAATTCGAGATACCCAGCTGAAAGTCTGTAAAAACTTGTATATTGACACCCTAGAAGTTGTCTCATAACCTACATATGGTAGGGTGTAAGCAACTAATAAATTTCAAGGTCAAAGGTCACAAAAATCGGGTTTTTGCGCTTTTTTTTTGGAAATATCTCATTTCCTATGGGTTTTTTGCTATTTGTATTTATTATCAATATTGTAGAATACAAAATTCTCTACAAATTTTGTTTAAAAAATCCTATTATAACTGCAGTTTTTTTAGACTTTGATTCTTCAATTGCAGTTTCAACAATAAGAACATCCGCATCATCTCTGGCTTGTTTAGTAGTAATTTTTGCAGCTTGTAATTTTTCATTTAACATATCAATGAACTTATCTTTGTTATTTCGATTTGATAATAATTTTTCTTGAGTAACTGGTACAACCATTGTTTCATCGAAACAAACTTCATACGTTTTTGAAAGTGCAGCAGCATTTAATGCATGAAGAAAATGATAAAATATAATATAATAGTTAATAAAAATTGACAAATATTTATAATCATTGATTTATCGATAGTTCATCAACTATATATGGCGCGTTTTCGACCGGAGGCACCGGTTGACCTGAAGTGATGCTGTGACCGCGCGCTCTCCGCCCTCTATCTCGAAAACGGTTCACCGTATAAAAAAATTTTTTAAACAAAATTTGTAGAGAATTTTGTATTCTACAATATTGATAATGAATACAAATAGCAAAAAACCCATAGGACATGAGATATTTCCAAAAAAAAGCGCAAAAAACCGAATTTTGTGACCTTTGACCTTGAAATTTAATAGTTGCTTACACCCTACCATATGTAGGTTTTGAGACAACTTTTAGGGTGTCAATATACAAGTATTTACAGATTTACAGCTGAGTATCTCGAATTACAAGATCCTTACCTAATTTAAGCTTAAATGACTGGATTAAGACACAAACTGGAAGAAAAAAAAGCCCTCTGGAAACAGCTATTTTCATATAAACACTGAGCTTCACGAAAAATAACATGAAAGAACAGATTACGAGAGGAATCAATATGGCATATTGCAATAAATATAGTTCAAAAAAACTAAAAAACATGTTTTTAAAGAACATCGAACTAAAAAGTAGAAAATAATTGTCTTTAAAATAAGCTTAAAACAATAACGATCGAAAAAATACTAGTATTTGAAAAAAATAACCTTTTAGTTCGATGTTCTTTAAAAGCGTGTTTTTTAAACTATATTTATTTTTCAATTTTTAGTTTCATAAGCTATGAAAGCGTATTTTCTAGTTTTTTTAAACAATATTTATGAAATATTTAAGAAACTCAAGATTACGTACAGCGCCATCTGCCCGGCAATAGATCAACCAATAATTTCGATAATTCTGTCGATACAGATCCCGAGCTTGAGAGTTACAAACAAACAAACATACATACAAACATACAGGTGAAGCTAATATAAAGTGTGTAAAAATGAAATATTACGATTTTTTTCCAGACAATGAACCGTGTAAAACTGTAATATTACGATTTTTTTTCCAGACAATGATGATTGTTTATTCAATAAACATTCATTTTCAATAAATACAAAAATTTATTTCAAATTTCAGCTCTATTCTATACATCAGTGACTTCGGTAATAGTTCATTGATGTTGCCTTTGACGGTATTACTGCCACAATTGGTCGATGATAGTTGAAGTAGATTACAAAAATATTGGACATAACATTATTCTTATTTACTTTAAAAGAATATAAAAGTATCAGTAGAAACTGAAATAAAAATTAGTATATTCTGATACTATTAGATTAAGAAAATCTTGCATACCATCAATAGTATGTTTTGTTTTTAAATATCTTGGTGATGTCAAGTGTCAATAATAATATTCTGTGACCCTTGTGATGACACATAGGTACTGAAATATTTAAAAAAAATATGCAATCAAAATATGCATGAGAAAATTTTAATGTGGCTTTAATATACTGGTAAACCCAAGAATATTAGCTGAGGATCTTAAATTATGAATCAGTAATAAATATTCCAATAAATTCTACCATTATTAGGAAATTGACAATTTAATTAATTTTTTCAAGCAAGAGTTTAAGTGCATTATTTTCCATGAGAATTAAATTAAAATAAATTAGTAATTAAGTAAAAATAGTATATGCTATAAAAATTGTGCAAATACACGTGTAAATACTCAGAAGAAAATAATGTTGTATGAACACTAAACAATACAAAAAACACTTTTTTCTAATCAGTTATGCAAATAAATATTATAACTATCATTATTACTATTGAATCAATAACTGACTCGCAAAAATCTGCACAAATGTCTGGATCATCTTGAACACTGTAAAAAATTATCTGTCACAGAAACCGCAGCAGCCGAAATCACAAAGTCCACTCCTGGCGCCAAAAGCGTCGTCATAGCGACGCCCGCGTCTAATAGTCGATATTTCCTCCGTCCATTTCATTTCCCTGGCTTCCCCACCACTGCGAGTAATTCCATTTACCTCCAGGACTTTTCTGAATTGCATCAATTATTAATTTGAAATGGATTCAAGTGATTACAGTTAATTTTTCTAAACATAATAGTGGGTGTCTGCTTTTTTTAATGGAACTGACCCTTATTTCCATGTTGAAGAAGTGGTTGGTGGAGAAATGTAGAATGATACTTTCAAAATCACTTTGATAGACTAATTCATATCATTTTCTGGCCCTTAAATAACGAACAGTATAACATAATTTGACAAATATTAGTGGCATCAAAAATGAATCACACCAGCTGACCACTAAACAGTAACCATGGTCTTTTTTGGTGGGTTTTCCCCTTTGGAAAGTGCCTGGGTGACTCATCGATGTCCAACCACTATCCTGTACGTCTCCTGTTTTTGTAGAGGATCAACTTTTCATCAAACTTGATGATGCGATCCAAAAAAAGATCGTTTTGGTTGCGCAAAAGGTAAAGAAGAACAGACCTAGGAACGTAATAATTTCTGTCGATCTTTCAAACCGTGGGGCATCCACTTGTCAACCTTTTTGACCTTTCCAATAAGTTTTGAGCTACCAAAAAAGTGCAAGGGCAGACGCCCAGTTTTTCTTCGGGAGGTTAGGTTGTCTCTACCATCTAGAGACTTTTTGCCTCGCCTAAGTTTTTTGCCAGAAGTCTTCATCAAATCGCTCAAATTCCTATACTATAACAATTTTCAATTGAAGGTAACTCATATAAAAATTGAACTGAGAGCTAACGGCAACAATGTTAAATGTTAGAACTAAATTCTTACCGGGGTCATTTTTATTGTCTATGCATCGCCATTCTAAATAATTGAAAAGTAAGATGGTTTCATAAAATTTGCCCCCCGTAACAAGACAGCTTCTGCATATCGATAAGATGTACGAGCGAATAGGTGAACCAGTTCGTTAAATACTTTGAAACATCGGTAAACTGATCAACACCCCGCAGGTATATTATGTATGGCTTCAGGTAGTTGATGATCATTTGATCAGTCCATATTTGCTCCAACAACGACCAACAGGCGACTCTCGCCTTAATTTTCTACAGGAAGAGTTAACTGTTCTTCCTGAAAAAATTTCTCTATAGCTGGGACAACACTTTGGGTTCATGCATGATGGTGCACCACCTCATTTCATCATTGATGCACGTAATCACTTAGATACAAATCGTCGGGGAGGTACCGAACATTGGCCTGCTCCACTGCCGGATTTACATCCTCTGGGTTTTTACATTTGGGTTTTTTTGGGTCATTAGTTCTTTCCATTCCCGTGGAAAATGTCGCAGCCCTGCGGAATCGAATTAAAACCACAATAAGAAATACACGAAAAGTTGGAAACTTGATTTATCTATGTTCAAACCACTCTGTGAAGGTCCTGCTCCTACCGTTAATTGGAAAAGTGACAGGTTTCACTGGAAGGACTGAGGAATTCTGAACTGAATAATTAGAAACGTGTGTCCCTCTAAAATTGTTGGAAAATTAACAACACCAACTCACCTATCCTCGGCCTTAGCCTCGAATTCAGGCTACCTTCGTACCTGGGCCTCGGAGGGGGGCGTGGGGGCAGCGCGGGGGGCAACGGGGACACCTCTATCCTATCATCAGCTTCAATCTTCCTCCCTTGGCAGCACTGATCTCTTTCCGCTATATTATCGCAGTCTTCCTGAATATGGCAAGTACAAGAACCTGCAGCAGCTTTGGGCGTGGCTGTTGGACCTATCTTTGGTGAGGAATGAACGTGGGCGTGGCCCGTGGCAGTGGAGGCGTGGCTCGCGGTCAAGACGTGATGCAGGTTGGGCTTTGTTAGGCAGTGGGGGTGGCCGTGTTCGGTTTTGGGCGCTTCTACTGGCTGTTTCTCGGAACACGTGCAGGTGTGGGCGTGGCCGAGCAAACCGTGGTCGCTGGTGTCGCTCGACTGGTAGGCCAAGTCCCCCTTCTGGGGGTCGGGCGAGGGTGAAGACATGGTGATTGTGGCGGGTGACTACATTGTATGACTGTCACTTCCTGCTGCAAAAAAAAGTATATATAATTGCAATATTTGTTATAAATTACTGAGAGAAGGAACTAAAATAGAAAACGTCACTTTAACAAAAAGTAAAGTTTTCACTTTTAAAGAATTCATTTTGGAATTATGAGGACAATGATTTGATTCAAAACTGATTAGTAGTATACATTCAACACAATATTGAAACTTTCATCTATTTCAACAATTTAACAGAAGGATTAATGTTTTCCTACATGTTATATCATTCTTTTTCTGCTATTATTCCAATTTCGGTACTTTTTCTAGTTCTTTACTTGTTCAAGGATAAGATTAATTTTCTGTTTCTATAGCTCTTGTCCCGAAGTCCTTTTTCGTTCTAGTTGTTCTACTTATTTGAAAAATATCGACCCGTTCTCCTTCTTTTTGCCTCTCTCACATTCTTCACTTCTTCTTTCTTGTTAACCTTTCTTTTTCTTCAAGTCAATATTCTTGTCTCATATTATCTTTACCTCCATTTCATTTTATTTCAGTTTTATTAATGCCAAACTCTTTATTCTTGTCATTGACAAGAATAAAGAGTTTGGCATTATCGTAGATTTGTCTCAATCCCTGCGTTTATTGATTTCAAAAATTGCTAAAAAGACCTACTCCTTCATGTAACTGTTTTAATTATATTTAATTTGCTCACTATAATATTCTCCACCTAACCTCTATCATGTTGCGCGACTGAATTTTCGATAAAGTAAAGATTCAGGTAATAAAACAAATCTCCTTTCGAAGGTTCCTACCTCAACTTACTATATATGGGGTTTATCAATTTCCAAACTTGATTTGCTTCTGTGAAATCGTTGAATATTTCAACTTTTTTTGGATCTAATCAAATCATTGGCTATATTCACATTGTTTGTTTATAACAATGGGCTCATTTTGAATCAGAATTATAACTAATTATCATTATAAACAATTACAAACAAACTACTAGTTTCTATATTGTCACTCTTTCTCAACTTGATTTTTTTTTTGGTAAAATTATGTTACTGCTCCTCAATATTGTCAAACTGATCCATACACTCTATTTTTGACAGTTCTTTAGGCAATGAAAACATATAATCATAGTTTTGTGGTACATATTTGTCTCTACTTTTGTTGTTTACAGGTTATATTATCCTATAATTTGAAATTATGTTGTCATAAAAGTAAAGTATAAATTCTAGAAACTAATAATAAAACAAAGTGGAGTAAAGCGAAGAAACGCGGGAAAACAACCATTTCCTTCAACCAACTGATATATTGCGTGCTAAACTGTTGAATGATTTTCCCCACTTGACTACCCGCCTCTGGTAGATTACGTGTTTTGCATTATTTTCATTCCATTTAACGTTATATAATTCCATCATCACTCTCGATTCCTACAACGATCTACTTCATAGCTGTGCAGTTCTGTAAACGAAGCATAAATTCATAAAAAACTTAGATAGTCGTTTCATTGACTTGTATTTGTCAATGATTTCTTGCCAAGGTTAACATAACGGCCTCTTTAGCTCAGTGGTAGAGCACTGGTCTCGTAAACCAGGGGTCGTGAGTTCAATCCTCACAGGAGGCATGAGATTTTTTTTAAAAACAGTATTCTATTAGTTGTATCAAATGATATTAGCAAACCTAATATTCGGCGTGCAATTTGGATGCTTTATTTGGATATTTTCATCTATTTTTTGAGCAAAATAATGTCCGAATATTACTGGTGTTTTTTCCCAACACCAAATCGTTATTTTTAACACCTCGACACGTGTTTCGATCACCAAGTGATCATCTTCAAAGAGGAAGATTGAAACTAGAAACTAACGCGAAGCTAACCCTATTTATGCTATATAGATATCCCATACAGGTAAACCATCCAGGTGTACCACCCATACAGGTATACCAACCTAAATTAATTTTACAATTTTTCCTTCCCTATTATTTTACAATATATGTTTAACTGTTATAGCTGTATATAAAACGATGTTCAGTTATATAAAATCAATATTGCCTATCTAAATTCATTTTTGCAATGTGTCCTTATGTTGTAATCCGTAAACACAACAACATTATTTTAACAAGCTATATAGTATGGTCTTTGGTATAGGTCCGTCATCGTTATCATGAATATTATTGTGTTTACTTATTTCATCACTCTCATAGGCACCTAGTTGCCTGTTGTTAACTTGTCTAACTAATCTTAATGAACTGAAGTCTATGGAATGGTTTTGTTGCAAAATATGATGGGCTACTGCCGATTTTTCAGATCTTCCATATTTAAAGTGTGCTATGTGTTCCTTGTATCTTACTTTAATAGATCTTTTTGTCTGTCCATAATATTTTGCATCGCAGTCCTTGCATTCAATTTCGTAAGTTCCAGACTTTTCCGAATTCTCGACTTTGGCTTTTGGACTTCCCAAAAGGCTCTGTAGCGTATGACTTGTTTTAAAAACCACCTTCATACCTAGTTCCTTGAAAATCTTTCCAAAGTTCCTCGTATATTGGTGGTATGGAACTGAGATATATTTATCTCGGTTTTTGTCCTTTCTGAAAGTCGAGGTTTTGTTCATTCTTAACCTAAACGTCTTCTTCCTTATTATGTCATCAATAATACCCCTCGAGAAACCGTTAGTGGCTGCTATTTCCTGTATTGTACGTCTTTCTTTTGTGAACCTATCATGTGTTAGAGGGAAAGTCGATGCACGAAAAAATTCAACCCAGCACGTTTGTGCTGTCCTCAGTGATGTGAACTGTTTCAGAAACCAAAATCTCACCTTCTTGCAGAACCACGTTTTTTGTATGTTGTATGAACTCTAAAGAGTTTTTTATAATAAAACTTGGTTCCGCAATAGACAAGGTTTCAAATTCCTTAGTGAGCCACTTTGCTATTTGGTAGGTAGTAGCTCCAATAGCTGACACGATGGGGCGCAGTTTTAATCTTCCTCTTTGAAGATGATCACTTGGTGATCGAAACACGTGTTGAGGTGTTAAAAATAACGATTTGGTGTTGGGAAAAAACTCCAGTAATATTCATTACTACACCAAAGGTTCCAAACAGTACATCATAAGTATAAAAATAAGGCCTGGAAAATGAGGTGGGTTTGGTACGAAATATCATACAGAGATATGAATGAATTTCTACTCCATTGATCATTTTTGAGGACTTCGAACAACGCCGATTTTTGTTATTGAAAAAACATACGTAATGTTTTTGTTTCGCTGATAATTTAAAAAAAATTGAAATACTATATATTTTTCTATATATTCAATGCACTTATTGTTTATTGGTTTGTTCATCAATTGTTTGTCAGACTTGACGGTAGACTGGATATTGCAGAAAAGAAATAGCCTTTTTCAATTATGATGTTTCTTATTTACAATGAAACGTGTCATTAAAGTGGAAAGCAAAGAATCTAACCATAAATATTGTTAGGATGTGATGCCAAACTGTGACTTAAAAAATGCACGTGAAATGCCTATTAATAATAGCATATTTCTCAAAAGTGTAAGAAGGATATAAACAGAATCAAAACATTTGGACCTGTCACAGATATTTTCAAACCGATTTTTTGATCACCAAGAAGAATTCACATGAACTAAGACATATCAAGATGATTCTTCCTACTTCTCTGTTGAAATTCGTCCACATCGGACGATAGATTCGTCGTTGGGCAAAGTAGATATATCCTAAGTTCAAAGTACAGTTCAAAATATTTTGAAAACTTGGTGAATTTAGATCTGTCATGAATATCCTTAAGCCACAAGAAGGATCTACATAAACCTAACGACCGATAACAACAGCAAGTTGTTCAACCAGAGACGATATAGGTCGCTGAATTAAGTTTCATGACTTGTCAACAACGTATGAAACAATGAATAGCGAAAAATAGATGAGCTTTTAGAATGACAGTTCAGTTTCAACGCTAAAAAGACTCAGAAACACATTTAATTATGATTCACATATATTTGAATAGCCAGCATAATCTCCCGATGTGACCCCTCTTGAGTACTCCTTCGGAGATCTGTTAAACACAAAACAACCAAGGAGACAATGACGCAAAAATTCACTTTCGACAGCAAACTAATTATAAACATGATTTTGCATTTTTCCACAAACCATCTTATGAAAATGGAAGTTACTTAAATGTGACAATTTTCAGTGTAATCTAAAGAAATGAAGTTTAAACGTATCAGTGTCTCAAACAGAATCTATTCATGTTGAAAACGCAGGTAACTGCATGCCAGAGCAGCAATAATTCGAACAGAAAGTGACCATATAATAATTGCATCTATTTGAAATCTACCAGACGAAATAGCGAACACAAAAGACCCAATAATAATAGTAGCAGGTATGTAGCCCTACAAAACAAGTGAACCCATGAGAGTGGATAAGGATGGTCAGGACATTTTTTCATCTTTAAAGCTTCACAAAAATCGATGAGTATTGTACATATTCAAGGAATTGACAAAAGGAACATGTGGTTTTATTTTAAACAAAAGTTGAGGTTTCGACAAAAGTGCACCATTATGTAAGTAGAAAATCCCTACTGTAGTTGATGTCAATATTCACGGATGAAATATTTTAAATCGAATTAACTGTATATTCCACAAAAACTGAGATAAAGGTGGGTGTATTGCAAGGATCAGTCTTAGGTCATGTCCTATTTATTATATACTCAATCTGAGCAGTTTACACTTCAGAACCAGACTATTATAATTATCCAGGGGAGTAGTTGGGAGGAACGAATTGTTCTTAGATAATTTGACAATACATTACATTTAGCAATGTTAAAATTCAAACGATTATTGAGACACCAATATCAACTCTAATTCATACTGTAAGTCTAAGCAGTCTACATAATTTTCTATCGCTTTGAATATTTTAAGGTCATCGGCGTCGAGCAGTTTTGAATTGTTCATTATTTTAGTTGAATCATTGATGAAAATTAAGAACAAAAGCGGCCCTGAATACAAACCTTGGGGCACTTCGGAAATGGAATTTTGATCCTGTTGTTGTAGTTTGTTGCTAATTCCCTTCAATAATAGAAACAAAAGCGAGTGTTGAGTTTTTTCAAATAAAACGTTCAACATCGAAGTTTTCGAAAACGAACCAATTTAAAAAAAACGGTGGTAACTGAGGAAATAGACACCTTTCAAAAGATCTCCATTTCATTGATTCGTATCAAAATTTGACATCCTAAAAGTTGACGTGTCCTTTAAAATGTTTTAACAAGCGTTCGTTTTTAAGCTAAAGGGGGAATTAGTTCTCGTTAGTTGATGCAGATTTCTTGGCAACTGAATGTAGGTAATTTGTAATACAAGCGCTTGGAATTGCAATCTTGGTTTGTCATTATTACTTTTGCAAATCTAATGCCATTAAAGTATGAAACCGGATAAGAGAATAACTGGAAATGCAGGTAAGTGTTGTTGCAAACGTAGGTAATATCTCATTAAACTCGATGTTATAAAAATAATGACGGCCGTCAAGATAAGTTTCTCATGAAATAATCATAGACCTGATGACAGAGACACTTCTCCAGTTCTGAAGAAAAAAACACTGCTGGTAACAAGCTACTGTTTACAAATCGTGATGGTCTAACTTTACCGTAAAGTGAAACAATTATGCACCCTCGGTAGACCACCAACATGACATTTTCATCCAGTGTACCTGTTTGAGCGTGGGAACAGAAAACAGAAGTATGGGTCACAGTTAGTAAATGAAGTTAACAATCCCCCATGACTGGAAAAGGCCGTTGTTAGTGTCATGAACCAGAATAATTGTTTGTGTGCCAAACTTCCTAGATAATAATAATAGTATTTAACGTTTACAACTAATAAGGTTCAGCGGTTAATGAACAATATGGACAAAATATGAATAAGTTGGAAACAAAAGGCGAAGTTCAATTTTTATAACGATGAATCGTTATTAATTGCTCTTCCACTTTACCTCATAAAGTCGCTGCGGTGTTATAAGAGCACAATTATACTGCGCCTGGAAAGTTCAAGTCGAAAACTAACATTGAGATTGTGAACATCTGTCCGATGAGTAATTTTTCTATGCAGATATGTTGGGGTTTTGGTCAGTATGACTATATGGAAGAGTACTGCAGAAAGAAGAACTCTTCTATTACTCATATTCAACCAGCCAACAGTTTTAAGTTTGTGTGAAATTTTTTGACGCCTCCTTATACCATAGAGCACAGCTGCATAATTGAAATTTGAAAGGACTGCTGTCTCACATAATATTGTCCCCAACCTAAATGAAAAGGAATGTCTTTGATCGTATATAATACTCAACATGAGGACAAGTAGATGTGGTGTACACGGACTTCTCTAAAGCATTCGATAGGGTCAGCCATAAGTTACTAATTTGTAAACTTTCTTGCATGGGTTTCAATGAAATTCATTGTCAACTTTTGGAAACATACCTTAACGGACGTAATCAATACGTATATTATCGCGGCTTTTCTTCAGATGTGTATTTAGCAACCAGCGGAGTCCCTCAAGGATCCAATATTGGTCCCTTATTGTTTTTACTATTTATTAATGATCTGTGCAACTCAATAACTTGCAATAAATTAATGTTTGCTGATGATTTGAAACTGTATACAGCTATAAACAGTTTAGATGATTGTAACATTATGCAAAAGGAGATTGATCTTTTGATCTTTTTCAAATCTGAGATCGGCGTCTAGGAAAACTCCCAAACTTTTTGCTTCTTGAACAGTTATGAGAGACGTTTCATTTATACTAACATCAAAATCATTAAGTACAGTACTGCGATTGATTTTGGAGCCGAAAACAATGACATTAGATTTACTATTATTAATAATCAGACAGTGGTTTGAGGCTGCCTCTGTGAAAGCTTTGAGATCTTTATTTATTCGACAACAAGCAGTATCAGTCATTTGTGGAGGAAAGCTAGAATAAAGTTGAGTGTCATCGGCATATAGGTGTGTTTTGCAGTACTGAAGATTCTTGACTAAATTCGACGTATATATGGCAAATAGCAGTGGACCCAAAATAGACCCTTGAGGAACGCCACGGTTTAATGAAATATATTGGCCTATATTGACCTTTTGCTGACGATTTTCTGAGAATGATCCAAAGAGCGAAACAGCACTATGTTAACAACAGGACGGTTCTGAAGTTAGCTACAATCACAAAGTACCTACACTAAGAAAAAAATATTAAATTTTTTTTTCATTCAACGACTTTGTACATCTACCATTTTTCAATGTGATACGCTTCTTGGCTGGCTTAGTAAAAAAATAACTGCCCCAGCTTTCAGGCCCTTTGGAGGTGAGAAAATAGGGTGGAAATATTTTTAAAAATTTGTAACATAAAAATCTACTTCGAACTCCTACCAAACTGAGGTATGTCATTTCTGATTACCGAATCGCCAAGAAAAACATCACGTCAGAGTTTTTCAGGTCGTCTGAGGGGGTGGAAAGATGGTGGAAAGTTTAAAAAATCGTTTCATCAAAAATTGTGTGTATACACCTACATGATTGTGATATGTTATTCCTGATGACGGAATTTACAATAAAAACGTCACTTCATAGTTTTTCAGGCCGTCTGAGGGGGAAGAAATGGGGTGAGAATATTCAAAAAATTCGTCATCAGGAAGGATAAGTATATCTGAATTTTGTAGATGTACATATATTCAGTTTCCCATGGTACCAGCAGATTATCTACTGAATTATCTTTTATATTTCCAGATTGTGGAAATTTTTGAGCCGAGAAAACCATATAAAAAATGTCCACTCTATTTTTACTCCTTCATAATTCAATATTTTTTCTCAGTCTACTTTGTGGCATAATATGGTGGAAGAAGACAAATTTCGAACTGTTTAGGTATTTCTTCATGTTACGCAAGGTTTTTTGAAACACATCCACAGTTTAAAAACGTTCAATCAACCTCGACGTTTTTAAATTTGAATATTATTTGTTGTAGAGCTATACGTTTATATACCAGTGTACCACCATGAAAAAAATCGCTAATCGAATGTAAGTAGCCCGCGAAATTCGAATATTTATCTTATTTTAACAGTCCACGATAATCATTACAAAAGTAACTCATAGAAAAAAAGGTTCTGTGCTATACAAAATAATACTCAACTTCTCTAGAACCAATGCTGGTGAATGAAGAATGAAACGTAGGTAATTATAAAATAGACTATACAAATTAAGTTTTTTTATACTATTTAGCTCAACTATAATTGGTAAATTTTATTTTATCTGGACCTATAACCGTTTTAGCAGTTTAGGCTCTTTCACTTGTAAAATAAATGTTTCTACTTATTTTAGTGAATGAAAAATGTTTGTAAACTATGTTATGTACTCCTTATTATGATGATTTATATATCTTGTTAGATTGAAATTGGTAATTTTCATTTTATTGGACCTCATCTATTCATAAGTATATTCACTTGTGAAATATATGTTTCTACAAACTTCAGTACATAACAAATGTTGGATAAATATAGAATAGGTTCCCAATTACAATGTTTTATATAGATATTTTGACTATGGAAACATAGTCTATAATAAATTTATTTTTTACACAATGTAAGTACTTGGGGTTCATGCATGAATCCCACCCATTTGAAATACCTATGTTTGGAAACAAAAGTTTCGAAAACTATTTCACTTCGAAATTACATAGCTGGAACGAAACTTTTCAATAAATTTTATACTTGTTCAAAAACACGATCATCAACTGGAATCCGAAACCATCTCACAACCTACTGTTATTCTAATTAGAGTTCGAAATACTTCCCAGTAACCGATAACTGTTTTTAATTGATCGCAGACTGGTTTTCTCGTCGACAATTAACAACAATAAGAACCTAGCAGCACTTACCTCGCCTGGGAATCGCTCTACATCCTGACGGAGCCTTCCAAAATCAGAGGAACCACAGAAAAACTCCCGATACACTTGCACGTTGCAGAAATCTAGTAAACTTTGCAAACAAACGTCAAGGAACACTGCATGTCCCGCAAAAATTATGCGCGGAAAGTGTCGAAGATCCCGGGAATGTTTACTTATCTTCTGGAAACAATAGGGGCTTTCAACATGTGGTGGAACTAACAAGAATTCGCTAAAAACTTCCGAAGAATAAATTCCCACTGGCCCGGGGCCCGTATCGTTCTTCAAGTGGACCGTATTCTTCAACGTTCGAATCTCTTTCTTCGTCTGCTCGATGGCTCTAGGCAAAGACAAGGAGCGCAGGGTGGGACTGGGCCACCAGGATACCAATCAAAAGCAGGGGCTGCGGTACCTATCATTACAACCTGTCTAGAAGTATTTTTCGACAGGGTTTCAGAGATCTAAGTGATACGGTTTTCTCAATAGTTATTTTGATTTTTGACAGTTGCCGGTGTAAACTAATGATAATAATGAGCCAAACAGATGAAATAATACAATGGGCAATGGTTAAATAAAGGACAACTTCACTTCGAGACAGAATCAAATTTATTTTCAATATAATATATAATTTGTTGTATAACATAGTTATTAGGTAGATTTAAATTATATTGAATGAGTAACTTCCATCTTGGCATTGGAGTGCTTGTATTGCGTTATATTACTCATCAAGATAAGAAGTATATATTACCGGTGGCTCTTAAATTGAAATCAATATGTGAGTGATCAGAATAGTACTTATCTCTATTTATCTTTTGATTCTCATGGAATTATTTTCCAACAGCTTGACTGCATTAACCTTTCTCGAGATCATATCATTTGTAAAAACATGTGGATTCGATTTCCGATGGCATTTCAGGATAACTTTCCAATTTTCTGCTACCGCAGTTGTCAGTTGATAAGTCAAACTACCAACACTGACATAAAAACTTGGCAAGTTGACTTGGGTGTCACACCAATAGATGGCTCCACTTATGTCTCGCTTGCGTTCACGCAGTTATTTTTATCAAGTACTTTTCTTGGTTATTCACATTTTGTCTTCAATTGAGGACCGCCTGCTCGGTACTGACGATGCCCAATAGACCGAAACACATATGGGAGTGATCAGAATAGTACGTTTGATACTTGTTTGTCCCATCTCATATTTTGGTCAATAATGGATACTGTTTATTTATAACCGGGCAATTACAATTTAAACTTTTTTGTGCAGGTCATCGTGCAATTTAAATTCATTAACATGCGACTGATCATCTTGATCATTCTAATAGAGTAAAAAAGTCGTGTATTTTGTTTTTTTCATATTCAAACTCAATATGAACTATCGTTCAGCCAATGAAGAATTCCTTTTATATTAATTTCTAATTATCTCATCTTGCATCAGCGAAGATCATGGCCGTATCATCAGCATAACACACTATATGTCCGTCAAATTTATTAATCTGCGTTATTGCGTTTATGTAAACAAGAAATAGGATGGGGCTAAGTACTGTTCCCTGAGGTATACCAACATTAATTTGTAATATTGCACTGAGCCTGCTACCAATTTAAACACTTTGTGTTCGCTCTCCTAAATAATCCTGCATCAATTCCGAAGCGTGACCTCTAATAGGTACCTTAATCACAGAATTTTTCGAGTAGGATTTCATGAGACACAGTATCGAAAGCTTTTGCCAAGTCCATAAATACCGCAAGACATTGTTCAACAAGACGAGCACGGTATCTTCAGGATTTGATTTGTTTATAAACCCAAATTGTTATTGGGTTGTTATACTTTAATCAAGGATTAATTTCAATTATGGCATTATATAATGTTTTTTCAATATTTGACAGTGTTAGAACGAATCGTATTCACGGGTGTATTGAAATACAAGTAGATCTAACAAACCCTTCTTTTGAAAACGAAAATTTTCCAGAATTTCCAGTTTGGCCTTCAAAAAAATGTGAAATCAAATGTTGCTCTTTCAAGTTGTTTTGTATAAGTTATATAGTTGCTTTGCAGCAGTAGATAATCTGTTGTTCAACCAAGTTGTTTTTGTATATCGCTCAGTCATCTTCAAAAAACTTAGGTTGTTACGGGTTCCGAAAACGATGGCTTAGTGAATTGGTCATATATTTTTCATACAGAAAATGTTTTTAAAACGCACCGTGAAACTTTTGAGGAGAAGTTTCTACTGAAGTTTCCGCAAGGTTCAATTCTGGGACCCATGATGCTTTTACTATCCATTTTCTAGTATTCATGGTTTTGATTTTATATTTTTTCAGTTGAACGGACATCAGGCAAGTTCTGACGTGACTGTCAGCAACAAAAAAACTAATAAACGAAGAAACTATTCACTACAACAATAAATACATAAACTCTAACATTGAATGGAAATCAACTAGTAATGTCGTGAGATTTGCTTCTATAATTGTTGGATAAATGACACAAATGCTCTACATCGATGAGAATAACTCTCAAAACACCCACCTGAGCCACTCCACACCTGGCGAGCTCCTCAACACCTACTACATGACCGAACCTCGAAGAACCCCCTGCAAATTTGGTCCTTCGGTGCGGATATCGAAGACAGACTTTCGAATGTGAAACACGAGCCGAGTGGTACTTGAACTTCTTGAGGTGAGCGCGAGAGAAGGACCTTGGCAGTTGGAATGTAACCCCTCCTCGTATATATCTCACAATTGCTCTTTGCGTGAACCCGGTCTACCTGATGCAGAGTCGGTCGTGCAGAGGCGATTGCACTGGGTGGGAATCGACGTCGAGGAAGTTCTTGAAGAGTGTACGCAAAAAAGCTTTCTTGTTAATTGTTCTGTTTACGCTTGGTCTAGACTCTAGACGATAATGTGCGACTTGTGAGGACCTTGTTGTAGCTTCAAGTAATGGTTAGAGTACTGAAGGCATTGAAGCCAACTAGCATATTGTAATTGTGTGTTTAACACGGTGTAACATATTCAAATCACTGCTTTTTTAAATCGTTCCTCAAGGATCCGTTTTGGGGTAGATACGTTTATCAGATTCATAAGTATCTTGTCATTCTCCTGAAGAAAATCGGTGGAATAATAGTAAATTATTCAACGAGCGAAAAATGTGCAACTATAATGGTTATTTCCCGAAAGTAGAGAACACTATACTATTCCTATGACAGGAATATTTCAAAATGAGATTTACTTGTGGAGGATATCTCGAATCAGAGAAGTATCGTTGAAATTTATAAAAAACAACACATGAAAAGCATTCAATGTTCATATGAAAGTAGTTTTTTCGAGAGAGCTTTTTCTTTCAGTTTGTGTCTGAAAGTTGCTTCTTTGCATGAACTACACATCTTTGTACCATATGAATAGATCTCGAAAAGAAGCCTTGATAATAAATTGTTAATTGTCTTCCTGCAGGATAACAAGATCTCAGATAGTCTATGTTTAACAAAATTGTAAAAACAATCTACTGAGATCCTGCTTCTATTCTGCCAATGAATATTTAGAACATGCTGTCCTAAATTAAACTCGACAGTGGTTATCCCAGTTTTTGTAATCAACATACCTCTTTCTTTAATTGTAGTTTGCAAAGTTTTGTATACCAAATATCATTCAGATATATAAATCTGGCAACTATGAATATATTTTACAGTTGCCTACCTGTTTGCCAAATTAAAACTCTTCATATATACTCAAAATGCGTTCTGGTTAAGTGTCAGGGATTATCTCGGACTGTTATTAGAGACAGGGAAATTTGAGTTTATAAATCAATATGAAAGGACACCAGTGAATAGGCATCTTATGGCTCTCGTAGAAACCAACGTTATTCGTGATTCAAATTCATTTCTAGATACCTAACTTAGTAATTTGCTCCACCACATTTTATTCAAACAAATATCTGTGTTCAAACGTTAACCCTGGTGTTAAAGATATGAACTCGCGGGTGCTCCAGTGTTACCAAAAGTCGACGGTGTCACTGTCAAAATTCAAAATGTCAAGGTCAAAGCTGTCACATGAAAATATTCAAAACATTCAGAAATTGCGAATAATATGTAAATAAAAAACTCATACAGTTTCAAACTGGCGATTAACAATAAGCATAATCATGAGAACCGCAAGTATTTCTTTGATAAGCGCACTGTTAACAACAATAGTTGTGGCAAATGCGTATTTGCAAAAGAAACAATTCTACCCATCCGTCGTCTATATTACTAAATCGAACCCAAGTATGGCTGTGAGTTATCGCTTGCTTAGAAGTTCAGGACTATAAATTATTGAATTATCTTTCAGGTTATCTATATTCAAGCGTTCGTAGGCGTTTGGATGACTGGTAAGATTATGACAAAACTCTTCTTCGGTCAGCTAAGACCCGCGGAACTGGAGGTAATAAATTTCAAAGCGACCTCACTACAGGTATCCCCTTGTCTCAAACCTTTCTACATTTTCAGCACTTGATGGAACGATCTTGGTATGCAGTAACAGAAACCTGTCTGGCCTTTACTGTTTTCCGAGACGATTTCAACCCAAAGTTTGTGACTCTGTTCACACTGTTGTTATTCTTGAAAGCATTCCATTGGCTAGTCGAAGACAGAGTGGATTATGTGAGTACCCTGCTTTGCGAAAGGCGAATTTTATTTGGCTTTCCACTTGTCTATTGAAACGTGAAGAATGGTGAACTACCGAAGGAACGAAATTTCAGATATTGATTTTTCCTCCTACAAGAAATATTCTTGAAGGATATTATTATAGCAAACGTCAGACATGAATTGAAGAGTATTGCTGCTATAGTCTACTGTTGAGTCCACATCAAAATAATATACGTAAACTTCAAAGAAAAAGGAAGAATATCACTTCTTTCACGGGGTCTGGTTTCTCAAAAAAATATGTATTTATTTATTGATTTCTATTTTGTCGCCTTCGAACTAGTCCCCCTGAGATATAATACACTTGAGCCAGCTTTTCATTCAATCCTCAAAGCAGTTCTAATATGCACTTTTTGATATGTCCTTGAGCTCTCTCGGTTTTCACTTTTCAACTCTGACTCTAACTGATTGTTGAACGCAATACTCTCAATAGAAAAAGCAGGTATGCTCAAATAACTGAAGTCAAAAAAAGAAACGTTTCAGATGGAGCGGAGCCCGATAATCAGCTTGCTGTTCCACGCTCGCTTGCTAACCCTTCTCACCCTCCTCGGCTTTTTGGACATATACTTCAGCAGTCGCGCCTACCAAGTCACCGTGACGAAAGGCGCCTCCGTGCAGCTGGTATTCGGCTTCGAATACGCCATCCTCCTGACCATTCTGGTCAACACTACGATAAAGTACATCCTGCACTACGTCGATCTGAACAGCGAATCGCCCTGGGACAACAAGGCCGTCTTCCTGCTGCACACTGAGCTGGTGATAGGCTTAGTTAAGGTGATGCTATATGGGGCGTTCATGACGATCATGGTGAGGATTTATTCGCTGCCCCTTTTCGCGCTCAGACCCATGTACTATGCCATAAGGGATTTCAAGAAGGCGTTTAGCGATGTCGTTCTGTCTAGGAGGGCCATACACAATATGAACAACCTGTATCCGGATGCTACTGGGGAGGAGCTGCAGGTAAGTTCTTTCAAACAAGTAAATCAGTAGTCCAAAGTTTAGTATAAAATAACGACACTTCAAAGTGTTATGACGTCGCTTGTGACGTCACGTTCGAGTAAACAACATTCAAATACTAGAAGCTCTTCCATAAATTTGGTGGTATGCAGTCCCTCAGTGTACTAATTCATTAATACATTAATAAGTTATTTGTTCCCAACTTCGAGCAGATATTTTTATCGAGAGAATTTATCTAGTTGAAGTTGGGATGATTTTACAACGTTACATAGCTGGCAGACTGCTGATAGTCATGATGCTCTCTAGCCTACCCAGGACACGAGGCTAATGACCAATGCAGTCGATACCGATGACACCAAAAAGAAAGTTATTTGTGTTCGTCCCGTATAAAAAAAACAACACTACAATTGAATGAAAAAAAAAATCGAGTTCAATTTTGAGTTTTGATTCGTAATTTTGAGTTTATAATCATAATTTCGAGTTTCAACGTCGAAATTTTAGGTTTATAGTCATAATTTCCAATTTCAACGTCGAAATTTTGAGCTAAAGTCGTAATTTCGATTTAAAGTCAAAATTTCGAGTCTCAAAGTCAAAATTTTGAGTTTATAATCATAATTTCGAGTTTCAGCGTTGAAATTTTAAGTTAAAGTCGTAATTTCGAGTTTCAACGTCGTAATTTCGAGTTTAAAGTCAAAATTTCGAGTTTTAAAGTCGAAATTTAGTGATTAAAGTCGAAATTTTGAGTTTTGAAGTCGTAGTTTCGAGTTTAAAGTCAAACTTTCAAGTATAAAGTCAAAATTTTGAATTTAAAAGTCGAAATTTCGAGTTTATAGTTCGTAATTTCGAGTTTCAAAGTCGAACTTTCAAGATTAAACTTGAAATTTTGGATTTTGAAGTCGTAATTTCGAGTTTCAAAGTCGGACTTTCGATATTAAACTTGAAATTTTGAATTTTGAAGTCGTAATTGCAAGTTCGAAGTCCAAATTTCGAAAAGCAAGTCCAAATTTCGAACTTTAAAGTCGAAATTTTGAGTTTTAAGTCGTAATTTCGAATTTTAAAGTCGAAATTTTAGGACCTAAGACGAAATTTCGTGTTTACAGTTGTAATTTAGAGTTTTAGATTCGAAATTTTGGGATTAAATTCGAAATTTTGAATGTTAAGTCATAATTTCGAGTTTCAGAGTCGTAATTTCTAGATTGAGGTCAAAATTTTGAATTTCAAAGTCGTAGTTTCGAGTTTAAAGTCAAACTTTCAAGTATATGGTCTAAATTTTGAGTTTAGAGTCGAAATTTCGAGATTAAACTTGAAATTTTGGATTTTGACGTCGTAATTTCGAGTTTATAATCGTAATTTCGAGTTTTAAAGTCGAAATTTTGGGATCAGCGTCGAAATTTTGAGTTTAAAGTCGAAACTTCGAGTTTCAAAGTCGAACTTTCGAGAATAACCTTGAAATTTTCAATTTTGAAGTCTTAGTTTCAAGTTTAAAGTCAAAATTTCGAATAGGAAGTCCAAATTTCGAATTTTAAAGTCGAAACTTTTTGTATCTAAGTCGAAATTTCGAGTTTACAGTTGTAATTTGGTGTTTTAGAGTCGAAATTTTTGGATTAAAGTTGAAATTTTGAATGTCAAGTCATAATTTCGAGTTTTGAAGTCGAAATTTCGAGATAAAAGTCGTAATTTCGAGTTTAAAGTCGTAATTTCTAGTTTTGAAGTCGATATTTTGGGATTAAATCCGAGTTTAAAGTCGTAATTTTAAGTCTAAAATAACTCATAGATCTTTGATTTTATGAGTTACTGTCACATCTTCCACATTGATCTTTGAAACACATCACGTTTTTTCAAAATTCGAGTGATTGCAAAAAATAACCGTAGTTATCTTAATAAAAATCGACACTAGTCTGGAAAGTAGTAATAATAAGTTATTTTATTGAACAAAAGTCATTTTTGATAAAATAGAGATATGTTGAACACTCTCAAGATAAATTAAAGTGAGCAGATAATATTCTATAAAAATAACATCGAAAATTTCTACTACAACGAACTCTTCCAGTCCGTCGACAACGTCTGCATAATCTGCCGCGAGGAGATGACCTCGGCCTCGAAGAAGCTGCCATGTAACCACATCTTCCACACGACCTGTTTGCGCTCGTGGTTCCAGAGGCAGCAGACCTGTCCGACCTGCCGGCTAAACATCCTCCAAACGCCCTCCAACCCCACACGCAGGCAACCACCCGCCGCGCCTCCCCACGCCGCCCCCGGGAACCACATGTTCTTGGGCCACAACATTTACCAGATGTTCAACCAGCCGGAAGCTGAAAACTTCCAGCGACAGCAGCAGGAGAGGCCTACCGAGCAGCAGCGACAACAGACTCCTCTTCCTCCTCAGTTTATGATGCCGCCGTTTCCGTTTTTGCCGTTCCTGCCGCCCCCGCCTATGCCCGCGCCGAATTTTGCCGAACTTTCGGTCGAAGAACTGCGAGCTATGGAGGGGAGCGAGAAGGAGAACGTCGAGGCGAGGATCCAGTGTCTGAGGAATATTCAGGTGAGTGGAATGGAATATTATCGATAAATATGAATAGATATACAGTAGAATCTTACTAATCCGGCACTATTAAAAACCAGAAGGTGCTGGATTATTGGAATGTTCTGGATTATAGAGAAAAAATCATAATAAAATAGTGTCTTGTGTTTCCGTTTACTTAACATTTCCAGCTTAACACTATTCTCACTTCAAATCGACAGGTAAATATGAACATACATGCTCGTGATTAGTTTTGAGGTTAAACTGCTAGACTGGTTTTTCTCAAAGTGGGCGATAGGGGGGCAGTAAAGGGCACAGAGAAGATTGGGGGGACGTTGAAGCGGTTTAGGGGGGCAAAGGCTAATTTAAAAATGTTTTTTTTGCTTTTAACATAAACTTTATCGCTCAATGCGCGTTTGCTCGTGTGTTGCCATCTAGGGGACTAGACAGTAACTATTTCCTGTCCGATAGTTGTCAAACTGTGCAATAGATGGCTGTAAGCTTCAATGCGAAGCGAGAAGTTCATAGTCTCCATTCTCGAAGGTACTAGGCCCGCCCGCTGCCTCATATAAAAGCGCGCGCCATCCAGCCAGTAATGTCATTTGACGATATTACAAAAACAAGTGAATTTAGTTAGTGACTAGCTAGGTAAAGTGCTGTACGTGCGGTGGTGAATACTGTGAGTGTTTTTTACTGTGAGCAAGTTTTTAATACTCACACAAAAGTGTTACTTATTTTCAAGAACTGCAAAAGAAACACCGAGCTCAACCAACTGTGTAAAAACTTTTTCAGCGGCTTTTAAGCAAGACGACGACGGACTCCAAGCATCCTACAATATCTTCTTGCTAATTGCTCAAACAGGTAAACCTCATACTATTGAAGAGGATTTAATTTTACCGGCAATAAAAGAAGTAATAAGTATTGTGCTCCATAAACCAGCGGCAGATATTATCCGAAAAATTCCTTTGAGCAATAGTTCCGTGCAAAGACGAATTGATGAGATGGCTGAAAACATTGAAGAGTCATTGTGCAATCAAATGAAGACTTCTAAATTCTCAATTCAGTTAGATGAGTCCACTTTACCAGTTAGTGAAGCATTGTTGTTGTCATACGTGAGGTTTATTAAAAATGAGAAAATATATCAAGAACTACTATTTGCCAGAAAGTTAGAGATGGATACAAAAGGAGAAACCATATATAATACACTGAAAAAAGTTTGAGATGAGAAAGAAATTCCACTGAAGAATATTATATCAACTGCGATGGATGGCACCCCGGCTATGACAGGACGTCACAGAGGCTTCATAGCGTACTTGAAAAATAAAATTCCAAATGTGCTCGCTGTACACTGCGTCATTCATAGGCAATATTTGGTTGCGAAATATTTGACTGAGCGTCTTTATCAATCACTGCAATATATCTTCAAAGCAGTCAATAACATCCAAAACAGCTCTTTAAATGACAGATTTTTCAATCAGCTTTGTGTTGCTAATGATGAAGATTTCAACCGACTGCTATTTCACACAGAAGTGCGTTGGTTATCAACTGTCAGACTCAATTTCACAATCTATTTGACTCTGTAATAGAATTCTTGGAAAACGAAGACAAAGAATTGCACGACAACCTCATCACCTAAAAGAATGATATTGCGTACTTGACAGACCTGTATAAATTATTTAATGATGTCAATCTCCAACTTCAAGGTGACGACTTGAATTTGATTAAAACAAAAAATGTCACGGCTGCTTTTGCAGCCAAATTGCTCTTATACAAGAATAATATCGGCAGACGTGAGTTTCGCAATTTCTCTAATTTGTCAGCAGTATCCTTCAACAACGATGACTTGCTTGTTCACTGCCAACATTTGGAGAACCTCCACAGTGATTTTGCAGAACGATTCCAGGACATTTAAAAATTGGAAATACTGGACTGGGTGTTGGATCCTTTTTCAAATGTCAACACAGCAGGATCACCCCAGCTGGAAGATGAACTCATAGAACTGATAACAAACGAGGAAATTAGGAAAAAGAAGTTTAGGTTAAGAATGAACGAAATCTCGACTTTCAGAAAGGACAAAAATCAAGATAAATACATCTCAGTTCCATACCACCAATATACGAAGAACTTTGGAAAGATTTTCAAGGAACTAGGTATGAAGGTGATTTTTAAAACAAGTCATACACTGCAGAACCTTTTGGGAAGTCCAAAAGACAAAGTCGAGAATTCGGAAAAGTCTGGAATTTACGAAATTGAATGTAAGGACTGCGATGCAAAATATTATGGACAGACAAAAATATCTATTAAAGTGAGATTTAAGGAACACATAGCACACTTAAAATATGGAAGATTTGAAAAATCAGCAGTCGCTCATCATATTTTGCAACAAAACCATTCCATAGACTTCAGTTCTTTAAGATTAGTTAGACAAGTTAATAACAACAGGCAACTAGATGCCTATGAGAGTGTGAAAATAAGTAGACATAATAATATTATGAATAACGATAACGGATCAATACCAAATAGCATACTATATAGCTTGTTGAAATAATATTGTTGGGTTTACTGATTACTACAAAAAGACACATTGTAAATATATTCAGATAGGCAATATTGTGAAACTAATTTTATATAGCTGAAAATTGTTCTATATATAGCTGTAACATTTAAACATACATAAGGACATATTGTAAATAATAGAAAGGCCAATTGTAAAATTAATTTAGGGTGGTACACTTGTATGGGTGGTATTACTGATTACCTACCTGTATGATGTACCTGATTAGTATAAGTAGCTTTAGTTTTGAGTAGTTATTAGTTTCATCTTCCTCTTGAAGATGATCACTTGGTGATCAAAACACGTGTCGAGGTGTAAAAATAACGATTTGGTGTTGGGAAAAAACTCCAGTAATATTCATTACTACACCAAAGGTTCCAAACAGTTTATCACAAGTAAATTTGATTGGTGATCGAAACCTACTGAACAGCATTGAGTAGCATTTCTTTGTGTTGAGATAAAGACAGTTTGCTTCACACCAATCAGAAATGGAGTTTATATCACTCTGAAGAAGATTAGCATCATGGACACTTTCTAGAACCTTGAAAATTTTCAGGTCATCGGCAAATAACAAGATTTTGAAATGTTTGTTCTAATAACATGAATAAAAGTTTTCCTAATATCACAAAATGGTGTTTTACATTACCCTCATCGGAAACTCTTATTTTCACATGACACACATAATTTAATTATTAAAATAATGACTGTGATTGTGATTCTTAAGATGTAGTTAAGTAAAAAAATTTTAGGGGGGCGCTAGAAAATAATCAATTCTCGAAGTGGGCGGTAGACAAAATAAGTTTGAGAGCCTCTGTGCTAGACGACGGCGACGGAGCGCGTAGGTGTAGAGGGGTGAGGGAGGCGCCAGCGGTTGCCTGGTTATTGGACGTATCGGTCTATTAAGATTCTACTGTATTTCAGGATTTTACAGCACCCATTGCAATCTAACTACTCTTATTTTTTCATCAGATTCTCCTCGACACTGCTGTAACAATGATGCAGCAATACAGTGCAGCCGCTTCCCACTACTCGCAAATACCAACCGCTGCTACGTCCAGCCCCTCAAACCCATTCCAGGCTAGTTTTCCTTCCGCCTCAGGGTTCAACAACTCAACGCCAAAAGTGGCCAAAGTGGCTCCAACCACCAGTTCCCCGCAAGTCAGCACGACACATGACTGGGTCGAAAGTACTTCTGATGGTGCCGGCCCTTCGAAAGAAAACGTGGAAGAGATTGGGGGTGTACAAGCTGAAGAAGAAGCGAAAAAGCTGCAGGAATGCGAAGCAGTGGGCCTCTGTCCAAAGGAAGAATAGTTGAGTGTGGGGGTTTTTTAATTTTGTGGGAGGTGTTTGAAACTGGATTCTTGAGAGGAATGGTGGGCGTGTTGGAGCAAATCTCTTTTTTTTCAGGATAGAAAGCAGGAAACTAATATATTAACTACCATATCAACTGTAAGGCGACTTATATCTTCATAGTGAGGTTCGTGGTTGGCACAAATAAAATCGAGGTAAAAAACCGTGTGTTTCAATATTCGAATGTATCATTTTTTCCTTTGAAAACTCCCTGCCAAACCTTATCAGGTCAAAATCAGTTTGTCCGTCAACTAGCTATCGGGCCCTACGAATGGAGTTTCTCGAAAGTTGGTCTTACTTTTTAATATCAATATCAACATTTTTATATTTCACTCTTTTATAATTTCTCAACAGAGAAGATCTATCAATGATATTTCAAATCAATATTTATCTATTTATACAATTTAACAAACAGGCTATAACGTACTGTTAGAAAATGTCAAAATAAATTAAATCACACATGAGTTCATTGTTCATATATAGAAAGTAAATAGACAAAGAGTACACAATAAACTATATGAATTAAATTGAATATATAACATCCCATGTTATTTCTTAATCTTGAGAAATTCAATATTAGTATTATCATTTTCATCGACTGCTGAACCGGCTTGGACTTTCAGGATATCTATTCACGCCAGTCAGTTAAAGGCTGGCGGATTTCTAACTTATTTCTTTGGTTTCCCTTAGTTTTGCATTGACTCAAGCGCCACCTCGCGGCAATGAACGCCTCGAATCCTTGAAATACATCACCATAGAACACATGAAACACCTGCCAAATTTTCAGGTTCATTGATTTATGGTATAGTCCGAGAATACCTACCACAGTATAGTTAACGATTCCCTGCAAATTATAATAATGACATTTACTTGAGTTGAAAAAATATTAACAACTAACATTAATTAGAAGAATATGAAATAATTCAAGATTAAATTAAATGTTTCGAGTCGGAAGCAGTGATGGACTAAAGTGAGGTCTTTGGTACATGCGAGAAATTGCGTTATTTACCATCTGCCGAGCAGGGCCGTAACAATTTATTTTTCTTGCTTGCAAAAGGTATAAATGAAAAAGCAGGAAAACATTTCAAATGGGTCAAAATTGATGACGAACGAAAGGTCTGGAAACCTGTAAAAAATTATATCTCAAAGTACTTTAATGAATTTAATATCACATGTTTTCCTTACTATTCTTCGCAAACCAGTCTTTGAAACGATTTTTTTCATTGAGTATTATTTGATTTTTTGATAATGTTTTTAGTAGGTACTATTTTCTGGCTTGATGGTAGGTTTATTCAATAAATTTCACGAATGCTTAATTACCATGCTTTTAATGAGAAAAATCTACAAATTTCTTGCGATTCTCCAAAGGGTTCTTTTATATGTGGAGTCAATAAGTTTGGTATATTTATTAAATATAGGACAAAAAACTCTAGGCAATTGCATATATGTAGTGGCTGAGCATCGAATCTAAAAATATACTAACAATTTCTCTTGGTCAGAAAATAAAAATTAATTTTTTTTCTCTTAGTGAATATGCCGATAATCTTCTTTTGAAAACCTAGATAATTTTAACTACGTGTCTTTGGACTCTAAGAAGAAGCAAGTTGGGCTATTTGGAGATACGGTTTATGGGTAGGTATTCTACTTATCTCTAGATATAATATATAATACTATTTGTCGAAACATTACACCGGCCTCTGCTTCCTATATGAACAATTAAACCCTGTAAAGGTTATATACTGAAGCTCTGAAATAATCTTCAGTCTAAATTAGTAAACATTAAATCTGTGGGTTTCCTTTTTGGTGAGCCTAGAGATTTGCAGCTTTTACACATCCTCAAATGTGTTTGATTACTCTCATGCTTTTTTAAAGAACCTGGAAAGTCTTAATTAATTATTTATGCACCTCTAAACCATGTGTAGATCAATGTTGATACATCTATTCCAGAGTTTATTCATTAAACAAATGAAACGAAAAATAAATTAGTTGATATCTAACTAGAATAACTTAAAACTTACAAATGGCAAAAATAGTACAGCTCTTGAATTGCCTAGGATAACGAATATTACTGGCGTTTGATTTTCCTCTTGAAGATGATCACTTGATCAAAACAGGTGTCGAGGTGTTAAAATAACGGTTTGGTGTTGGGAAAACACCAGTAATATTCATCACTACACCAAAGGTTCCAAACAGAGCATCACAAGTGCATAGGATAACGCCTTTTATTAGACAGACGTCAATCAATAGGTACATGTTCACTTATTCACTCCATTCTGTCTCTTATCATAATTAATGTTCGTTTTATACAAAATTAGATGAATTCGTGTCACAACTCATTTTCAAGACAAAAATATAGTTAGCCAAATACTAAATATTATAAAAAGAATAATACATATTTGGCAAGGAATAAGTATCCTTTTCGAAAGTCTATGTCTGTTGAAAGGACTCAAAGTGAATCTTATGTGTTGCATCAGCTTGTAACTGGTAATAATAACCTTTGATAAAACAAACTCAAACAAGAGTTTGTTCACAACTATCAATTTCATTATCAAAATATGTGAGTATTTATGTCTCTGAAGAAAACGCAAAACAAATATGCGATCCTAACCTTCAAAGTGATTTCTTGATGTGGAACAAAACCAACGCAATAGCAAACTTTCTTTATTCCGCGTGACGCATCGGTTTGGGAGGCCACTTGAATTCACTTCATCGCGCAATAGCCTTACTTTCGAGATAGATAAAAATATTGATTTGAATTGTATGATATAAGAGTGGTACACTCGAAATGCTCAAGGTAACTTATTTAATTTGATGCCATACTCATATTTCAACCAATTCACACAAAACATTAATAAATTCCACAGATCAAATGTTCTTTTGTGTAAACCGTAAGAAAATCCATTCGATTGCTTTTGAGTTTATCGCTCTCAGGCAGACAGTCAGACTGATAGACTTTGTTTCATAATATTTATAGATATACATGATTATGAACGAAGAGAAGATATTCACAGAAACTGCCTCGTCATTTGCTTAGTAAAACTGCTGAAAGTATCAATTGCAGCTCTAAGTGTTAGTGCAACAAAACATTGCTCATGTTTTTTCATCAACATAAAACCAGTTGGTTTGTAAAATTTAAAACTTCCCGCATAGTAAATGTGTGGTTGAATTTTAAAATTCCAACTTAAGCTCTCCATCATTTGATATATCTAAGCTGTTTTATAGTTCAGACTGTAACAAAGCACACAAATGTTTTCAATATGTATAATAGAGGGTTGGGTATCCAGGTACCTGTCCCGAAAATGCTAGTACGACCCTGTTTCTCCAACACCAACTGTTTCCTGTCCATTCTTTAGTTATGTTCTGTTTTTTCAGACTGTTGACTAGTTCAAACAAACAATAGGTTTTTGTGATTTCTTGTCTTAGACCGGTTTCGGTTTGTGTCGGTTAGTCGGTTATAGTTCTGCACATTCTGTTTGTAGATATAAGAAGAAGCGTAATCAAATGGGTTCAACAAGTAGTTCCACGTCCGTATTAATGAAATAACCAAAGAATATCAAGGTGAGGTGGAACCACTGAAAAAAATACAATAATAAGCAGATGTTGCAGAATAATGAAATATCACTTGGATTCAGTGCGGCTTAATTAAATACGCTATTCCGAATAGGGCATCGACATTAGTGGTTTTTAAAATCTGCGTGCATTATAGTCAATTTATTTCTATGAATGGATTTCATGCCTGGCTGAGCAGTATGACTATTTGTTATTTAATTTTTAAAGAACTGCAAGGTTGAGATAATATACAATCCAACACAAATCGTAATATTTCCACGCGTGTCTCGCTTGTGCAGGACGCCTTGTCCACTCTTTATATCAGTTTCCCTTTACAGGTAATCATCAAAAACTTTTCAAGCTTGAGGCAGTGCTATGGCGTTTGAAAATGGCTACATGTACCAAGGCCTCAACAGGATTGGCAGAGGTCAGTATATCAACAAAAGTGAATGTGTATTTGTAAGTAAATATTTTCTCGTTACTCATCAGGGGCTTATGGTACGGTTTACAAGGCTACAGAGAAGACCACCGGACTCGACGTTGCTCTGAAGAAAGTATGCGTTCAATTGACGGAAGATGGTGTTCCTATGAATACGCTGCGGGAGATATCCCTCCTGAGGCAACTCAACACCAGTAATCACCCCAATATCGTTCGTTTGCTGGATGTGTGTCACGGTCAACAAATGGAAAGGGTGAGAAACATTTTGTTATTTGAAGAGCAGAGACACAACATATTCAACACCTGACAGTGTTGTTTCAACCAGTGGTGCTAGGCTGAACAGCAAATGCATTGAAGGACATGCCTAAGTGGGAAGCCTAGTTTAGCTGTAATATTGGAGGATTGAGTTCAATGTCAGTTCCATGGACAGTCAAGTCTGGCAATGCAGCTGTGGTTCAGCCTAACACCACTGATGAAGCCTATAGCGGGTCTAAACATCGCTGTCTGGTATTGAATCATAAATGCCTTGTGTTTGGGCTCTATTTTACAACTGTTCGTCTCACAGTGAAAGACAGAGGACGAATCTTGGTGGCGGTCGATTTTGAAGCTTGGTTTTGCTATGACCTCCTTTGGGAGCCTTCTTTTATCTTCAATATTCGAGTATTGAGTTTTCTGTGGATCCCACAATATATTATATTTGAGGGTCGATATAAATGTTCAGGTACAATGTACGTGGACTGTATTTCCTGTGACATGAAGGTAAATGTTGTTCTTTTGCATGATTTTGGTAAATAGAGAGAGCAAAGGTTTTAAATCGAACCGAACTGTGCTTACCTTGGGAGTTTCAGTGACTCGTCTCGAATCATGTAGGTTTTATAGCAACATTAATATTTCCCTCACTTCGACAGATTGTACAGCCTTCAAGCAGAATATCGTATAAAGGGAGTGAAAATAGATAGATAGATGATAGATAATTTATTTAACTACGATACGTATAATGTTTGTAACACTAGGTTTTGAACATCTACCATACTCATGGGTAAACAAACACTCAGACAATTAAAAAAGAAAACAGTAAAACAATAATAAATATAGTACAAACAAATAATTTCACAAAGAGGCTAACAATGTCGTGAAACTGCAACAAAATTATATCTTACATACCAAAATTAGTAAGTAACATTATACAGGGTGGGCCAGTGAAAACTTGACATGGAAGTATATTAGAGAAACTTAGTTATCTGGGTATAAGAGGTATCTTGTTAAAATGGTTTGACTCTTATCTTTCCCACAATAGTATTCTCATCAAAGTAGAACAACTATGCATTAAACTCCTGGATAAAATCCATCTACATGTGTCTACAAGAGTTCTCAAAAATACTGATCTCTGTCACAATTCTTTCCATATCACCAACTGTGACATACATTATCCTATCGATGGCACGCTCAAAAGGATTCATCATAGAAAAATTGGAGATTACTGGTATTACGTTATCTACACTAAAAGTAGTCTGTAAGGAGGATAACCCCTATAAATTGAATTAAAAAAATACTTTCATTGATTATAAAAATCGAATAAGTAATTGTAGATTCGCAAACAATATTTTTTTTTATGAATTCAATGGTGTTGAATGTACGTCTAAGTAATTTTGGAACATTTCGGCAAGTTCAATCATCATACTACATTTTATCTCGCCATAATACATCACATCTTGTAAATCAAATCAAAATATGCTTTATTGTCCAAGAATAAATCTTATTGACAAAGCGTGTTATATAGAATGGATAGTAAGTATAAACATGAAACCTAAATATATAAGTAATATACATACAAACATAAATATTGTCGCATGCCACCTTGAAGAAGCCCTACAGCTCTATTCATCTCAGCCAATGGTAAGTGATGGCGTTCCATGTTAAAGCACAATATTTCCAGTTTAATTGCTGAGCAAGAACTGCATAGAATGTGCAAACTCGCCACTTTCAGATTATTCATTTTAGCCGAAAACCTACAGTTTGTAAAAAACTTGATGAAAGATTAGTTACCGTTTTTGCAGGCTTTTCCTAGACTTTTCCGATGTGTGTAAATCAAAATATAAATACATAAATATAAAAATAAATACAATTATAAACATAAAAAATATAAATATAATCATAGTCATATGATCTTGTAGGATATTGTCATGTAGGATATTAAACTTATGCTGGGAGAGTACAAAATTCCACAATGCCTTAATATTAGTCACTGCCGAATATTCGGAAAATTTAATAAATCCTATATAAACAATTTTTTTAAGAACTTCCTCTGAGACCGCGACAGAGAGGAAGTCTCAGTCCCATAAATATCAAAGTAAAAGATAAATTGATAGGACTGGCGTCCGCCTACGCCAGTAACCAGGCCGGAGGTCGTCAATTCTATAATTTTAACAAATTTGAAGTGTATGTTTATGTGAAAAAAAACAAAAGGCATTCCGAAGAGGAGGCGATTTTTATATAATTATTTATTGTTTTTTTTTTCAACAAAAAATTATGAACAGGTAAATAGGGTGGCAATAGTGGGCAAATCAATATCCCAGCGCCCCCAATAAAGCTCCTGTTAATTATTAACAGGAGGAGCCTGGTCAAATGCGCCTATAGTTACAATATTACAGAGAATACCTCTTGTATAGTTTTTTCCATACAGAAAAATATTGTGATCGTCATAATAAACATCAAGAAATGAATTTTATTAGCAGAAAGCACTAAAATAGACAAACCGTAGATAAGTGTTTCAGCATCTGTGTGAAACTGATTCTCAATTGATTTGCACAGGAACTCATAATGTACCTAGTGTTCGAGCACGTTGAGCAAGACTTATACACATACATAGAGAAACACCCAAGGGGCTTCAGCACAATCGAGATCAGGAACCTTTCTAGGGAAATTCTGGATGGAGTCGACTTCTTGCACAGCAACAGGGTTGTCCACAGAGACTTGAAACCACAGAATTTGCTGGTGACTAAAGACGGGCATATCAAGCTAGCCGATTTCGGACTCGCCAAGACTTATGATTTTGATATGAAATTGACTTCGGTGGTGAGTAAATCGATCCTGTTATTTTTTTGTTCGATGCTGTATATGTGTGTTCCTTTATTGGTCGATTAGTTGTAGAATGGCATCACTGATTAGGGAATGATTAAATCAATGGTATTATAATAATTCTTTCATTCTGAGATTAGAATTAAAATCAGCAGTTTCCTCTCAGAAACGTGTTGTTTTCAGTATTTATATTTTCTTCTGATTTATTGAATATTTTATGAAAACTTCACATTTATTTTGGAAGTTTCCATAAATATATGAAATTTCATTTGTTTTTGTTTTTACCATCACCCGAATAATTAAATTGTGTGCGCCACTGTCGGTGGAGGGCCATAAATCTAGCAACTTTAACACAATATGTGTCATAGATATTGGTTTGCCGAGTCCAATTTTTTTTACATGCATCGGACTTATCCAAAACTTTAGTTTTATTGGTGTAATACAATCTATTCTAGTCTGTACAGGTAGTCATATTTTTAGAACATTTGTGAAACCAACAGTTTTCAATTTTTTTAATGAGAAAACAATAAAAAGTGTAAGTCTTGGTAAATGTCTGGAATTCTTTTCGCAGGTGGTGACTTTGTGGTACAGAGCCCCAGAGGTTCTTTTAGGATTGCAGTACGCCACCCCTGTGGATATTTGGTCAGTAGGTTGCATAATGGTGGAACTGTACAGTTTAAAACCGCTGTTTTGCGGTACTTCAGAAGGGGATCAACTCAGTAAGATATTCAGGTTAGTTTGCATATTAACATATGTTAACTACTTATTAAATGTGAGCACTTTCGACAGCAAGCTGTGCTATCATCTTCATAGCTCTACTCAAACTGAACGTTTTATCTTCTTGTTTGTTCTTTTATACGGTTAGAACGTCTTGGTGCAAATACCTGCACTTTCGTGCCTCTCACCAACAAACTAAACATACTCTAACAGCTGAAAATGTGAACATATGTTCGAGACGAATGTACGATCACAAAAACATCACTAATCGGATGTACGTATCTGTCGAAATTTGAATATTAACCTTACTTTTTGATCAGACACTTTACTAGCTTGAATGCTAGGTAAAGCTAGCTTTACTAGCTAGTCGCTAGGTAAAGTGCTTTACTTTTTTTCGTAATATCGTCGACTGACGTTACTGGCTGGATGGTGCGCGTGCTTTTATATGAGGCAGCGGGCGGGCCTAGTACTTTCGAGAATGGAGACTAGAAACTTCTCGCTTCGCATTGAAGCTTACCGCCATCTATTGTACAGTTTGACAACTATCGAACAGGAAATAGTTACTGCCTAGTCCCCTAGATGGCGTTAATCGTAAGGGAGCGGTAACGTTTGTGTTAAAAGCAAAAAAACATTTTTAAATTAGCCATAGCCCTTCTAAACCGCTTCAACATACCCTCTTTGAGAGACAAAGCTGATTTATATTCGAAGATACTGTGTCACGATTTGGATTCTGAATCAGCCAATTCTCAATAGTTGATTACTAAAAGATATTTAGATGAATAGTAATGAAACGTACAGAATACATTGCAAACTAACAAATATTTTCCAGGGTGTTGGGAAAACCCCCCCAGAATGAGTGGCCAGAAGAAACCGTCTCCATCAAGTGGAACGCGTTCGACATAGTGAATCAAGTAAGACTGGGACAGATTGCGCCAAACATATGCGAGACCGCTCAGGATTTGATAATGGTGAGTCTACGAACTGCCTTCCTTTCAAAGATGAATCAAAACTTTCTTTCTTTCACAGCGAATGCTGACCTTCAATCCCAAGAAACGTATCACAGCCCTCAAAGCTTTGAGCCATCAGTTTTTCACAGAGGAACCTCTCAATACGTAACGGCTATGTTGTGATATCGGATTTTCCCTGATATCGGTTTTAATATTTAAGGTAACTAATAAATTGTGTATTTTATACTTGGCTTTCATTAACCCTAGACTCATTCAGTGTCTTATTGTTATAGTCTGTTCCCTTAAGCAGCGGAGTGATGAATCATTTTCAAGTAACTGTTCCATAGGCGTACATAGTTGAGCCGCTTAAAAAGTGAAAAATGTAGTATTTATTTTGAACATTCAATGTCTTTGTACGATTTGAAATAACAAATCTCGGAAGACTTTTCATAGTTGTATGTATACGGTGGGTAACACTTGCATTACAAGGGTGGTTCCAAAAGTACCTGGCCTGACCTAGAGATGGCGGTAGTTGTTTGAAAAATATCACTGCATTAGAAACTACACAATCTGTAAAGTATGTTTCAAGTTTGAAGACGCTGCGTTCTTTAGTATTTCTCTGGCAGACATCAACAGCGAACGTTTTCGGTGAATTTGTGAAAATGGAGAGAATTGGTCATCGTTGTGTGGTACAATACTTTTATTTGAAGGGCATCAGGCCTGCTTCTTCATTTACAACAGTAATTTATTGGGTAGCAAAGCTTGAAGAGGCCCTACGAGTGCCAAGACGAACATCGTATATTATCTGAAGATTTGGATATGAGAAAGCTGTGTGCAAGATGGGTGCCGCGTTTGCTCACACCCGAGCAAAAACAGAGTCGTGAAGATGTTTCAATTGAGTGCTTAGCGAAGTTTCACAGCAAAAAAGCAGAATTCTTGCCATAACCATGAATGAAACAGGTCCATCAGTTTAGAAAAAGAACAATCAAAACAGCTGCAGGAATACCCGGAAAAACCTGCAGCACCACGTCATCTAAAGATCTTGATCTGCCATTGTCCTCTCTTTAATAAAACAAAATGTAGGGTGTCTCTAGAGGCTCCAATAAATTCAATACATCGCCAGAACACCGTGTCACGACTATCGTCAAACTTAAACCAGTCCGTTTCTTCCTTGGCCAAGGCGTAATAATGACTAGATTCAACGCCAGAACCTCGGTGAACAATGACTGCATGAAGATTATAATAGTGGTCTGCTGGATTGAAATTTCATCTATTTCGAACCTTCGTAAAAGTTTGGTTTTTCCGTCAGAGGTTGAGTCATGTTTGTAGATCATCAGTGTTATTATTAGATTGACTGGTGCCTCAGATATACTTGTTTTCCTATAAGTCAGTTAGTTTGGCGCATGTTTGCCAATACAGTCGATCATCACCTATTAAAAGTTCCATTTTCAGATGATTTAACAATAAGTTTTGCACGGAAACGCTAGTTGAAGTTTCAGAAAGTCACATACGTTTTTGCTACCTCTTGAACATTTACTAGCTGGATTTTTCCAGCAAAAGATTTAAAAGCACAAGACTGTACGGAATCATTCAATCCAGAGCAGCGGCGGCTCGTCAGAGGAGGCAAGGAAGACTTAGCCTCCCCATAAAATTTGAGGCTATTCATCGCAATAAATTAAAAGACATTGACAAATAATTATGATTATTTTTTTCTAAAAATGCTTGGGTATCATTACTTTACCATTAATTTTTAATATAAATACATAATATGCCCGAAAAAACACTATCGCTCACTACGTAGTACGTACCACACTGTATCCTGCATCAACAAAACGCACCGCCCATGAACGGATAAACCATCAACCTGAAATAATAAATGCCATACGTTGCAAGGGACCCAAGCCTCCGACCGTTTTAAAAAACACAAGCTTCGCGAGGCTGATCCAACCAGCGACATAGGTCCCGATTTGTAATTTCAGTTGCAGAAATTATAGCGTTAGGGGAGGCTAGCCTCCAGTTGGTCTTCGTTAGTGTACGGTTAGTTTGTTTTTTATTTAATTATTCGGACGGGATGCCGTGACGAACCGACACTGAAAAATATTTCGGTAAATCGTTTTAGGGTTTCTTGATAATATTTGTGATTTGTGTATAAAACAGGCAGTATTGAATTACAGCAGTGCTTTTTGGTAATATTTTTTAATATGTTTTTAAAGTGTTTTCTTTCAATTTCAAGGTGATTTCAGGTTTTCACTTTTCGGTAAGTTTTTTTCCATTTAATATGGATAAGTTGGACGAAATTAAAAAATCTGACGATATAGTCGATTGGTTGCTGACAAATAAGTCTTTATCTCATGATAATAAATGTTACATTATTAAAACTCTGGGAAGGCCTCAAGCAAATTTGATTTCGATTAAAGCATCAGATAATCGACAAAATCGAGGATTTAATATTAGTTGGTACGATAAATGCGATTGTTTAACCGGCTCCATTAAACGAGAAAAACTTTTTTGTTGGCCCTGTGTTTTACTTTCCGTACAAACCGAATACCAAACGTGGTCTAAAATAGGATACTCTGATTTTAAAAAATTACCTCGTTCTACAGAAAGACATTTTAAATATAAGGAGCATATATTTTCGTTTTGTAAATTAAAATTGTTTAGCAAACAAAATATAGAAACAGCTTTAGATACAGCTCAAAAAGAGGCCATAATTTCTTTTAATAATCAGGTTACGGAAAATCAGTCTAATTTAAAAAGACATCGATATTACGATTTATTTGGGTTCCCAAGAATTAGCTTTTCGCGGACACGATGAAACCGAAGATTCGATTAATCGCGGCAATTACAAGAAACTTTTAATGTTATGGGGCACCCAAAATGTGCTTATAGACAGTGTGGCATATATTATTAAGGAAAATATTAGCAAGGAGATTGAAAGTGTTTCTTTTTTTGAATGGGAAATTGATAAAATTACCGATATTACCTGTACATCACAATTTTCAATCGTTTTTAGATATGTCAAAGATAATCATAATTATGTACTTGTGCTCATAAAATATTTGTAGCAATTTTTAACAAAACTGTTATATTAGAAGAGAAAAGTATTATTATTTATTGACTGAGAAGAGTTCATTTATTTTAAATAACTCAAAGACAACCCTTTTTCCTTGTTTTTTTTTTAATCGTCAGTTTTATACATATATTATACGACAATACACAATGTTTATTTGCATTTATGCAAATATTACGTAACTTGCTTTAAATAGGTGCGCGGTATATAGTCTTTATGACTTTAGCCTCCCCTGTTCTCCAATGCACGAGCCGTCACTGATCCAGAGCGGTCAGGAGTATTGATTCTGCTATTTTTTTGCTCACGAAGAGTATTCAACAAGAACCACAAGAATTCGGAACAATCGTCTTGTGACATTTTTAATTTTTTCAAGTGTCAATTTTGACAGGTACTGTTCAACAGCTAGTGACCAGTGTTTATATTATTTTCGGTGTAATTCGAAGCACGAACCATCGCCAAAGTCCAATTTCATGTGAAACAGTCTGGTGACACTGAATAAATATGTGGGACATCCTGTACCCAAAAATATTTCATAAGTGCCATGCGTGTTTACGTCGTCAACAAACAACAAAGACCGCCAAGTATGCAACCCAACAGACTCGGACTCAAACAAGTCTATTTTAAAATTGAACTTCCCGTTGCTCGGCTACAGCTTTTTCTGGCCAATTTAGCAATTGAAGGCACTTTTCATTAATTCAGTGTCACGGAAAGGGCAGATAGACGAAGATGGCCTGCCAAACGCAAGGCATCCAACAGTTGCTGGTCGCTGAGAAAAGGGCCGCGGAAAAAGTGGCGGAAGCCCGAAAACGTAAGTGGCACATTTTTTTGGCTTTGCGATAATTATAGAGCTTGAGTTGTATTTCTGGAACGGCCCGACCAGGTTTTTTAATATCTGTGGAATATTTTCCTTCTGCCAAAAAAGCGGGTCTAATCGGTTTTCCTTTGATTTCAATTTTTGTTTCGTTGCAACCTTTCAAAAATGTTATTGTTTCACTTTTAACAATCATTAGTTGGCGGGAAAGTTGGGAATCACATAAAAGTATTAGTATTTATTATTTTTGTGGGCGACTAATTCATTTTTCAGTTAATTTTTATGTATCTCCCATAATCTGAAAAAATATAAAATTATTAATAGAAACTGAAATAAAAATTAGTACTTTCTGATACTATTAGATTAATAAAATCGTTAATAACAATAATAGTATGTCTTGTGTTTATCTGATCTTGGTGATGTCCAGTTTCAATAATAATATTTTGTGACCCCTGTAATCATTGTCGGGTACTGAAATATTTATAAGAAATATGTAATTAAAGAATACATTTAAAAGTTTAATGTGACGTCAATAGTAAACTCCAGAATCTTAGTTAGTTACTTCAATATATTACTAAAGATATCAAATAATAAATGGTTCAATGTTCAATTGACACACTGACTGACTGACCGACCCACTGACTGATTGACTCGCTTATTGACTGATTGACCGGATCGCTGATTGTCTGACTCGCTCACTGACTGACTGATTCACCAACTGACTCTCTGAATGACTCGTTGAATCACTGACCGACCGACTGACCCACCGACTGACCCAGTAACCGTCTGATTGATTTACTGACCGATTGACTCATTCATCCACTGATTGACCGACTCACTGACCTGACTGATTGACTCACTATATGACTGACACACCGACCTGCTCACTGACTGATTGACTGACTCACGGACCGACCCACTGACTCACTCATCGTCTAGCTGAATGACTGATATGACTTACCGACTGACTCACTGGCTCACCAACTGACTGGATCAGTGACTGACTGACTAATCGACCGACTAACTCACTACTGACTGAATCACCGACTGACTAGCTGACTAACTCACTGACTGACTAGCTGAATGCTTAATTGACTGACCTTCTGAGTGACCGTGTCACTAATTGACTCACTAGCTGAATGACTAGCATGACTCACTTACTGACCGACCAACTAACTGACGGACTCACCAAATTACCGATTGACTCACCGACTGCCTCGCTCAGTGACTGATCTGCTAACTCACTGTCTGACTGACTCACTGTCCGACTCACCGACTGGCTGATTGACTGAACTGACTCACTCACCGATTTGCTGAATGACCCGACGACACATCGGCTAATTGATTTACTCACTGACCGACTGGCTCACTCACTGACTGATTAACCCACTGACCAAGTCACTAACTGACTCACAGGTTGACTGAATGACTCAACTACTGATTCATGGACTAGTTGAATGACCGACGTGACTCAGTAACCGCATGATTGACTCACTGACCGACTGGCGAGCTGACAGACTGACTCACTGATTGATTGGCTGGTTTACTAACTCACTGACTGACTCGCTCACTAATTTTTTTTTAACACGACTTGGTAAGAATTTTTGTACGAGTGATTCTTTTCCAACTCAATGTTACACGACTCTATTTCCTGTATAATTATGTCACATCATTTCTTTTAGTTTTTTAATAAAACGTATACGATATTTTAATGTATCAAATCTAGAAATATGCTGCGAAAACATACAATTTTGTTCATGCCAGTTTATTTTCGTATCGTAAAACGCTGTTTTTATTACGCGCATATTATGATCCCATAAATGATGGAATTGGTATTTGAGTGGTCTAGAATTGGATTATCTGCTGTAACATCCTTTTTCACGGCCGTACTTGCGGAAAGGCTTCATAAACGATGCTCGGGTCATGACAAATTGTCCAATTGAGTTATAAGTGTTCATGAATATGAGTTGGCAGTTGCAATATATGCATGAGGAATTGTCTGTAGTTTGAAAGGTTATAGTAAGTATATTAAATGTCGTGTCGGTTTATATTAAATTTGATTTTATTATTCAATATAGTTGCAATATAGAGTCTTTAGCCTGAAAATATGACTCAATTTCGACGACTACCCCTTCATCGACGCTAAATTTCTTTCCAGCGAGCACTCTCTTGAGGTCTCTGAACAGGAAAAAGTGGCTGGGGCTCAGATCCGGAGAATACGGTGGATGCGGAATCAATTCGAAGCCCAATTCATGCAATTTTGCCAACGTCTCCATTGCTTTGTGACAAAATGATGGCGATGACTTTTCCCACCTTGAACCGCAAGACAACTAGTTGAGTTCCCTGTCGATATCATAGATGGCGTTTTTGTAAGGGGAGAAGTCTTCGCCTTCCTCGCCTTATGGAGTATCGGTCAATTCCGTCATATAAAAATAAATGAATTTGAAAAAATATTTTTGGGGTACCAATGCCGCAATCAAATGAACTTCCAAAAACTTTCATGAAGGCATATATTATGTCAGACAGTTTCTTAAAACTTAAATGTCCTATTTTCGCTACAGTTCCTATCATGAATTATGTTTTTTTATTGACAGGGAAAGCAAAGAGGATAAAGCAGGCTAGAGAGGAAGCAGCAGCAGATATCGAACTGTACAGAAAAGAAAGAGATCGCCAGTTTAAAGAATACGAGGCCAAGTACATGGGCTCCAGGGAAGATGTGGCTGCTAAAATTGACAGAGACACAGAAGTGATCATGAAGGAAATGGATTTGAATGTTCAAAAAAATAAAGACCCGGTAAAGAAAATCATTCAATACAAATTAAAATACTAAGTTTGATCTTCAATGCGATATTCCACCTGCCTTTATTTATATAATAATATACAGTGTGTAACAACGAAAACTTAACAGAGCCGTTTTTGAATATAAAAAGTAAGATTTTTAAAAAAAGCTCGGACACGTCGATTTCTAATTAAAGGGGGACACCTTTCAGACTAATCATATTTTTTTGTAGTACGCACCCCCTCGGAGGGGTGCGTCCGACGACCCTTATTCAGATAGGGAAAGTAGGTCGAGTGGCACCTTGTTTTAAAGGTCTTTCAAATACCTTTAGAACACTGTTGAAAGAAAATTTTTGTGACGATTAGTTTTCGAGATAATTTGAAGTATCAGTTTTTTGTTAAATAAAATCCCTTTTTTGAAATCAATCAATCTAAATAAGGGTCGTCGGACGCACCCCTCCGAGGGGGTGCGTACTACGAAAAATCTGAATAGTTTGAAAGGTTTACCCCTCTAATTAGAAATCGACGTGTCCGAGCTTTTTTTAAAAATCTTACTTTTTATATTCAAAAACGGCTCTGTTAAGTTTTCGTTGTTACACACTGTATGTACCTCAGAGGTAAAGGACATCATGTCACAGGCTGTCTTTCTCTGAGAAGTGGAACTTGAAATTAAATAAGGATGAAACCCCAAAAAACGAGCATGTAAAACTACTAGGAATATATATTGATAGTGCACTTGGCTGGTAAACATGTTTAATGTCATTATTTTAACTATGGTAACCTTGGACTTGTCACAAATGTAATTTTGCAAAACAAATCTGTCTTATCTATCTATGATAAAACGGCGGTGACCTGTAAGTAGGTCTGTTAGATCTTCCTATTGAAGAGGCTCTTCTTTGGCAATTCACTACCAACTTAGGCTACTTGATTGCCCGAGAAAATTTTCATTGACTCATGTACGAGGTTGGATTCTGCCAATCTCTCCACACACAAAACAATAGCATAAATTTACATATGTCCTTACGTAGGTTGATATCTCTCTCCTGGGACTGCGACTGTAAAACATCTCTACCACAACCTGAAAGTATCAAGGACAGGGCCCCTCTAAGGCATTTGGTGGTTGCCAAAAGAAGGCATCACATCGGAGGTCTCTTCCAAATGTGTGATTTTCAGTCAGCCAGCAGTCTATAACACTCCTCATAAGCATGCCCAGTGCAATTGCTACAGTTCTTTGCTCACCAAGCCCCTCTTTCCAGGAAGATATGAAAAGGAAGAAAGGACTAGAAGGATCTTCATTCCCGCTGACGACATCAGAGATAGCCAGGCAATCCTATCTCTGTAAACCAGAGAGCTAAGCCCTTCGACATGTCTTTAGAGACAGTCTAGCTCTGTCTTAAAAATTTTTCAGGCGAGTAGGTAGTCAAGGATACTGCCTAAATACTTCACCTTTGTTGTAAATGGAATAACCACACCATTGAGGGAAAGCGGAGTTATATTGTCTAGATTCCTCTGCCTGGTGAAGTAGACTATCACAGTTATGGTGGGGCATGTCCAGCATCACCTATATACACTTGCAGATCTTCTCTACTGTCAAGGACATTAACCAGACTATCCATCAGGAGCAATCATCGAAGGGGTGCCCTATCTTGAGGACAGCTCCTAGTGACCTTGCACCTAATGGCCAGATCTTGAAGACATGTAGTTCTTGTTCTGTCAGAGCAAATGCTCCTTCGATATCGAGAAATATGGCCACCGCAACCTCCTCATTGATGAGGAATCGGGTGATTTTCTCTGCAAGCTTAAGTATTGATGAATCTGTCGATTCGCCAGTTTGATAAGCATACTGGTGGTTATTAAGGGGAGATGATGCTTTCATCCAATATCCTAGGAAAGATTTAGGGCTAACTGGTCATACCAATTTGGATTGTGAGTCTTTACAGCTCACTTTGTGGTAGGTATATAACCACAACGAACTTTGTGCAACATAATGCCCTGCTAATAGGGAAAAGTTTTTCCGGTCTGTTCTAAAGCAGAGTTGGAAATAACCATCGTCTCCAGATGAAGGGCTGAAATCATTAAATCTCTCGTTCCAAGGGCGATAGAATCTCTTACAATTGTGTCAGTTTAATCAAACTATTAACCTCGATTGTTTAGTGTGTAGTACCGGTGGAACTATTTACAGATTAAAGAAAACCATGAGTATCACACATGGTGGATTGATAGAGTAGATGCAGGTATGTCAGATAGAAAAGTGGTGACATCTGACACAACCCGTAATACACAACAAACTAAAAGTTGGTTGCCTAGATACAAAGAGATAAACAAGTTTGTACTACAGTGAGATGTCACTTAGCTTATTTCAATGGGGAATGTTCCTCAATTTGGGTTATTACAGCAAATGCAACATTGAACAAAATAAAGTTGAGTTTAATTCATGAGTTTTTCAAATTCACTTCGAAAAGTATTCAAATTGACGTTTCAACTGTTGGGTTTTAATTTTTAAAGGGATTTGTTTCTAATTCTCATATTGGCGACAGCGGCTATATCAAGTTGAAATAATTTATACGTACCTAGATATTCTACTTTAAAAAAGTAAAATTATCTTTATAAATCAACAATTTAGGCAAAATATAAATTATAGTCCAATACTACCTCCACAAGCCACATAAACAGCAGTTGTTTTGTTATTTATTTATATAGACGAAGATAGGTTAGGTGCACAAAATGTCATATGTCACAGAATGTCTCGGAACATAAGTAAACAGAACAGCACGCCTCTGAAATATGTCATCTTTGTTTGTCTCATACAGGTAACAGATTCATTGTCCTTTATTAGCTATAACCGATGTTGCCAAGTGGTGAAATAGAAACGAATCCCTTTAAATGTTGAATGCATTATTTCATTCCTCTTTTTTAAATAATTTTTTAAAGAGAAAGGTTGAAATGATAAGTTTAAAAAGCGTTGTTTTAGAGCTCTTTTACGAAAACTACTTGATTTTCGTCAGGAGGAACATTCCGCGTTCTGACCATCGTGAAAATAATATACTTATTGCAGCACCAAAATATGGAATATAAACATACTGAATATCAACTCTCACATTTGAACAAACATTAAATGCTTAAAAACACAATATTTACCTGGAAAATGAAGCCTTCGAATAGCCGAAAAAACTAATTTTTCAGTTAACTAAAATTTTCAGGAGGCAAAACAATTTTTTCGAGCAATCAAATTAAAATTTTCGGGTAACTAAAAAAAAATTCAATTTTTATCGCAAAAAAAGTTTTTCAGGTTACCAAAAAATTCAATTTTCAGGTAAACAACATTCCAAGTGGCCGAATAGGAACTTTCCTGGTAAATAATATTTTTCGGGAAACCGAAAAAGAGGAATTTTTCAAATAACTGGAGAATACTTTTTTTATATATAATACTAAGTATCATTATTGAAATAAGAGAATTGAATTTTCCGAATAACGAAGTTTTTTCGGGTAACCCATTTCAGGCAACCAATAACTGAACTTTTCAGTCAACCGGAAAAACCCGGATTTTTCAGGTAACCGCAAGGAATATTCCAGACAACTGAAAAAACATTGATTTTTCAAAAAAACTGAAAAATTTAATTTCTCAGGCACCGACATTTTTTCGGGAAACAAAAAAGAAATTTTAAGGCGACCGAAAAATTTACAGGTATCCGAAAACATAAATTCTCAGGTAACAAAAACAAGTTTTCGGTTAACCAAAAATGAACTTTTCGAGTAACCGAAAAAAAAACTGTAACTATTACAGAAAGCTCCCTTCAATAGCTGTTGCAATAGCTTTCAGAACATAAAAGACGTTTCAATAGCTGTTGCAATAGCTTTCAGAACATAAAAGACGTTATAATTTTGGCTAAATGCGCCGTACGGAAGCAAAAGCCAAGAAAATCTAGAGAGAGAGACGTTATAATTTGAGTAGCAATTTTGTGGAGTTTTTATCTACTTGAGAATTTTTTAGGTGATTGAAAAATATCATTTGACTTTGTATAATTCAAGTCATACATCAAAATAACTTGATTGACCCGCGTGAAAACATCCACGGTTGTAAAGGGATATAAATGGTGGAATGAATAATGATATAAAATATTGCTATATTGTCTCAACCCTTGTGATAACATGTTTTTTACTGTTTCAGCTGATTATGGACTTGATCGACCTCGTCATAGACATAGAACCAAAGGTACACCGAAATTACTTCATCATGAGGTCCTTCAATAAAATATAAAATTAATTTGGTAACAGATTCGTGTTGAGGTTAGAAATCATTGTTATGGTTATGCATTTCTCTATGTTTTGTTGATTGTTGAAGAATATATAATTAAATAAATATTCAAAATCTTCAACATCTTTCTATCAGCAGACACGTTTCATTATCTCCTGATGATGGTAACCTGGCTTTCGAAACGTGTTCTTGTTCAGGTGTGGAAAAGGTGTTTTCATTAGATTAATTTCACGCCAGAGATTTAAATCATATCTACCAAGCAAGAAAAGTACTAATCATTTAAATATATTTTTATTAAAACTTAGCCTAAATAACGTTCATCCATGCTGTAACTACATAAAAATTTTCTTCATCAGTAAATACATATGCTGGTCCACTTCGAAGCTGTGCAGATTATTGGCATCCCCTTGTAGCCTCATGAGAAGACCCCCGAAAGATACGTAGGCAGCTCTGAAACAAAAAACAATAATCAGATGTATGTTCATAGCAGAGAAATATGACTGCTGAAAATAACAGTTGGTTCTATTTCAGCACCTCGACAATGACTATCACTGAAAATTGTCAAGATTCTTGAAATAAGACAAAAATTTATACATACATAATGAATTGTGCCATGATGACATTTCAGAGGAATACTACAGAACTATGCAAGCTGAAAAATATACAAATTGAAGAAATAATGAACAAATATTAAAAATGCAATTCACTATTCTTTAAATTTGTACAGCTAACATCAATTAAATGGGCAACTTCATCCCTCCCCCACCTCTTTCGCGAAGAACTGCACCCTCATTGACAACGACCAGCAGCTCCTATGGACAACAACCATCGACAACTACCCCTTTGATTCTTGAACCCGCTTTGTGTATCTACTGAAGAGTTCGTAGGCTAACATACAGATGGCGATACTAATACTGAATCCATATGATTTTTAGTTAACTTTAACCTTCAAAAAACATCTGTGCATATTTCATCAACAGAATGCTCTCTAGAAAGAAATTCGGTGCCGGAGAAGAGGTAATTGTCGGATCTGAGGCCTATTTTAAGGCAAAAGACAAATCTTACTATAACAATGGTAATGATCAAAGGCAACTATGTTGAAATATACCAAAAACATTTTTTTCCCTATGTTAACCTTCGAACTGTTGAGTGACAACTTATATGATTTCTCGGTTCTTTTGAAAGCCGAGAAAAACCATTTTAAATTTTGTGGCCGCACTCTTCATGCTTTCTAACAAAAAAAACCGGCGATTTTCAAAATTGCTTGTTTACTTCAGATATGAGGCAACCCGAAAGGCAAAATTATCGAAACTGAGGAGTCCGAAATATATGAAATAAGTTATGAGGGCTGCGATAAAAACCATGTTGGTCAAACCGAACGAGTTATTGAAATTAGTTTCAAAGAACACGACTTTAGGAACAGAACAGTGTGGTGTTATTCAATTCAACTACTGATGTAGAATATATTAGACTTCAATCTGAAGTGAATCAGTGGGATTTATTCTACGCCAGAGATTATATTTCTAAGTTTCTGTCACGAAAATGTTGTTTGTACCATTTATGTGGTAGTAAGCATCTATCTACCGTTCTTCTTATAAAAAACCAATTGCCAAACACGAAAATGAATTGAAAGGGTTATATTTTTAGGAGTGATTAATTTTTGAGAAAGAAAGTTTTTGGCTTTCTACTACTCCATCTGATACAAAAGAAAATGGATGAGAGAATCTTCCTGAATCTTCCTTTCTTTGGAAGATTTTCTCATCCATTTTTTTTTGTATCAGATGGAGTAGTAGAAAGCCAAAAACTTTCTTTCACGAAAATGAACTGGCAATATTGGCCTTGAAGTACGGTCCGTGTTTCACAAACACAAAAAAAACCTCTATTGATAACACAACATTCATCAAGTGAGAAGTTCGCCGCGCAACTAAATTTCCAACAAATTTCGATCAAGCAACTTCAATTACAGGTTATATTTTCCACACTCAAATTAACAAGGAGTTCTGAAACACTTTCTCGGTGTATGTCGTGTAGTTTCAACGATATCCACGAAGGAAGTATGGATAGTGGTCGTGGTTCAAATATCACAACCAGCTAACCACACTGCCACCGTGTACACCGTTACTTGCAGCGCCACCTAGCATTACTCCGCAGGTCTCGTCTCTGGGCGTCTTGCCGGCCGTAGTCTACCCAACTCTAAAAACAAGAAACCGGTCATAAGTACCGCCTCTTGATTGCACACAAAATTTGTACCGTTTAGAACCTTCTGTTGCATTCTATTACTTTTGCTAATGTGATAACTGTATACTCTAGTTCAGTAGATAGGAAAGTATAGGTTTTCCCAACAGGTATTTGCACAAGGTGAGTTCGCGAAATTTTGTCCAAGAGAGTTTAGAGTAGAAGATGAGCCCAAAAGTGATCAAGCTACAGTAATCCGGAACAAGGATTTGGGGCCCTGGTGGAGTTTGACCCATCACAACTGGTGCGTGGGATGGTGGAAGAACTGGACGTCCGTTCCCATGCGGTTTTTGATGGTTTAAAACCCATTGGAAGGGTCAAAATGCTCGAAATGCGCCACACGATTTGAATGATCGACAGGAATTTTTACGTTTCAAAATTTGTTCTTCTTTGGTTCTGCGCAACCCTTTTTTGGATTGGATTGTCACGTATGATGAAAACTGGATCCTCCACAACAACAGGAGACATTTAGGTTAGTGGTCGGACACCGTTGAACTACCCAGGCACTTCCCAAAGGCGAAAACCCACCAAAAAAGCACCATGGTTACTGTATGGATTAGATTATTGGTTTGTTCCGGTTTGGACGGTTTTGAACTGTTTGGAAACTGCGCAAGACATGATGCGTACAAACAAAAAATCTCAAAGTCAGAAATAGTCTCGGACACTTAGTTAAACCAGAACGCATTTTGAAGAAATCACTGTGCCTCCTTTCGTATATGTGAAGACATTGAGACGAGAAAATACTGTTGATCATGTCCATTTTGTTACGTAGCGTATCCTTGTAGACAGTTCAAGAACGATTTGGGACGGTTCAAGACAGTTTAGGATCATTTCGCAGTCGAAACCAGAACAGAGGATTCATCAAGCTCACAATATTTGAAGTTGATATGTGGAGTGCCACAGGGCTCTATTTTGGGACCCCTTTTGTTTGCTATCTACACATCTCAACTTGCAAAATGTTTAAAATTTTGTAATATACATTTGTATGCAGACGATACCCAGTTGTATTATATCTTCTCACCTGAAATGATAGATAATGCGTGTACTCAAATCAATAGTGACTTAAAATTATTTGTGAAAGATGCTTCTGATCACTGCTCAAATATAAATTGTAGTAAATCCAATGTTATTGTTTTCGGACCAAATGGCCCTAGAAATGATATTTGCAAATCTGTGAAAGTAGTAGTAAATGATCATGTACTTGGGGTTGTCCCAGAAGCCAAAAGCCTGGGCATCATTTTAGATAAGGACTTGACATTCGAAAGCCAGGTTAATCAGTTTATTCGGTGTGCATATTATTCGCTCAAAATTATATATGGACACCGAAATTTCCTACCCATGAAGGTGAAGGCGAATTTGTGCGAATCATTAGTTTTATCTATATTCAATTACGCTGATGTTTTGTATGGTCCATGTTTAACCAACCAATTCAAGAAAAAGATACAAAAAGTTCAGAATTCCTGCCTACGGTTAATTTTTGGTATAAGAAGAAGAGAAAGAATATCACATAAACTGAAGACTACCGGCTGGTTAAATATGAACGACAGGAGAGTGTTACATGCTGCAACTTTGTTTCACAAAATAACTAATAGTAAAGTGCCGTCTTACTTACACCAGAAAATCACTTTTAGAACTGATGTGCATAATATTAATGTAAGGTATAAAGGCCGACTAACTCCGCCATCCTTTCGCACAGAGTTCTTTAGAAGGAGTTTCAGCAACCAGATCTGTGCAATTTATAATGACATTCCCGAGCCCATGAAACGAGATGACTTCAATCATTTTAATATCAATTTCAAACGATTCTTATTATCTTCAAACTATTAATGACCCAATAGCTACCTACCTATTACAAATTTATAAATAGTCATAATATTTTAAGATATTTAAAAATACTTTTTGTTTATTCCTTTGCGTACTAGGCGACATTTTTGAGGTTAAGTGGAAGAGCAATTGAATGATGACTTGTCATCATGTAAATTGAACTTCGCCTTTTGTCTTCTTATGATAAATGAACTGTACATGATTAATTTGATTTGAATGTATTAGAAGATAATAAAGACGGTATTATTATTATTATTAGTAAACCAGAACGCTCTATATCAACTGCGCAGGAACCTGACGTCATAGAACCCGAATTTCGTAGAACCAGAACGAACCTTATATTGTCGGGGAGCTAGCCCTTGGCCTGGTTTCTGATCTATTGTGATGCTCCTTGGTTGTTAGAGCTCATTGTCTAGCTTGGTCTCTTTGATATTTCTCTTCTTGACAGTTAGTAGACCCACAACTACCCTTACAATCTTACGGTTGTGGTTTAGCAAGTCTTCCGTGAATCTGGGCGATGGTTTCTTTATGAACTCCTTCGTCTGCCTCATTCCTGGGAGCTCATTCCACCAATCTATCGATTCGGCTGGCATTCATGAATTTATGGATGTCTTTCTACATGCTTTCGCTACTTCTCAGAAGGGTTCAGGGCCCTGGAGCTAGAACATCGGTCTTCTCATTGCCCTTGTGACCCTATTTGGGTACTTGCTCCTCGAGTGGGTTCAGAAAGCTTGCCACCAGTCTTGAAATGAGCTGAGCGACTTAATTGCCGCCTGGCTGTCGGAGAAAATGGCAACGGTTTTTTTTGTGACCTTCTGCCTGTTTATTTCTCCCATACAGTGTTCGACGGCCGCTACTTTTGCCTGGAACACAGGTTACTGTATGGAGGTCATTACAACATTCTGCGACAAAGCCTGTCCGCCCGTTTCTCAAAACACCGTTCGAAAATTGACCAAACTGAACGTAGAAGTTCTGCTTCACCCACCATATTCCCCAGATCTCTCGCTAACAGACTACTATGCCTTCAAGCATTTCGATAAACTTCTCACCGGTAGAACCTTCGCCAATCAGGACCAGGTGAAAACGGCCTTCGTCAACTGCATCGAATCCCGAGTGCACAATTTTTCTGCTGACGAAATTATTCGACTTGTGTTACGTTAGCGAAGGTGCACTGATTCAAATGACGCTTATTTCGATTGAAGTGAATAAGAATTCGTTGGAATATTACAGTTCAAAGTAGACTCAAATTCGTTTCTGTAAATGGGTATCTCGTAAACGATAAGAGATGGAGTGTCGGTTGAATTGTGACGAAGTTGCGTATTTTGTGGAATTGGCCGCGGTGGTAGTGCGCCCGACTTACGATCGGAAGGCCGTGGGTTCGATTCCCGCCTCGACCAGTTATTTTTCTCGAGAGAATTTATTTGATTGAAGCTGGGATGATTCTGCAACCGCCTTAGGAATCACACGTTAAAAGGTAAGACCTCGTTAGTCCTTAGCTCGCGCAAGTTTCCCAACTTCTGAGAGTTGTCGTTCGTAAGGGGGTGACAGCTGATTAACGAAATTGATAACAAGTTTTTTGAGTAAACGTAACATTCGTGTCACTATTGGTAACCATATGTCATCGTGTAATGATTATTCTGAAGTAGGTGTTCCTCAGGGTTCGGTCCTAGGACCTACCTTATTTATACTTTATATCAACTTTATTGTGAAGATATGTGATAGCTCAATCATTGTTTTCGCTGATGATACATCAGTTATTGTATCAGATTGGGATGAATATTGTATACGTCAGAAATGTAAAAAAATTCCTTTGATATGGCTCAGTGGTTTAGAGCCAACTCACTTCATCTAAATACAAATAAAACAAAATGTACACGCTTTCACAATAGACAAAAAGAAGCTAGTGTAGTTGATTTCGGAGACTTACAGTCAGTTGATAAGACCGTCCGATTTCTTGGATTATTTATATAGACGAACATATTTCCTGGGGAGAACACTGTAAAATCTCAATCAATAAATTGAATTCTGTTTCTTATCAATTACGTAATTTGAGGTCTGGAGAATAAAGAATTATTATTATTATGAATCTTTTTTACAGGGTGTCATCTGACTTGGGCCACCCCCTCTTTGAATTTTTAAATGCGGACCTGTATTTTTTGTTGTAGTTTTTGGATCGTAGACGTTCACTTCATCCTGAGAAATTAAATTCAATTTTATCTTTCGGTATGTTTCTGTAATATTCGATTATAATTGTGTGAATTATTCCCTTTTAAATTACGGCCCTGGAAATTGATTGACTGAGTTGAATAAAAACACAATAGCAACTTTCACGTCTCCCTATGTATCGTAGACTTTTTCGAGAGTTTTTTTCCATTTTTAGGTACCAATTCATATTTTTTTCATTGCTCTGAGCCTTTTCTAAAATGAACTTCGAATAAGAAAACCTTTTATGATTGATTATCTGAAACATATCTACATCAAAAATATATTATATGTGTTTTAATAAGCAGAAAAAGAAATGATATCAATAATAACATTCGAAACGAACACTATAATTGTAATAAAAATTGAAATGAAGTAATTTATATACGCAAAAAAAATTAATGGCGCAATAAATGTTCGAATTGGAGTCCTTCCATTTCGAACTCGATTTTTCATATTATTTATTGCCTTTAATACACTTATTTGCTGCATTTTTCCTCATTTTCTATCTCTCTGCCAGCGTAAAGCCTCTTTTTCAATGTCCGCCACAGAAAATAGTCCAAAATAGTAAGATCTGGTGATTCTGCAGGCCATCTCATTGGCCCATTATTTGGCTCGAAATGGAAGAACTCCAATTCGAACATTTATTGCGCCAATAATTTTTTTGCGTATATAAATTACTTCATCCCAATTTTCATTACAATTATAGTGTTCGGTTCGGATGTTATCATTGTTATCATTTCTTTTTCTGCTTATTAAAACACATATAATATATTTTTGATGTAGATATGTTTCAGATAATCATAAAAGGTTTTCTTATTCGAAATAATAAAATCCACAGAATGGTTATGCTACATTACGTTATCAGTTTTACACATAACCGGTTGGTCTGTTCTTAAAATTTGTAAACTTTTAGAAAGTAGGTACTGGTGAACCTTAGCAATTGTTGAGCAATGTACATTAATCACCACTTATTTGCAACGTTAATTCACCCGTAGGTAGCACTAAGTAGATATTTCTAACCTTTTTGGTTTTGAAAGAGTTTTTTCTCATTTCGTGGTAACCTCATGAGTAAAAAAATAAAGGGTATGGTCAGAATCCATTTTTACGAGCTTTTCAATAAGCCCATACACGACATAGGTTTGCATTTGAAAAAAAAAGTTGGGGAGGGTTGCAGCTAAGGGGTTGAAAAAAAAATTCATTTTATTGCCAAAAAATGCGTACAACGTGAAATCAACTGACGTGTTTCAGCGTTTTTTCCTAAAATACTGGTTAAAAATATATTAATTTTATTCCGGACTTTTGCTCACCCCTGTATAGTACTTTTCCTTATGTTAGAACCTCAAAAAACTTATGTAAAAAAAAGCGCATTGAGGAAAAAATAAAACAAAATAAAAATGAAATATTTTACTTATTTGTTAACAGTGTAAAGAAATAATACTAACTTACTGCATAAATAAAACCAATCCATTCTTGAAACAATGATATACAAACGGTTCATATTTCCTGTTTTTTCATTAATTCAATGTAAAACAAAATTCAATCAAGAGGAACATAGAATCTCAATACAGATAAATAAGTATTCATAATACATACACAGTGGAAATGTTTCAATTTTTGCAACATGTGGGATGCTAAAACAAAAAAGCTTGTAAATTGAAAGTGGAATATTTTAGAAGAGATCAGTTTCACAGGGAGACAACCTACTTGGTGTCGGTGAGGTGTAAAGGCCAGCGTCCCGAAACGTCGAAGTACACCATATCTGTTTCTATCCCATTATTATATCGGATTATCCAGCTTTTGTTGACCAAATTATCATGCGACTACAAGCTATCAGAAATTACGCAAGTTGAATGCATACAAGGTCTATTAAAAAAAATGCGGTGAATTTTTATTTTTCTAGAAAAATATTCTATTTTGTTCCCTTCAAAGTTGATAAGTATTTGATCTCTCTCAGCGATTCAGTTTTTGTCTCCTCAATCGTAGCGAAACGCCGTCCTTTCATGGGTGTCTCCAATCTTGGAAGCAGAAAAAAAGTCGCAGGGAGGCAAATCTAACGAATATGGTGGCTGAGGTGTAATTACGGTGTCCCAATGGAAGAGCCCAGACCAAAAAAAGCACGACAAGTTGAATCAAATGTCAAGGGTTTACTCAGTATTTTCCTTGATTAGCTTGGCGTAATCAAGAGTTGCTGCCAAATGGGTGGTATGCTCAACAAGAAGTATTATCTTATCGTTATTACTCGTTCGTAATTTTTTTACCAAAAACAACAGTTCAATCATGCCTCAGCCACCGTATTCACCAGATTTGACCCCTGCGACATTTTCCCGTTTCTCAAGACTGAAGATTTGCGACGATTTGCGAGGAGATAAAAAGAGCTGGGATAGGTGACGGTTTTGTTAAATTTTGTTGATATGAAAAAGTCAGTGTTCACCAGGTCCTTGTACACTCAAACTCAAGAAATAATAATAATAATAACAATACCGCCGATTTTCGAAATTTCTTTTTGGAAGAAATTCTAAAAACGACGGTCTTCAAACCCGAAAAATAATGACACTGAAAACCTCGGCCGCGAAGGCCTCAATCATTTTGTCAAAAATAATAATAATAATAACTCGTGCATTCCCGCAGCGTGCACGCGGCCGACTGTCGTACCAGATAGTGCATTTACAGAATTCTTACGACTTTCAGGCTGTGTAAACGCGCTTCTGGCACGACGTCTGCCACGAATAAATGCTCACAGACCGTCTACGACATCGAATTCAGCCTGCGCAGTATCGTGCAACGTCTAAACCAGCCACATCCCCATCGAAAGCAACCTAAAAACCACAACCGATCATTTTTACACGCCGTGTTGGATTAACCAGATCGAATTCGACACTAGCGAAGAAACACCAGAACAAAAATACGGTCTCTCGACACGGGTTTCGCTAATCAAGTTAGCGTCCTCAGAAGATCATTATAACTTCGACAGTCGAGCAAATCGCGACAGTTACGAGGAAGATGGAAGAGGAATTCGGACCCATTGCCCCTTAACGGTGAAGGACAGGTCATTGCAAAGCTCCCTTATTCGATATTACATGTGAGCTGTTATGTACAGTCGACATTCATATATATTTTTCGTGAGCTCTTATTCATTGCCAATCTATTTATAGATTCTGACCAATAACAAAGACGGGTGTGTATCACTGCAAGTTATCACATGATGAGATACTGAAGTAGTGTTTTCTATAATAATTTAGTGTTCCCACTCTTGTTTCTGAGCGAGTTCCACCAGAAGCACATTGTGCTTTCTAAGAGCTGATAAAAATGACACTTGTATCTATGTATTTGCAACTTATAGCATATTGATCTATTGAGAGCTAATGCTGATGCTGACCTTAAAAATATGGACCGTTTCTAGCCAGGTATACTTTCATGTCTTGTAGTTATCAGAGAAGAAATAGTTTTATACCAAGAAATTTGCAATTCTTCTTTGAGGGTTATTCTGCTTAGACAGGGCTTTTCATGATGAGCGTTAATTAACCCTTTTCTGGCAAACTATTCAACGGATCAACCTGAAAATTCCACAGTATGCATAAGTCAATATGACCTACACGCCTAAAATATTTTAGACGAAGCGGCGTTGTCGCTTCTACTATAAAGTAGCGGCTTCTTTGATTTTTCAAATGGAACACCCCGTATATAATATCATATTATGATTCATTATCACTTTGTCAACAAATTCATATACTATTTCCCTATACCTATCTATTACCGTTTAGAAGATATAAATTAATTTCGATATTTTTTTTACCAAACATGAACTTTTATAAATGCTGATAATCTTGAACTCTCTTGCACTAAAACGATCAAATTTGAAATGGAGTGGAGTGATACTATGAGGATCTTCACTCCGAGTCATATTTTCATTTGCCTCATACAGGGTCTTCAAAAAATGCAGATACTTTGATCTCATGAAAAAATGAGTGGAACTCAATTTTTTTCAAATGGAACACCCTGTATATTTCAACATTTTTGAGCTCTACATCCAATTTCAGATTAACTTTGGTCAGATAATCATATGACGGTATTTGGAATTTTAAAGGAACACCTCTTATACCCTTACCATCTCCAACGAGTACAGGCACTGTGACCGCGAGACTTGCCGAACCGTCTTGAATTTTGCAATTGGATGCTGGAAATGATTAGAAGAAATTGTGACTTTCTGAAGACAATAGAATTCGCAGACGAATGTAGTTTTTCTCGGGACAAGATTATTAATTTTTATAATTATCACATATGGGCTGATGAAAACCCTCACGCTATTGTCGAAACTAACCATCAAGAACAGCTTTCTCTTAACGTGTGGCTCTGAGTTATCGGGGATTATTTAATTGGGCCTCATTTTCTACCTCCTCTATTGAAAGGTGAGGCATACGTTCAATTTTTAAGAGGAGTGCATCCAGTATTGCTGGAGGAAGTTCCTTTGGGCGTCAGAATGGATATGTTTTTTATGCATGATGGGGCTCCCGCCCATTTTAGTCAAGTAGCACGTCAGCATTTAACTCAAACATATGCAAATCAGTGGATATATCGAGGAGGACCACAGAACTGGCCCGCTCGATCCCCGGAACTCAATCCTGTCGATTTCTCTATTCGGGGCCATTTACAGCATTTGGTTTATCGTACTCCTATTCGCGATGTAGAGAACTTGAGAAACCGCATCACCGATGCGTGCAGGGTAATCAGAGAGACTCCAGGAATATTTGAGCGAAATACGTGGCTCAATGCGCCGATGTCTAGACGCATGCGTAATGTCTGAAGGTAGACATATTGAATATTTACTATGATTTCTACATGTTGTGTGTTTTGTTATTAATAAATTAGTTTTGTTAATTACCCTTTAATCGTTTAATGCAGGTACTAACTACAAAATAACAATAAATTCAGTTCGAATTTATGACGATGTATCTCTGTAGTTGTTCGTAAAATAATTTTTTGCTGCGAACTGGTTTATTTTGGACAAAAAACCCAAGATACATTTTTTGTTTAGAATGAAACAGGCTATTGGAAATAAATTTTAGGTGTTGCGTTTTCCACCCCTTACAACCATGGGGTAAACCAAATAAATAACTGGCTAAGTGTCTTTTTGGTAGTACAAAACGTCAGGTTGATTTCAATATTGTAACTTTTTTAGTGCTTGTGAAGCAAATTGTTATACAAATTTTATGTACCCCCTTCAAGAGGCTGTATCTTAACAAGGGATGCTCCAATGAAGTTTCTTTATATGAAAGATCCTATCTTTTTTTCGATGAGGACTCACCTCCTTAAATGTTTTACACTTATTCAGTTACACCATGCATAGGATTTGTATACGCACAAGCAGGTCATAGATTCGATTCTGTTTTGATTTGCGGGATGTTCACAAAGTTTAGAAAGTTGTCCTACGTTCGCCAACTTCCTGGATATCGTATCAATGAGAGCCTTAACCGATGACTGAACTATCCATGGAAACGGTTTTGTTTAACCCTTTCCTCCTCTATTATTGCTTCTTCTGACTGAAATTTCATGCTACCCTTTGGTATCATTTAAGGATTTAGTAATACACAGTTAGATGTTTCAACTGGGAAATACTTCGAATTTGATTAGTTTTTAGGCCGTCTTGTACTTTTTTACTTAGCGAGAGACCGGACAAGCAATGAGACTTTTTGTAGTAGTTCGCCGACCTGCCGAATTCGATCTGTTTACCTGAATAATGCACCCATGCCATCAAAATGAAAAACATGCTAGTTCTACCATACAAATAAAAAACCCAAGCTAGCACAATATACCAAAGTTACCTGGGACCAATTAAAACACGAGAGAGCAAAGCCATGCTTTTAGCAAAACAGAAATGTCAATCACAGTGAGTTAGGTTTTTCGAATGCTGAACCTAAACAGTTGGAGTTCACTATCAATAAGGTAACGTGATTTTATGGTCTCCATTTTTGTTTTATCAAATGTACTTCACTTTCAATCTCAGAAGCAAAGTGTGTATAATCTCTAATCCAAACTCAACCCAAATTAGTCACACCAAAAACCCACTCGAAGCTAAAATTATCGCATTTCAAAATCGAAACTCCAACAATTTTGAAACACTTCCAAAAGAGACAAGAAAACAAAAAACTGGGTCACACCAAAATCACTCGGTTTTAATATTTTAGTCGTCACTCCGTCAATTAGTATTTTAACAAACAGAAAAGCACCGAAACACCCCATGCCAATTTTTTTCAACACCAGACCGGGTTCACTGCCGTGCTAGCTGAATCAAAGTGGCTGCGACATGTCGAAACAGCTGAGCGTTTCGCTATCAGCTAGTTGGTCCAGGAGGCTGGGACTGCGCCGCTCAAAATAAAACACGCCCGTCAGAGAATTCGAATACAGGAATAGCGCGGTCTTTGATACAGGACGGAATGTAGTTGCTAGATAGTCGGGAAGGGGAAAGTTGACAACTATTATGAGATAAGTTCAGACAACTGAACAATATTTCAATCAACAATTGAGAATCGAAGCGCTGTTGTTAATTGATTTTTTTGTATATTCAGATGCGTATACCAATAAACTATGATACGGCTCTGAGTTTTTCTATATAAAGTGCATTTGAGGCAATGACTATACTTTTATACAGGCCGTTTCTTATAGCGGATCCCACTCGGAAACTGTAAGACCTACGAGTTTGGTTAAATTGAACAAAAGTTTCCTATTTTGGGGAACTAAAATAATCTCCTTTCACATCAAGAATATCAGTGATTGTTTTTGAAAAATTCGCCAAAAACTGGAATTGTCGATTTTCGTTTTTCGTCCATTTCGAATGATGTATAAAGTGGCAGAGGAGTTTTCAATACTGTTGCATATTTGCTATAATCAGATATGAACCAATTTACAATGAGATTTTTCCTTCATTACATTTCATCACCATCGATTTTTATAGCCACTATAATAACAAGTTCAGCTATTTATGACAATACGCCCGTATTTGAAAAAATAAGTTGATGATGAAATTTAGTCAAAGAAGCATCGCATTGCGAATTGATTTTTAGCAGATTATAACAAATATGAAACAGTATTGAAAGTTTCTCTGCCTTTTTTTTATATCGTTATATCAAACGCACTATTTGTTTTCTTCCGTTTGAGTAATATTGGAGAAGGTCGAGTGATTTCCCCCTGTATTTTCAAGGACCTCCAACATGTGTGTATGATCCACTGTATCGAAGGCCTTTGCTAAATCTAAAAACACACAGTGTTGGTTTACTTTAATCTAATAATTTATAAATTGTTCCAGTTAGTGCAGAAATATCATCATCAGTAGATAGGTAGATCTTCGCGAAACCAAATTGCGATTTTGAGATTGTATTATATTTGGTTAGGTAGCTGGATAATCTTGTTTTGATGGATTTTTCAAAACATTTTGCAAACGTGGTAATCAGTGAGATGGGTCTGTAATTTGATATTGTTTTTTGGTCCTTTTTTATTTGAAGGTATTATTACTGCATCTAGGTATACATTCATTTATGGCTTCTTGGTTTGATAAACTTGGTAATATATTTTCATAGGTTATTCTCGAATTTGAGAACTAAACAATTAATTTGTATCATCCGACAAGAAAACTGTCGACTTCCTCAGTCGCCTACATTCCGGCCTGTATCGCAGACCGCCCCGTTATGCAAAACTCGGTCCCTACCACCGTGTACAATGCCAAAAGGTGTATTTAGCGTTCGCGTGTGCTGGTGCATTCTGCACTTTTTGCCAGCGCTATCACGGGTTTCGATGCAGTTACAGAATAGCAACGGGCGTTTAATTATAGAACGTTATTTGGATCAGTCGAGCAGTGTTGAATAATCGAACAAAGGTTCGCTTTTACATGAAGGTCGAACGAATGGGATAACGAGAAATATTTATGTTGTATGCGGGTAGCGTCAAAAACAGTTAATATACGAATTTCAACATGGAATTATTGAATAGCCTGTTTCCAATGGAAACATTTTGGAATGAGCGAATGCGACGTTTTCAACAGGTTGTTTTGATAGACTCCCCAAGGGATTTAAATGAAAAACAATAATAAATCGACTTCGAAGAAAAAAATTAACTCAAAAGTATTAAATTATCAATCAATACAATGAAACAAAGTCGCGCTTCCCGCTGTCTGTCCCTATGTATGTGTAGATCTTGAAAACAACGCAAAGGATTTTGATGCGGGTTTTTTTAATAGAGGAAGATTTATAGTCCGGTCAAATTAGACAAAAAAATAAGAGTAGAGCTACCTGAATTCCCACCAAATTGAAAATCGGTAAGATTGTTCAGAATATAATTAAAATTTAAGGAAAAACCCACAAAAACCATTTTTAATCTAGTTAGTTTTGAAAATGGTATAACGACCAAAACTAGTCAACAAATATAAAACTATCGTGGAAAATAGAAAAAAGTATGTTTTTATAGCGTATCCTCAGTAATTCAGATGAATATTTTCGAAGATATTACAGATTTAAAGTGCAGGGACATAGCGGTTGCAGCGGTACCGGCCGGGGGGCCGACGGCGCGTTCCTATAAGTAGCACGTCGATGGCCACGCTTCGCCCAATAGTATTTTATGATTAGCACCGACCGCACGCGTGTATATGTATATTTAGTGTCAGCATTGCACCCATGCGGAGCCGGGGCGGAGTCGCTAGTATTTTTATAAAACAGTTGGGCTGAAAATTTCGTAAACTCTATAGTTTTCTTCGAGGGCGACACAACTATTATAGCGGTCATATAATTTTTCGATACCATTTTTATAGTACGACTAGTTGTTGCCCTCGTAAAAATTGGTTTGTCACATTAACTTTCGTGGAAGACCAATTTAAACTCAAACAAATAGTTCTAAGGCAAAACGTTCCAATGTTCCATCTCTTCATTTATAAAATTTTATACAAAATCATCATGAGCCGTAAAACAAGATGCACCTTGTGGTTCCTGCTCGAAACTTTATGTTGGTCAAACGGAAAGAAGCCTCTCAAAAAGCATAAAGGAACATAGGAGTAATTTCTTAAAGGCGAAGGCCAATTACACGTATATTTGAAGAGTCGGTGAAAATGCCCTTTTATAATGTTTAAAATTTCAATGAGTTCATACTTAAATTCAAATAAAGCTTTTGAGTAAGAACATCACAAAGAAGTTTAACTTGAATATGATGTAGGTGACAGAAAAATTCGACAATTCCTTGCAGGAATGGCCGTATATCAATCACGTAATCTCATCACAACCTTCAAAACCCTTTCGCGCAAACGCAAAAGCAATCAGCTGTTTCAATATCGACCGCCTCAAACCCAAACGAAGTAAAAAGCATGCCAAAAAAACACACAAAAACAACAATAAAATAAACGCCACCACTCAAACATCTCTACCTAAGCCATTATTTGTCACAAAGTGGGATATAAATTGAAGAAATGTGTCATCCTGCTCCCTCGCAGGAAATTTTGAACGAGCAACGAGAGCAGAATTAGCAGGAATTACATAAGACGACGCTAGCGCGCAACTGCGGGACAACCTGCAACGATGGCTGACGCAGGTTGCAGGAACATGCAGCAGGAAACGTTTGATGCAGCGGCGTTATTTATAGACGCGACTGATAGATGGCGGAAGCGTCCAATCTCGCGAATTTATTGTGAAGATTTTCAGGAAACGGGCGATTCCAGAGCGATGGAATGGAAAAATTATCAATGTCTGTCCAAAAAATAAGTTGAATTTTCATTTTTCACAAAAAATATTTAGTTATTCATCAATTCCTATTTTGTTTCCTTCAGAGTAGCCCTCCTCCTTGTGGCAGCGTTGATTACAATCATATGAACAGTTCTGATATGCACTTTTTAGTATGTTTTTTTAAACTGTCTCAGCGATTTGATTTTTATCTCTTCAATCATCGTAAAACGCGTCCCTTCATGGGTCACTTCATTTTTGGAAAAGAAAAAGAAAAAGTCGCAAGGGACCAAATCTGGTGAATATGGTGGCTGAAGTAATGAGGTGCATATCGTTATGCAAAAGCCATGTATTGTTTTTCCACAATACACGACGGGTGAACCTATGAAGAAGCCAGCCACTAGTGCTGGCGAAACTATAGGATGCAGTTCCAAACTACGAAGGCCTTCAAACCCAAATTAAGATAGTAGCCAGGGGAGTAGTTGTTTTCTGATAGGTGAAGGAATTCTGAAGGCATTGTTCTTTTGGATTATTTGATTTATAGCCAGTCTTGAAGTATGCCCACTGACTATATGTGAGACAATTTATCAATACTAATCATGTGTAAACTCATGTGTATTTGAATGGATTTGAAAAAAGTTTTTCCTAATTAAATTAGTAGGTTATGTCTAAACTCAAATGAAATTATTAGCATCGTGCAGAAAATGACACGATTTAAATTGTTAAATGATAGTTTTTATCGACTTTTCTTTGGGTATTTTTTTACTGTTACTATCAGACAAATATGAAAATTGTAGTGGGAAACTGTATGTACGTGTGGAAAGGGCAAACTTTTCAGTTTACCCCGATAAGTACCTGTGTAAAATCGAAGTATTTTTCATAAAAAACAAAATCACAAACACACGGGGTTCTAGAATAAACTCCCCAGAAAAGTATGCAGGAAATATCTCTACAAATACTTATTATTATTCTCTGTCGTATATCCAATATTGAAGCAGGTTTAGTTTCGTACACCTTTTGCTTCAAATAGCCCAATAAAAAAAGTCCAAAGGTTTCAAATCTGGCGAGCGGGCTGGCCATTCTGTAGAACCTCGACGGTTCTACAGAACCTATCAGAACACATTTTAAAATCAGACGGTGAACATCGGGTGGAATGGAATAGGACAAGAAAGATTACCAATGAGCCTCATTCTAAGAGACGTAAGCTAAAAGAATCAGCGTATATTCTCATGTCTGGAGAGAACTAACTGTATCTCGAATATCTCCTTAGAAATAGACCGTACTTGGCTACCCATCTTGAAGAAAACTTTGGATAGTGGCGAAATGGCAACAAACTGATATCGGAGAGTACCTTGTATAACATCGAATATTTCAGTTGTCAATCAACAACATTGACATAATTTCATATTTCAAAACTTCTTTGACATCTGTCGAAGAAGTAAAGAAATAAGCTCTCAAAAAAGGAATAACTGCGTATATATTCGAATTTTTATCCATTTCTGAAGACGGAGGCAGATTTTGGCCTCCGAAACGTAAAAGATAAGTATTACTTCTTAATAATTTTTTTGATAGGCAAAATTGTTAAATACAAGTTACTGATAAATAGAAGATTTTTCATTGTGAAAAATACTTTGATTTTTACGCAATAACTTATCGGGGTAAACTAAAAAGTTTGCCCACTTCTACACTTGTATAAAGTTCCCCATTATAATTTTTATATTTTTTCAGATTGTGGAAGGTAACACAATTACCCAAAAAAAAGGTCGATAAAAAAACCTAATTGTTCCTCCGCTAATAACCCTTCGCGGTTGATGCAGTTATTTTTGAAATAAAAACAAATTGATCAATAAATAGAGGGCCTACAATATGGTTTCCCAATATTCCTGCCCAAACATTAATTTTTTCTGGATATTGGGTATGTGTTTCCCCGAAAACGTGAGGGTTGGTGCCAACCCTCAAAAAAAAACTTAAGAAACTTTATCGAGTTGTTGGAATTGCCATATGGCAGATAAAAAGGAATATTTCTAGAAATATTGATGTTAACGTGTTTGTCTTCAGGAAATTATTAAATGTTCCGCCATTTTGTAGTAGGTGAAGATATTGACTTCATATTCTAGGATTGCGAAGCATTCGTCAGGACCCCCCTTTCTCAGATGGCGCCCAGTCGCTATATTGAAAGTTTCATCTGTCAATTTCACTTCAAAATAAAGTATTCATGCGTTAATGTCATTATTCCAAATTTCAATTTTTTGGGTTGAGCCGTTCAAAAAACAAAGGGGGGGGCATTAAAGAAATGTACTGTATAAGACTGTTATGTAGACGCTAACCCTAACGGTAATTCCGCCACTTGAAATTCAAAATGAACACACTGTATATTTGAGATAAAAACCGTGAAAAATCCTAAGAGTGATTCGTATGACGTCATAATTCATGTTTATTGCAAGTTTCCCATAGTCGAGCCGGCGTGTCTGCGTAAATAGAATGCAAATGAAGTAATGAGGCATGCAAAGCATTATTGTTCATGCACGTTAGACTGCAAACATGGAACGATAAAAGTTTATTCAACGTGACGCGTTCAAATTACAACTTGTTCAACAATGCGAACTCGAGAAGCAAGACATTTCCATCGAGACGCATTCTCAATAATTGGAAACCACTGCCGTCACTTTTTCGAGGTGACGTACTAAAATCACCGAAATTATGTATTTTTTCTGACTGATTCGACCGTTACTTAATGAATATCCATAGTAACTTCAAAAACTATACGTTACGAATTGATCTTCACAAACTTTAGTTTCAGAAATAAATCACGACATGTTTCGCTATCACAGTAGCTTTTGCAGAGTGATTCACATAGTTTTTCCTCTTCGGTATCGGCGATTCTTTCTCAAATTCCTGAAAAACCTCTTCAAACTTTTTGTCGATTCCTTCAAGCTCCTTCTCAATTTTTTTCCAACTCCTTCAAGACCCTCTTCAAATTTCCTTCAGACTCCCTCAAGCTCCTCTTCAAATTTCCTTTCAACCTTTGACGCTTTTCATAGAACTCTATCCGATTTTTCGATTCCAAGCTTTCAAAAAACGGATTTCTCCGTTTTTTGAAAACAAAAATGTGAAACATGTTCCTTGTAACGACCAAATATAGTCCGTTTGGTTTGACCCACATATTTCCTATCACAACCCTCGCAGTTTATTTCGAAAACCCAGATTTTTCTTTTTCCAACGTCTTGTCATTCGTCGCACCCCTACGAGCGACCCTCAGAAGTCGAAAGGACTTCTGAGGAGCTAAGGACTAAAGATGTCTTACCTTTAACATGTGAATGTTTGTTAGGATGAACGATAAGTATTGAGGAAGTCGGAAAAATTCTTGCTTCCTGAGAGCTATCTTTGTCTTTTACACTGAGTAATTAGGACGAATCGTTAAAAATTTATCACGATAAGACGCGTCGCGTCTACTGTAAGATGGCGGGGGACAATGCGCGGGAGTAGAGGGGCAGTCTAAGCAATGAAGCGCCAGTGCCGAGAACGGGACCCGAACGCGGGCAGACGCGTAAGGGCCAACGTCGTTGACGGTTGTGTTAGTTTTGCGAATTTCTTTATGAGTAACATAATTCGATTCTCTAAGCTACTCATTACTTAGTGCAGTTGTCATATTTTTTTAGTTACTGCATTTTTAAAGTAAAAATATAAATTACTAGCAGTTGTCCGCTCTTATATTAACGTACAGCCGCAGCTACTGAATCTAGAATCTTGAAATATGCAGGTAGGTTGTTTGTATAGCGTAAATAAGCATCAAGAAGGGAATCAGGAATTTCCGCCCTCGAGGGGTTCTAACATTGCATTGAATTTCGTCAGTTTAAAAGTTGGAAACCTGAAGTTTATACTCGTATATACAGGACTCCAAACAATGAGCGTTGTTTCATTGCAAAAACTTGTTTTAACACGCGTTTATTAGCTTCACCTGTATGTTTGTATGTATGCTTGTTTGTTTGTAACTCTCAAGCTCGGGATCTGTGTTTGACAGAATTATTGACATTATTGCTTGATCTATTCGCGGGCAGATGGCGCTGTACGCAACTTCTTGATATATCGACATTATTACTTGATCTATTCGCGGGCAGATGATCTTTTGAAAGAGCCTAGATGCACAAAGAGAATCCAAATATATGTAAACAAAAATTTGTTTTTATTCTGCGAAAAACATTCGTTGCAAAAAATTGACAATAAAAATTGTTCATCGGTTTTGTATTTCAGATAGAAATCTAAAGCTGTAATAACTACTTGATATATTTTCGTCAAAGTCACTCATTTTCGCAAAAAAACAAGGCTACTAAATAAAAACTACAATACGATGAATATAACAAAACACGCACTTTTCTGTATTTGATATCACTTCGGTTCTTTTCTAAAGTTTAGGTACTTTTTCAACACTTAGGTTCTTCTTGCATGAAACCTCTCGTCACTTTATGAAATGCGACTTGAGAAATGAAGCACGTCGGAACATTTTAGGCGAAAACTAAATAGAGTAATTGAAAGTACATTCAATTTATATATTGATGGCGCTACTAGTTTAAACTCGCAAAAATGTCACTTAGGGACTTTTTGCATATGTTTACACCAATGCCAAATGTGCAGGAAACTAACCATGGTTCATTTTCATTCGTATAATAGTAGTAGAGTAGAATCTTGAAGAGTTGAAGTTGTGGATGAGTGTATTTCTTGATTTCCATGACAATTTTTTCCAGAGTCTTCCCCAATTCAGTCGAGTTTCATATCTAACGTCTGAGATTATGTCTTGCGGGGAGCTTCGCAAAAACTTCATGTAGGGTTGTCTGAATTA